GGGAAAAAATGGTGGGGCAGTATGTTTAAAAAGCAGAAGGGCTGCATGAGTGAGAAGTGAAAGACTCTTGAAGAAACAGTGGAAGATGATATTAGAAATCATAGAATTGTAGAGTTGGAAGGGACTCTGAGGATCGTCTAGTCCAACCTCCTGCAATAATAATAATAATAATAATAATAATAATATTTTTTTTATACCCCGCCCTCCCCAGCCAAGGCCGGGCTCAGGGCGGCTAACAAGCAATAATAAACACAAGTTGAATGAATACAACTTAAAAACAAGAATAAAATACAACAATTAAAATAGTGAAACATTAAAATATTAAAATGCAGCCTCATCACAGGAGGAGAAAGGAAAAAGAAAAAAGAAAGAGGGGGAGGGAATCAAACTGGCTCCAAGCCAAAGGCCAGGCAGAACAACTCTGTCTTACAGGCCCTGCGGAAAGAAATCGGATCCTGCAGGGCCCTGGTCTCATGAGACAGAGTCTTCCACCAGGCCGGAGCCAGAGTTGAAAAGGCCCTGGCTCTGGTTAAATCTAATCTAACTTCCTTAGGGCCTGGGACCACTAGGGTGTTGCTATTTAGGGGCTTTGAGGCTCTCCGTGGGGCATACCGGGAGAGGCGGTCCTGTAGGTACAATGCAGAAATATGCAGTTGTCCCATACAAAGATCAATCCTGCAACCTTGGTGTTATCAGCACCACGCTCTAACTGAGCTATTGAATTCCACCAGTTCCACTTGACTAAAATCAAGGGAGGTCCATGGCGCTCTGCCCCTTCCATACAAAGAGCCTGACCAAAATGGTAAGTTCAGCAAAAGGTGACGAGACAGGGTTCTCCAGACTTGCTTCAGGAGTGCATGGCAACCTGCACACAGCTTTTTCGTTTCCCCACCCTTAGCACCTGCTTTGCTTTGCTTACTAAAAGCAATTCAAAGCATCTCACATCATGAAAGCCAGAAGTGTTTCCTCTGTGCAGACAGCCATTCCCTCACCAACGGTGTTGGAAACTTAGATACATAAGCTAATTGCCAAATGGCACCTTAAACCTAGGTTACAGTCGCCACAATGGAATGCTTAGGTGCCTTCCCCACCCCCCCACCCCGGGGAAATTGGTTGTTGCTGCTGTTCATTTCATTTCCGTGCCCCTTTATATTTTGAAGGAATAAAATCTCAAAGTGGTTTGCAACACATTAAAAAATCAAATAAAACAATCCAGAATAAAACAAATTCACGCTTCAAGGAAAATATTTCAGATCTTTCTCTAAGTGGCATTTTGCTTTCCCCTATACAGTGGTACCTCGGGTTAAGTACTTAATTCGTTCCAGAGGTCCGTTCTTAACCTGAAACTGTTCTTAACCTGAAGCCCCACTTTAGCTAATGGGGCCTCCTGCTGCTGCCGCGCCGCCGGAGCACGATTTCTGTTCTCATCCTGAAGCAAAGTTCTTAACCTGAAGCACTATTTCTGGGTTAGCGGAGTCTGTAACCTGAAGCGTATGTAACCCGAGGTACATTTAGGTTTATTTACCTACTTTAGGTACATTTAGGTTTATTTACCTACTTAATTTATACAGTGGTAACTCGGGTTAAGAACTTAATTCGTTCTGGAGGTCCGTTCTTAACCTGAAACTGTTCTTAACCTGAGGTACCACTTTAGCTAATGGGGCCTCCCGCTGTTGCCGCACTGCTGGCATGCAATTTCTGTTCTCATCCTGAAGCAAAGTTCTTAACCCGAGGTACTATTTCTAGGTTAGCGGAGTCTGTAACCTGAAGCGTATGTAACCTGAAGCATATGTAATCCAAGGTACCACTGTATAGCTGCCCCACAGCAGAAATACTCTAGGAAGCCAGGGTAGTGTAGTGGATAGACTGCTGGACTCAGACCTGGAAGATCAGGGTTCAAATCCTCACTCAGTCATGAAGATCACTGGGTGACCTTGAGCCAGTCACAGCCTCTTAACGTCCTCACAGGGTCATTGTAGGGCAGGCATCCCCAAACTCGGCCCTCCAGTTATTTGGGGACTACAATTCCCATCATCCCTGACCACTGGTCCTGATAGCTAGGGATGATGGGAGTTGTAGTCACAAAACAGCTGGAGGGCCGAGTTTGGGGCTGCCTGTTGTAGGGCTTAACTGAGGAGAGGGGTGAATCATGTAATCCTTGGAGAAAAAGGATGGGATATAAATGCAAGAAATAAGCTCTTCGGCTTACCTGCTTAAGAAAGCTGGAGTGGCCAGACAGATGGAGATGTCAGCCTCCATTCTGGCATCCAGAGATCTCCACGTGGTTGCAAATAAACCTGCACCAGTAGCAAAATGCACCTAGCACCTGACTGATTTCTAACGCTGCTCACCAATAGGAGAGGTTCTCTTGGTGCATGTTTGTTGGGATTCCATGACAGAATCCCTGAGTTGAAGACCCTTCCTTCCTAGAAACTACCCAGTGTAATTCAGTAACTTAATAAACTGAACCAGACAATGTAGGCGCATGCAGCCTCCACAAAATGTGAAATGGGACACAAGCTGTGAGCCAGTGGTAAAATATTTCGCAGCATGATCAGAACTGATGTTTTCTACTTTACTAAGTAAGTCACACTGACTTCAATTAGGCTTTTCTCTCCCCGCCCACCCTTTCACTTAAATATGCTTAGACTTTCACTTTTGTGCCCCTGAACTGGAACAATGAGTCTGATTTGGGGCGTGCGAGCGTGTGCCAAAGAAAAGCTCATCTAGAGCGGCAGCTGCAGTGTGTTCTGATTTGGGTAAGAAGACGACTGCATTATAATTGTCGAAAATTGATTCCTGCCAAGCAGCCACAATGGAGCCATTAAGAAATGTGAGAACTTACACATCTCTGCTTGCAAAACCAGGGGGGCAAGGTTTCATTTTATCTTTCTGCAAAATCACACTCAACCTTCCTCAAGAAAGTCGTTCTCCTTCTATTTTCCCCGAGAAGCCAAGTACCTAGAACGTCAAGTAAAGGATGTTTCAAAACAAAACAAAAAAAAGTGGGGAGGAGATTACTCTATTAAACCATAGGATTCTGTTCTATCAAAAGCCTCTGAGACAAACGTCACTCGTTACCCAATCTTTCTTCTCTTTGCCCATTAATGCAACGATCTGGAAATCCCCACCTGCATGCAGGAATTAGCTATAACTTCAGTATTTTTTTTTAGGGGGACGCAGGTGGCGCTGTGGGTTAAACCACAGAACCTAGGACTTGCCGATCAGAAGGTTGGCGGTTCGAATCCCCGCAACGGGGTGAGCTCCCGTTGCTCGGTCCCTGCTCCTGCCAACATAGCAGTTTGAAAGCACGTCAAAGTGCAAGTAGATAAATAGGTACCACTCTGGCAGGAAGGTAAACGGCGTTTCTGCGCGCTGCTCTGGTTCACCAGAAGTGGCTTAGTCATACTGGCCACATGACCCGGAAGCTGTACACAGACTTCCTCGGCCAATAAAGCGAGATGAGCGCCACAACCCCAGAGTCGGCCACGACTGGACCTAATGGTCAGACGTCCCTTTAACATACAGTATTTTTTTTAAAGAAATGGCAAAGGTGAAGGGCATTCACCATATCTCAGTCGGTAGAGCATAAGACTCTTAATCTCAGGGCCATGGGTTTGAGTCCCACACTGGGCAAAAAAATTATGCGTTGCAGGGAGTTGGCCTAGAATGACCCTCATAGTCCCTTCCAACTTTTGCTGGTATTCATTTGTCTTAGGATTTGCCTTCATGGGAAAAGTCAAACTGTTAAGAGAGTTGCAGCGCCTGCTGTGGCTGTGTAGAGACTGATACCAGAGAGCCATGTTTTGTTGCAGCTGGGGCAGATGAAGGCGTCCAGTTTCGCTGCTACAGGCAAGGCTCCCCCCCCCCCCCGTCAGAACTCGCTAGAACTCTGTTCCAGCACTTCTCAGGTAGGTGCCATTGCCATTATAAGAGAACAAGGCAGGCGCTTATGGTGAGTTCAAGCACCTCTTTTTCTAGAAAAACGGCACCGGCTACAGTTGCACCATAGTGTTTCTTCTCTCTGTGCTCCTCCAGCAGTCATTTCTTCTCTGGTCACTGCTATGGATACACAACCCGATTGTCCAGGCACTGCGGTCACCCTCTCTACGATTCCAACAACCTTACAATTCCAACTCTACAGTTCTATAGAACAGATTTTTGCAGGGCATATAAAACAATTCTGTGGTTGACTCCAAGGGTTGTGCAATTTTCATTTGTTCACATGGGCGTCAAGCTACTATACTAGCAGCTTATACTAGTGCTGCCACTTTTGTTCTGGGAAAATACAGGACAGGGTGAGTTGGGGCACGATTATTATTTTTTAAAAATCTTTTGTTGAAGCGTCTTTCAAAGCAATCCATTGCAATCTATTGCAGCCGAACAGGATTGCCCCTCTGGAATTTGTCACACAGGCACACATGAATTTGTAAATCTGTCTGAGCTTGGCTACCCAGAGCTTAAATACATGGTCTTTCACACCCCCTTTCAAACACATGCATGGGCATAGCCAGGATTTTTTTTTAGTGGGGGCAAGCTTTTGTAAGGGAAGGGCAGAATCTCAGATTTGTATTGATTTTTCCTGATTTCTTGTGGGGGCTGCCCCCCCCCCCCATCTTGGCTATGCCCATGAACGCATGATGCATTTGGAGAAGCTCTCTAATTCATTTGGAGAGGATTAGGCGGGGGGGGGGGGCTGAAATAAAGGACAAAACTGCATCAGTACAGGACGTTGCATTGAAACACGGGACATTGTTATACAGGACAGGGGGCAACGCTACACCTTTGCTGAACCTTACCTGCGACCTGCCTTTGCCGCCGAGCTACACGACCAGAGGTGCGCATGCGCCCCGCAGAGGAGGTTCCGAGGGTTCCACCTCCGCCCGCGCGCGAGCCTTTGACCCTCCTGGCCAGGTCGACGCCTGGGGAGCGAAGGGGAGGGGAGCGGGGGGGGGAATATTTGCTCTCCGCGCCCACGTGACCCAACACGTCCGTCCAAGATGGCGGCGCCCAGGAGCCTTGTGGACATGCTTCCGCGGTTGTTCAGGGGTAGGTGAATTCTGCGCGCTTGTGGTATTCCTGAAGGGGGTGTCCCCGCATATGGGGGAAAGCGCGGGAGAGGAATTGCGGGCTATACTACTGAGGGGAAGAGGAACTGCGCGCGCTTCTCTCCCTCGTGCGCACCCCTGGCAGGGGAAAGATGCCGAGGAAAGCCGCCTTTCGTTCTGAAGTGCACCATAAATAAATGCATGTTTGTTGTCCGCTCCCCTCCCTGTCAAGTGAGGGGGCACTTGGCCGTTTTGCATCACGGGCTCAAAAAAGTATTGGGCTGCAACGCTGTACCAGTTTGTCTGGAAGCGAGCGCCGCTGAACTCAGTAGGATTTACTTCTGAGTAGGCAGGCGCTGTGGGTTAAACCACAGAGCCTAGGGTTTGCCGATTAGAAGGTCGGCGATTCGAATCCCCGTGACGGGATGAGCTCCCATTGCTCGGTCCCTGCTCCTGCCAACCTAGCAGTTTGAAAGCACGTCAATGTGCAAGTAGATAAATAGGTACCGCTCCGGCGGGAAGGTAAGCGACGTTTCTGTGCGCTGCTCTGGTTCGCCAGAAGTGGCTTAGTCATGCTGGCCACATGACCTGGAAGCTGTACGCCCGGCTCCCTCAGCCAGTAAAGCGAGATGAGCGCCACAACCCCAGAGTCGTCCGTGACCTAATGGTCAAGGGTCCCATTACTTTTTAGGCAGGTATAGGAATGCGCACCAGTGCTGTGAAGCCCCAGGTTGGGATTCGTAGTTTATGTGACTGGAAAGTGGAAGGGGGGGAGAGAAATGATATTCCAGTCCAGACCATCGTATCAACAACACAAATATGAATTATGACTTCTCTCTAGGTTTAGTGCCCTGTTTCAAAGCTGGCAACGGTATCTTCCTAGGGAATGATGGTGTGATTTAGCATATTTAGCATACCTTCATATAAACTGAATATATGAAGCTGCCGTACTCAGATGGTTGGTTCATCTTGCCTAATGCAGTGCTTGCATGAGCCTGGCAGCCTGAGGTCCTGAAGGTGGTAATGATTGTGCTTATCACTTAGCTATGGTCCCTACTTGGGGTTCTTGTACAAATATAGATGTGGTTAGCCTGTTGGTGGCTGGTGCTTGAGTCTATCGAAATTAGAAACCAAAGATGTGCATAAATAGCCTTTGACTAGTTGTCAAATTACTCCTTAAAGTGGACAGCTCCCAATATGATTTCTAAGGAGAAGTGACATAACCAGGCTTTTTTCAGCTTGTCTAGTGTGGTTAGGGCAAACAGTCTTCCCATGGCTTATATTTCACTTTATTACACTGGAGAAATAACAAGATTAGTAAGCAGATAAGATTTGGATAAATATATCATTTGTGATTTTAGCAGGCCAGGGAATAGCATTTTGTGTAAGTCAGGCAAGTTATGTATTAACATTGTGAACAGGTTTTTTTGTGGGGGGAGCAGAAGGAGCTTGAGCAACTGTGAGCACTGCACTGGCAGAGTAATGAAAACTAATTTAGAAAGAAATAATGGCAAGAAATTTATTCAAATGGCTCTTTGTGGAAGTAGAAATATTTAAAAGCACCTTAAAAATTTAAAAGCAAGCAGCCGTTACTAGTAGCTGCTAAGCTATAATTCCTTTGAAATGAGGGGCAATTCTTATATGTTCTGCCATATTGTGCATTAAATTTTAAATACCATGGCCCCAGTCTATACAAAGCTACTCCCACATTTCTTTGAAATCAACAGGACTTAAGCTACCACACAATTATATGCATGCTTACATGGAAGAAAGTCTTATCAGTTAAATCAAACTTATTCTCAGGTAAGTGTGCATAGGATTGAAGACTTGGGTGCAAGTCAAACCCTCACTCCTGACAGTGATGCCATTTCTGCATCTGTAGTCCAGCCTTTCACGGTGGCTATGGCAGAAGGGAAGGACCTGGCCTGATCTCTGCACCAACTCCAGGCTGCTGCAACCACTGGGTCTGGATCAGGCCTGATGCCAGTGGATCTTGGGCCAGCTCAACACCACCTCTTCTCCATTCTCAGAATGTCCCATTTCAGGACTTTCTGCTGGCAGGGATATTGCCAGAGCGCTACCACCTCTCTGTTTGGAAGGTAGAAGTAGGAGATTGATTCTGACAGAGATGCTTGTGCTTCTCCATTAGCAGTAACCAGTGAGAGTCTGATTCCTCCTGCAAAGCTGAGCAAAGGGACACCTCTACTCAATCCAACCTGGAGCAAGGGGTGGGCTTGGATTTTTCGGTCAGTTGCAACTAGCTCCCCCGCCCCCCATTGTTTGCAGAAGAGCTTTACTAGCATATCTAAGTCTCTGGATCGGAGCACTAGCTTCAGGGACAATTTGGAAGGCCGGAAGGAGAAGGCCTTTGCTGAACCAACTCCCTCCCCTTAAATAATGGTGCAAAATGGTGGTAATCGTTCTAGGCTGGCCTTCCCCAACTGGATGCCCTCCAAATCTGTTGGATTACAACTCCCATCATCCCTTATCATCGGCCATGCTGGGTGAAGCTGATGGGAGTTGTAGGTGGACTAGGACCTGAGGATTCTCAGCCACATGGAGCCCATGGGGTGATTTTGGGCCAGTCACTATCTCTCAGCTTAACCTACCTCACAAGGCTGTTGTGAGACTAAAATGGAGAGGGGGAGAAGCTTGTATGCCACCTTGAGCTCCTTGGAGAATAATAATAATCAATAATAGCTATAAATGAAATAATAAAACAAGTAAACATCCAGAGGGCACCAGCTTGGGGAAGGCTGGTCTAAGGCACTGTTATAGTCTACACTGGCATGATTGATTATGCTATTGTAGTAGATTGTAAATGTTCTAATTATGCATTGGAACAGCTCTCAAGTATTAGCAATAATTGCATCAGGGTGACACTCCCATTGCTAATAACAAAAAATCAGGATAATGCCCTTTGAAAACCATCTTAAAGGGGCACGAGAGACTGCAGTATCCTTATGTGCACTGATTTACTGATTTTGAAAAGCTAAATCATTACGAAGCAGGCACTCTGCGCATCGTCGTGTAAGTGGCTCTCAATCTTCAGAAATATTCAGTTCCTGGATAAACGCTTGATTTTATATTTGAAGTCCAAAAACAAATAGGAAGGCTATAATTTTTTTCTTCTCATTTGTGACTTCTTGAACACGAAGGCTCAGGATGTTGACCTATAAGAAAATAATCATGTTTATGAGAAGAAGTCACTTATTCAGTCAATTTCTTCTTGCCTCTGTGTTCATACTAGTGCAGAGTGATGTCTTCTGTGGCTCAAAAAGGAAAATGGAGGGGAAGGTTGTTTAAATTTTGATTTACTGCAAAAAAAGAAGTTAAAAGTCATGAAGTTGTACTCAGTATGCATTTCTAGGTAATATCTTTAAGAAGAGTGCCTGAATGGATTTATAGAGTTTGTAGGGGGCCTTGTAATATTAGAATATCAAGCAGAACCTTATTCTGAGTGAGGTTTTCTTTTTTACTGGACAGCACTTTCTACAATTCCTGCCACTAGGAAGAGGAAAGTGTCCCATATCGTAACATTCATGAGTGCTTTTCTGTGCCAGGAGCCTGCACGTGCTTGGCAGTTGCTTTTGTAAAACTGGACCTGTATTGTATGTAGATACATAATAATAATAATAATTTATACCCCACCCATCTGGCTGGGTTTCCCCAGCCACTCTGGGCGGCTTCCAACCGAATATTAAAAACAATACAGTGCCAGACATTAAAAACTTCCCTAAACAGGGTTGCCTTCAGTTGTCTTTTAAAAGTAAAATAGATGTTTATTTCCTTGACATCTGCTGGGAGGGCGTTCCACAGGGCAGGCGCCACTACCGAGAAGGCCCTCTGTCTGGTTCCCTGTAACCTCACTTCTCGCAGGGAGGGAACCGCCAGAAGGCCCTTGGCGCTGGACCTCAGTGTCCGGGCTGAATAATGGGGGTGGAGACACTCCTTCAGGTATACAGGACCAAGGCCATTTAGGGCTTTATAGGTCAGTACCAACACTTTGAATTGTGCTCGGAAACGTACTGGGAGCCAATGAAAAACAGCGATCCCATACAGGAAATGTTCCCAGTGTTGTGCCCTCTGTCAGGGTTCTGGGAAGAGATACATTACTCATCTGTGCTTTATTTCTTTTTTTGGTTGTTGGATGCTTGTTGTTTGTGAAAGATTCCTCCTTTGTGCGAAGTTTCTCCATCAGCAGTCTATACTTGTATGCTCATAGTGCTAAAGACATTGGGGTGGAGTAACACAGCCTGCATCAAAGCACACCTTGATATATGAAATCTTGCAATTGCTGCATCTTGCATAGCTATCAGTGTGCTGTGATTGTTTTCCTACCATCTGTGGCTTTGGAGGCAAAGGCAGGGGAACAGTGAGGCTCTCTGTGGACTTTTAAAAGAAGAGTGTTTTAGCTTTATTAGGGTAGTGATACATTGTGGGTTTAAATGTGTATGAGCTGTGAGGGAGAATAGGCTCTGAACTACACTTCTCACTTTTTCCCACTTCTCTTGCTGGTGCTAGACTCTGCTAGTGCAAGGGAATCGCTAGACTAGTGTAGATTCACTATCCTGGTGCGCTTTGCCAGAGCAGGGTGTTTGTGTTGTTGTCACAGTGTCATTTCCCTTCTTCCCCAGCAGGTGTAACTCAGAGACAGGATTGTGCTGTTGTCATAAGTTTGCTTCCAATTATTAAGCACAGACAAAACAACAGTGTGCATGTCTAACTCAGAAGCAAGTCCTGCTGCATTCAGTGGCACCTACTTCTGTGTAAGTGTATATAGGATTGGAGCCTTTATGCATTTGCAAATGAATACAACAATAGTGTCTGATTTGCAGGATTTCTTTTTGCCAAAGAATAAATTTGCCCTCTTCAAAATGGCATAATTGTCCATGCTCCAATATGGAAATGGAACGTACTGATACTTTAGAAAAGAGACGTGAGGAAACAGATACACTGCTTGATCCTAAATTGATTGCAATCAGTATTAAGACTGCAGCCCTTAACACATTCACATAAGTAAATGTGTTTAAGAGTGATGCAGAAGGCAATGGAAGTACACGTACTTGTGGGGGGAAAGAGCCCCACTGAAATCAGCAATGTGGGCTCAAACTCCTGCATAGTTGCCATGGGCCTAGTGTTAAGATGCTTTCGCCTCAGCACAGAGTCTGTTGTGATGTTCCTAGTCCCTTTGACCGTCCTCTGGTATCATTACTGTGGTTTAATAGCAAACATGAAAGCTAAAGGTCCAAGCCATCAGACAGAATCGTAGACACTGATCATAGTTGAAGTCTTTGGCTAATGGATGTGCTGATCAAAGGACGGCTCTACTTTATTCTGGGCCCTGAAATAATAGCTGAAAATGGAACCTTATTATTACATCTTGACTGTGAAAAAAATAATTAATTCAAATCTGTATTCAGCTAGCGCTGTATTTTTTTAAGTGGCTGCTGATTCGCAGGCCTTATGGTTTCCCCCAAACATTTTTATTATATCCTATGACAGGAAGTGTTTGGATGGAAAGGGTAAAAAGTTGGGAATTTTAGATGATTTTTAACTATTCTGAACTTTTGTTACATCCCAACCCTTCCTGTCTTCCTTTGTTCCTGAGTGGGCAGCAGTCACAGTATAGTCAGGGTGGACCATTGTCTCAGCCTTGCTCATCATTCGAAAGCAGATTAGGCACAGTGTTTGAAATTCACCAAGTATCAGGCACATTTTGCACCTGGCTATCGGCCACTTGCGACCAAGTGAAGGTGTCTGAGTTCCAAGATGGTGCCTGACATCTCCACTGTTATGTATTCAGTGGTCTGTGTTTGCCTGAGCTTGAGTCTGGACTAAGGATTCTGAGCCCCTGCGTTCTCATTCGATACATGATATCCAATCACAGAACATTTCAGGATTTGGGCCTCTGCCATTGGCCCTTAAACTCTGAGTCATGATTCGCAGCTTGGAAGTTTAGACAACCAATCACGTGGGGAGTGGGAGTGGCCCAGGCCTTCAGAAATGTATATAAGCAGTTGCTTTGCCCCTGTTGTCCAGTTCTGTTAATTCAATAAAGGTTCTTGCTGTTATCACTGTGTCTTGCCTCGTGGGAACCCACTTACACTTCATCTACCATCTGGAGGTGCATGCCTGGAGATCCTTGGATCTTGATTGTTTTCACACACTAGCAACACATCCCGTAGAATTCTACCCATTATATTTTACCCGCACAATAGGAATGAATTTCAGGAACCAAAAAGTCATATTGAAAAATATGACTTTCAAGCCGTCTGGCTCAAAAATGGCAACTAGGCTAATGCAACCCTGGTTTAAGGAGCCATTTGGCGCCTAGCTTATATATCTGATGCAGGTGGGACGTGGGTGGCGCTGTGGGTTAAACCACAGAGCCTAGGACTTGCCGATCAGAAGGTTGGCGGTTCGAATCCCCACGACGGGGTGAGCTCCCGTTGCTCGGTCCCTGCTCCTGCCAACCTAGCAGTTCGAAAGCACGTCAAAGTGCAAGTAGATAAATAGATACTGCTCTGGCGGGAAGGTAAATGGCATTTCCATGCGCTGCTCTGGTTCGCCGGAAGCGGCTTAGTCATGCTGGCCACATGACCCTGAAGCTGTACGCCCAGCTCCCTCAGCCAGTAAAGCGAGATGAGCACCGCAACCCCAGAGTCGTCCGCGATTGGACCTAATGGTCAGGGGTCCCTTTACCTTTTAAGCAGGTATAGGAATGTGCACCAGGTTGGGATTCCCAGTTTATCTAACTGGAAGGTGGAAGGGTGGGGGGAGAGAGAAATGATATTCCAGTCCAGACCATAGCATCGACAACACAAATATGAATTTGTGTCAGGGGTCCCTTTACCTTATATATCTGAGTTTCTAACACTGATTCAGTGGGCATTTCACAGGCAAAGGCTTCTAAATGCTTAACCAAGTCCTGTGCTTGAGCTGTTCAGCTGGAGTTGGATGATAAGTTAAGTTGGATGATAGGTTGCCTGAAGCTTAAGATCTGCCTGACACATATAGAAAGGGACTTCTGAATCCAGACTCAATATTACAGTACAGCCAAAAAGAAACCATCTGTAGCACATAATACAAATTATTTGCCTGTTTTCTGCAGTTTGGGCAGCTTTAAAGGCTAGATTATTTTTTTACTTGTTTACGTTGGCTTTTAATATTGTGTTGTTATCTGATGTTAATATATTCAGATGTTTGTTTAAATATGTTTGGTTAAACTTGCAGTATCTTACCACACATCACCTCTTAGCCAGGCTAAGTAAAAGTTGTTGCTAGCCCTTTTAAGGGAGCTGGGTGGACTGAGATGGGACGTCCTTTCTCTCCACCCACCCCAAATCAGGTTTTTTTTGGGGGGGGGGGGATGGTTTGTGTCCAGGGAGAGGAAGTCCCACTTCGTTAGATACAGCCCATTGTATGCAGATAAGCTATAACAGTAATCAGCCAACCTCACCAAATAGGCAATATAATTATGGGTCCTTTTTTTCATTGGTTCTACTTCATGGGACCCCGAAATAGCTACTTTTCTAACTGACCCAGAATGTCCTCTTGTTTTTTTTTAAAAAAAAATTCAAGTACCATTGTATATGTTGTGAGCTTTTAATAATCCCAACTATTACATTACCATATGTGAACGTGCAGAACAATTTGCCTTTGGTCTACATGGTCTGTATCTTGCAGTTATTGCATGCTGCAGAAAGAAGTCCTTTCGTTAAGGCGGTCTGCTAATTTCATTTTTTAGTCTTCAGTTACAAGCTTCTGGCAGGTTTTCTGACCACTACTGTTACCTGGTGGCGCCGATATTTCATCAGAGTTAGACAAGCAGACTACCTGGACCTAGGCCCAGATGCCCTGTTGTAAGTGATGAACATGATCCCTTGTGTTAAGGAATTCAAGACTTATAGTGCTGGGATTCCCAAGGGAGTTGAAAGAAAACTGTGTTCAAGCATTCCCTTTGTGCGTTCTCTTTGTGCTTGTTACGTACACAGCATTATGAGCTCAAGCAATTACACATCACCCCGACGAAATCCTTTTTTCAGTTATTGATTATTTATTTCAGGTAGAAAGACTCTCTTAATTTGAACGAATACAAGCCATTAAAGATGCAGATGCTGTTTAAAGATGACCTGATAATAGTGACTAAGGAAAACGTAGCTCGTGTTTAGCACCATTTTTATTTCTTTTTAACTCCGATAAAAATTGACACCAACGTTAAGATAATACATCTCATTCCAGCAGTTTGAGTGGATTTTGTTTGCTTAAAATTTTATCTCTTAACCCTGGACCATTTGTATGTTATTGTGTTGATCTGTCTGTTTGGGCTGTATGCTGGTTTGGCTTTTTAAGACTTATTGTGGATTTCACTGTATAATTGTTATGTTTTTAAAATAGAGTCACCCGATGGCCCTAGATGACTTGTTCATGAGGCTTCTAACAGCTATAAATCAATAAATACTGTACCCGTCTAACATTTCCTTTTACATATAGTAACTTTATGCTTACATTTTGGGATTGTTTAAAAAAATTATGTTTATCCTACAGAGTGTGCCATGCTTAACTGTACTCTGTATTTATAGCATGTCATATGTTAATATGTTAAAGTTGGTATACTATAGATATTGAGTGGCAAGTCACTATTCAATTCTCCTGAATCGGCCCCACTGAAATGTATGGGAGCTGCATCCACTTCAGTAAAATTTGTGCATTATTCCGCTGATTGGATCTGGGTTGGATTAATAATGGTTTGGATTAGATGTCATCTAGATTCCCTCTATGACCATGATTCAGAGGGCCTCATAGGGAACTAGATATGCTCATCAGGGCTTCTTGAGGTGTGCAGCCTGGGAGTCAATTTGGACTCACAGCTGTCCATGGAGGCGCAGGTCAATTGTGTGTCCAAGGCAGCTGTTTACCAGCTCCATCTGGTACATAGGCTGAGACCCTAGCTGCCCGCAGACTGTCTCGCCAGAGTGGTGCATACTCTGGTTATCTCCCACTTGGACTACTGCAATGTGCTCTACGTGGGGCTACCTTTGAAGGTGACCCAGAAACTACAACTAAACACCGGTCTTGAAAGACCTACATTGGCTCCCAGTACGTTTCCGAGCACAATTCAAAGTGTTGGTGCTGACCTTTAAAGCCCTAAACGGCCTCGGTCCAGTATACCTGAAGGAGCGCCTCCACCCCCATTGTTCTGCCCAGACACTAAGGTCCAGTGCCGAGTGCCTTCTGGCAGTTCCCTCGCTGCGAGAAGCCAAGCTACAGGGAACCAGGCAGAGGGCCTTCTTGGTAGTGGCGCCTGCCCCGTGGAACACCCTCCCACCAGATGTCAAAGAGAAAAACAACTACCAGACTTTTAGAAGACATCTGAAGGCAGCCCTGTTTAGAGAAGCTTTTAATGTTTAACAGACTATTGTATTTTAATATTTTGTTGGAAGCTGCCAAGAGTGGCTGGGGAAACCCAGCCAGATGGGTGGGGTATAAATAAATTATTATTATTATTATTATTATTATTATTATTATTATTCTTTCCATCCCTCTTGCTTGTTCTCTTTTCCCCCCTCAACCACTCTCTGCAAATTGCAAGCCTTATTTCATATAATCATAGAATTGTAGAGTTGGAAAAAATCCCTGAGGATCATCTAGTGCAATCCCTTGCAATGCAGGAAGATGCACCATGGTGGGATTGAACCTGCAACCTTGGCGTTATCAGCACCATACTCTAACCAACTGAGCTATCCAGGGCTATTTGCTGCTTAGCAAGCTGCTTCAGTTTTTAATTTACCCGTTTCAGAAGTGGTTAGTAAGATGAGGAGCTACTATTTGGGAACCTCAATGAGATGCCCTCACACACAATAACAGGGATTGCTAGATGTCTGTTCACAGGGGGTGTTTAGTGCATTTAATGCTAGTTAAGTCAGTGGGCTTAAGCATGCTTAACCCTGTATAGGAGTGGGCTATAAATCCCTAGTTCTTGGAACTGGGATATTCGTCCCCAACTGGTGTGTGTGTGTGTGTGTGTGTGTGTGTGTGAAATTCATGAGCATGGGATCAAGGACCAGAAACCACCAGCCTCTGATCTTGAAATGCGTACTGGGTGTTAGCAGACAAAACAATTTAACCTGCAGCCACAAAAGAGAGGTAATACTTACTTCTTTGGCAGGTTAATTAGTTTGCATTTGCAAAGTTCTTTGAAGATGAAAAGTGCTATAAAAATGTTAAATAGTATTTTATATGCTGTTCTCGAGTGGATTAACAGGTGCAGAATTAAAAGCTGGCAGTTGCTGAGAACACTTAATAGTAACTTCTATCTTTCATCTGCTAATGGTTTTAACTCCCCACCCCGCAAAAAATATAAGAAATAGATAGAGATTTACCTATGGTAAATATGTAAACTTCAGGAATGGCTGAGGGAATTCATCTAAAACTGGCTTTCAAAAACGTAACTGAATCAAAAGAAGCATGCACTTGAGTAACCTGGCAATACTGTTTGCCAATCTTGACTATTGTTTAATAAAATCCTCTGGGAATTTATAGAATTGTAGAGTTGGAAGGGACCCGAAGGGTCATAAAGACCGAGTCCCTGCAATGCAGGAATCTCAAACCTCCGAGGAAGGAGAGTCCACAACCTCCTGAGGTTGGATCTGTTTGATATCATGTCTCTTGGGACTAGGGGGTGGCTGTTACGTTAATAAGACCAAGCCATTTTTATTCTTAATCATTTACATTTACAGTTTCCAGAGGGGTAACTGTGTTAGTCCGAGAGACATTGCACATACCTTTGTAAATCAAGAAAATCTTTAATAAAAATACATTTTAAAAAACACCACTCTGTGAGGTGAGTGGGGCTGAGAGACTTCAGAGAAGCGTGACTAGCCCAAGGTCACCCAGCAGCTGCATGTGGAGGAGCGGGGAAGCGAACCCAGTTCACCAGATTACGAGTCCACCGCTCTTAACCACTACACCACACTGGCTCTCTTGATCTGATTCTTATGGGTGCTATTAAATTTCTGCCAGCTCTGGAGGAGAGCAGACATGTCTGGGAAAGGGAAAAGCTAGGTCAGGGCAGTGTTTTCTTCTCCTTTCTATCATGTTCTGCCACACTCATAAATCAGTTTCATCTCTTTGACCACACATCTAATCAGCTCCTAAATGGAGGAGTATCTGCATTACATCTTCAGCAAACCAAGCGACAGCAGAAAGAGGGAAGAGAGAGGGACAAATGGTGCCCTAACCAATCGGCCCCCTTTTCCTACCATCTCTGTCATCTTCCCCAGGCTCCTGAACGAAATAGTATACACATGTGCCCTATAGGGGCTTGAGTCAAGGGTCAAATTATAACTTCCCAGGGTTTCTGGTCCTTGGTCCCACGACCTGCAAACCTTGAGAAGTTAGTTTGCAGGGATTCTAGGCTGCAGAATGCTGCTAGAGTAACTTAGCTCAGCCCTCAAAAAGGCCAGGAGCGTCAATAGGCCTCATCTTAAAATGAGTTAACTTAGACCAGGGAGGCTCTCCTGGCGCCCTTATTACATATATTTAGGCACCAGGCAAAAATGTTCCTCTTTTCCCAAGCCTTTGCCTAATTAAACAATCTACACCCTTTTAAACTGGGCCGGGTGGGTATTTTTGTTTGTTTGTTTTTATATTGTAAACCACCCTGTGCTCCTCAAATGAAGGGCAGTATAGGAATAATAATAATAATAATAATAATAATGTTTTACTATGTTTTTATACAGTGGTGCCTCGCAAGACGAAATTAATCCGTTCCGCGAGTGTCTTCGTCTAGCGGTTTTTTCGTCTTGCAAAGCAACCCTATTAGCGGCTTAGCGGATTAGCGCTATTAGCGGTTTAGCGGCTATTAAAGGCTTAGCGGCTTAGCTGCTAAAAGGCTATTAGCGGCTTAGCGGCTTAGAAAAAGGGGGGGGGAAGCGAAAAAAAATCTCAAGACTCGTAAGACATTTTCATCTTGCGAAGCAAGCCCATAGGGAAATTCGTCCTGCGAAGCAACTCAAAAATGGAAAACCCTTTCGTCTAGCGGGTTTTCCGTCTTGCGAGGCATTTGTCTTGCGGGGCACCACTGTATATGCTAGAAGCCTCCCAGAGTGGCTGGGGTACCCCGTCAGATGGGCGGGGTATAATAAAAATAAAAATAATGTCTGAATCATTTCAGTTTAGCTGAGATAATTTTGAATCTGGTGCAGGGAAGTTCATCTAGTACAGTCATATCTTGGATCCCGAACGCCTTGCGAGTCGAACGTTTTGGTTCCTGAACGCCGCAAACCCAGAACAGAGTGTTCCTGTTTGCGAATGTTCTTTGGAACTCGAACGTCTGGCACAGCTTCCGATTGGCTGCAGGAACTTCCTGCAGCCAATCGGAAGCCACGCCTTGGTTTCTGAACATTTTGGAAGTCGAACGGACTTCCAGAACGGATTCTGTTCGACTTCTGAGGTACCACTGTAATAGGATTGTCAATGAGCCCTCTAAGATGGTGCCCATTTTGTGGAGCCCAAAGTGGAAAAGGAGGAGACTTTACCTGTAACTAGGAACTGGGTGGGAGAAAAGACAGGATTTTTGGTCAGGTCATCTTCCATGCCTTTTCCCCCCTTTTTTTTCCTTTTCTTTTTTCTTTTTGAGAGAGAGAGAGAGAGAGACTTTTGACTTAGGGAGAGGGCGACAATGGCTCTTCAGTTTGTGCCTTTTTCCAGTGAGGAGGGTATGGTTGGCTTTGTTCCTTAGAAGCAAGCTGTCTCTTTTTCTCCAGCCATGGCTCTGAGAGAGCTCAGAGTTTGCCTGCTGGAGGGACACTGGTGTGGGCATATCAAGCACTATATAGTGCTTTGTAGAAGACCGCTTTGATCCCAACATCAATCCAACAATTAGAGCATCTTTTATGAGAAAGACAGCGCAGTATCAGAATGGGTTGCGTAAATTCCTAATATGGGATACAGCCGGGTAAAGACGATTTCACGCTCTAGCGCCAATGGACTAGTGAGCTTCTGCAGCAGTTATTTATGTTTATGACATCATCGCAAAAGAGGAAACGTTTTCAATTTTAAGGAGCTGTGTGGAAGAACTCCGGTAGCATGGATATCCCAACATAGTTGCTGCTATTGCTGGAAATAAATGTGATCTTAACGATGTAAGAGAAGCCATGGAAAAAGATCCTAAAGACTTTGCAGATCCCATCCATGGAATATCTGGAAAGAACAAGGCAAAAATTGCAACAAACATAAATGAACTGTTTATAAAAATTAGTCATAGAATTCTATCGACAGATAGTAAAGGTAAAGGGACCCCTGAACATTAGGTCCAGTTGTGGCCGACTCTGGGGTTGCGGCACTCATCTCGCTTTACTGGCTGAGGGAGCTGGTGTACAGCTTCTGGGTCATGTGGCTAGAATGACTAAGCCGCTTCTGGTGAACCAGAGCAGCGCACGGAAACGCCATTTACCTTCCCGCCGGAGCGGTTTATTTATCTACTTGCATTTTGACCTGCTTTCAAACTGCTAGGTTGGCAGGAGCAGGGACTGAGCAACAGAAGTTCACCCCGTCACGGGGATTCGAACCACCGACCTTCTGATCGGCAAGTCCTAGGCTCTGTGGTTTAACCCACAGCGCCACCCGCGTCCCTCTATCAACAGATACAAACCCTCAAAATGCAGCTGCTGTTGACTTACACTATCATATACCAGAGTAGTTTTTAGAAAGTGTTTGACCTTGGAAATTAGGGGTTTATTTGGAGTATAGTTGACTTGGTCCCCTCCAGATTTTGCTGGACTCCAGTTCCCATCAGCTCCAGCTAGCATGGCATATTATCAGGATTGATGGGAGTTGTAGTCCAGAACATCTAAAGGACACCATTCTGGCTATCCTGCCATAACCAACCTGCTCTCTACCTGCCATTGTCGTATTTGTGTTTTGATTGTTTGCAGATTCATTCACCGCTTTGCAGCAGAGCATTACTGAAGTGGTGTACCATAAAATAAAATAAAATAAAATAAAATAAGATAAGATAAGATAAGATAAGATGATAAGATAATTGCAAACTCAGTAAACCAAAGACAATAAAACAAGTCATACAATTATACGGTTATTCTTTCATAAAATAATAGGTCATGTTTTGCTCAACATCTACAATTCCCATATCCTTTGTGTGAAAAGTGAACAGGTGGCACGGCAACCCTATCTACTGCAATGCTTTCTTGCATGTATGAATCTGTCAGTGGGTTTATTACCATGTCAGTTTTGATCACAAACTCTGAGTTTTCATTTAATTTTTTTGGCCTACAGATTGAGCCATTAATTCATTGAGTTAATTGACAATGACTTTACAGCTCTGACTTTCCCACTGAACTCTGGAAAAGCTCCTGGCCTTGCCTATAAGGTCCAGATGTTGTGCTTAAACTAAAATGCCGCATGGAGGTCGAAGGGGGACTGATTTGAATACCACACCAAACTTCAGAAAAGGGCAAGAGATTTGAGTCTCTAGTAAAACATGCATACTTTTGGAGCAAGGAGCAGGTCTGAGGGGAAATAATATTGTGCATTCTGAACTTGAACAAGCACTCTGTAACTGATTGTACTTGCTACTACAAAGAAAGGTATTAAGAGTGATTCCGTAAAACTTTCAAATGGCCACCTCTTCCTTCTTTGCTATTAGCTTGAGTGGTCTATGGTGTTAGAAAAGTAAAAAATGCACTTTAGTGTTTGGAAGACACACTGCCCAAGACAACTGCCCAAGACACTGCCCAAGGAGCCGGTAGGGATCATAGCTTAAACAATTTAATATCCTCTATCTTACACATGCACAGTCAAAACAGGTCTTTAAATAATGTTTATGCCAGTCTTGTGTGTGTGGAATCAACTGCAAATAAAGTGTTTTAAGTGTGTTGCAATATACAAATATGACACTAGATGGCGACAGTGAGCTATGGCAAATTCAATATATTTTTCAAAATGTTTTTTAAAAAAGCATTTTCACAGCATTTTTTTATATGTGTGTAGATTCCACCAGTGTGTGTGTGTGTGTGTGTGTTATGAAACAAGGAGCCAAGTATATGAGTAAGGTAGAACAGTATTACGTAGTTTTGCCATGTTGCAGATGTAAGGAATGCAAGGGTAAACGTGGTGAAGTTTCTAGTTTATAATGCAATCTTAACAATGTTTACTCAAAAGTAGGTACTTTTGAATTCAGTGGGGTACTCCTGGGTAAGTAGGTTTAAGATTTCAACCCCAATTTTTAACTCAGTTATGTGTATTTTTTAAGAAGCTCAGGCTAATGTGAAGGTGCTGAAGAAATATGTGATTGCCTACCTATTGATCCTTAACATTAACAGCAACTGCCTTTGATGAAGGTCTTTGATGAAGGATGTGTTATGAAGGCATATGGTCAGTGGCAGCTGTTGTGGTGGATAAGAGCAGTGGAGCTACCCTCCCCAGGTCACTACAACATGGACGGGGAAACTTTTTGGATCTGCAGGTCAAGTGTGGTATGTGGTGGATCTGGCTACTGTCAATCATGTGACATCACAATGATGTCAGGTGATTGGTGCTTTGACGTCCCAAAGTTGGGTCGTCAAAGCACCATGCACAACCAATTCAGGAGGCTTCAGCTCTGGCCCCTATTGGCTTATGGGTGGTAGAGGCTGAAGCCTGCTTTCCCTTGCCAATTTGCAATCAGGCGCGCACTTGAAGTGCCCCAGTTATGCATTGGCAACCACATATTACCTCAGGTATAAGGCCGTGGTGTATCCAAGAAGAAGAGTTTGGATTTGATATCCCGCTTTATCACTACCCGGAGGAGTCTCAAAGTGGCTAACATTCTCCTTTCCCTTCCTCCCCCACAACAAACACTCTGTGAGGTGAGTGAGGCTGAGAGACTTCAGAGAAGTGTGACTGGCCCAAGGTCACCCAGCAGCTGCATGTGGAAGAGTGGAGACGCGAACCCGGTTCACCAGATTACGAGACTACCGCTCTTAACCACTGCACCACACTGGCTCCTAAGAGTGGCCAGCCTGATGCTGGCTGCCCATATGCAGGTGACACAGGTGATGATCTTCTCTTGTTCTTTGTCAGAATACGTATACGGTATTCTGGAGGATGGTATATTGGCTCTGTACATGGAGGGTCCATTGAGCTATCAAGACTAATAGCCACAGGTTATGCTCCATGTGTCTATCTCAGAGGTTTCCAAGCTATTTGAGTCCATGGCACCCTTAACCAACCCCATTCTTTCTGCGGCTCCCCTGTGGGCTATTGGGGAATCTCCCCTTGTACAGGAGTTCCATTTCGGGCCGCCGTGTGCATCACTTGAACTTACATAAGTGACATTCCCCTGTTCTGTCCCTACCCCTTTTGGGTACTGTTTCAGCGCACACTCTTTCAAAGATGATCAGCATCACATGGCACAGAGATGCATGAAAATGTAGACAAGCGCATCTCGTTTGCCTATTTGATTAGCAGTGGTGTCCAAACTTTTTTCAAAGAGGGCCAGATTTGATGAAGTGAAAGGCCGTGGGGGCTGACCAAAGAGCCAACCAAAGTTATTGACCTTTTTTTAAGGATTGATATTGCTGAGCTTCTTTTAGGGTTGAAATTGTTGAGGGTTTTTTTTAGGATTTTACCCCTTGAAATAAACTGCCACGGGGGCTGGATTAAACCATCCAGCGGGCCTGATTAGGCCCCTGAAATGGACTGGAGTTTCCGACTTCGTGTTGTTATTTTTTCATCAGAGGAGGGAGGGAAGGAAGGAAGGAGGGATGGTCAGCACCCCTGACCATCATTCAAGTCACCCCAGGGTGCCACGGCACACTGGTTGAAAACCATCTACCTGAAGCCCTCTTCATGCTTTGCTTGTGTGAAGAGACAAAGCAAGAAGATAGGGGTTGTGGGGCTTCACTTTTGAAGTCTGGGCATAACTAGTGTGGCCTTCTGATGTGGGTTGTTGTTGTGGTTGTTGTTTATTGAATTTATATACCACCCTATATAAAAAGTGCGGGTGGCGCTGTGGTCTAAACCACTGAGCCTCTTGGGCTTGCCAATCAGAAGGTTGGCGGTTTGAATCCCCGTGATGGATTGAGTTCCCATTGCTCTGTCCCAGCTTCTGCCAACCTAGCAGTTCGAAAGCACACCAGTGCAAGTAGATAAATAGGTACCTCTGTGGCGGGAATGTAAACGGTGTTTCCGTGCGCTATGTGTTCCATCACGGTGTTCCATTGTGCCAGAAGCGGTTTAGTCATGCTGGCCACATGACCTGGAAAGCTGTCTGTGGACAAACGCCGGCTCCCTCGGCCCGAGAGCGAGATGAGCGCCGCAACCCCATAGTCACCTTTGACTGGTCTTAACCGTCCAGGGGTTCTTTACCTTTTTACACCCTGTACCCAGAGGTCTCAGGGCGGTTCACAGAATAAAATCAAAATATGAAACCAGAAAATGCATAATAAAAAAAACCCAATAACCCCCGCCCTGAAAAAAACACATTTTAAAAAGGCATAGGATGTCAATCAAATCAACCATAGGCCTGGTTAAAAAGGAACATCTTTGCCTGGCACCTAAAGGTGTACTGTATAATGAAGGCGCCATTGTTTTTCTCTACACATGAAGTCTTCCTTGGATCCTGGGACTCTGATTGCTTAGGATTCCGTAATACAGGGAAGCCTCTGCATGAAGCAGCACTCATCCTGAGGAAGCCATGTGCTTGGGGGTGGGCAAATGTCTCCCCTCCCCCCTACTCTCTACTTGCTTTCCCTCTTTACCCGAGTAAAGCGTGAAGAAGAGGGCTTAATTCTGCGCTAGTTCTCAGAAGTGGGGTGTTAATTGGGACGAGACACAGGGCAGCGAGCAACTGTGCAAGCAATCTGCGCTGCGCTCTTGCCTCAAATCATGTGCAAAACAGCAGGTGCAGGCCTACTGAGAGGCACCACGAGCCGCAACGAGCCCCGAAACAAACGCTGATTGCCGGCCTCATTGACAAAGCACTTTCTGTAGCTGGAGCGGGCTACCCCTGCGACTGTTTCCCATTTGTTTCTTCCTGTGTACCAAAATTAGTTTCATATTGTTTGAACCGAGTGGTAATGGATTCTCCGTCATGCAAGCCCAGTCCCCTTCCAACAAAGAAAAGAGCCTGATTTGGTGGAGGGAGGGGAGGGGAATGCGGCGCTGCATATCAAATACATGCTGATGATGCGGTGGGACGAAGCGCATTCCCCCCGTTTCTCCTTACACCTGTTTGGACAGAAAAGGGTCACAGAGCAGGGTCCCCAGGGAAGCCCCCTGGAGAGGTGATTAATTGCCTACCTGCTGATTAAAAGGATCCAAGCGGCTGAATTCACCCAAGCCCGTTTCCGTAGGTGTCGCCATGTGCTGCAGCGCAACACTAACTGCTAAAGTTACAAGCCTTCCAAGTACAGTGGTACCTCGGGTTAAGTACTTAATTCGTTCCGGAGGTCCGTTCTTAACCTGAAACTGTTCTTAACCTGAAGCACCACTTTAGCTAATGGGGCCTCCCACTGCTGCTGCACCGCCGGCGCACGATTTCTGTTCTCATCCTGAAGCAAAGTTCTTAACGTGAAGCACTATTTCTGGGTTAGCGGAGTCTGTAAACTGAAGCGTATGTAACCTGAAGTGTATGTAACCTGAGGTACCACTGCATCCCTATTTCCGAGGGCAGCCCCGGGTTTACAGAAACAGTCCAGGTTTCTGATTTGATCCCGGAATGTCCCGCTTTTCTTTAGGACGTCCCCATTCCATCAGAGAAATGTTGGAGACATGTGACCCCCGAGCCAAGGAGTTAAGAAACTACACAACTTTTAAAAGACATCTGAAGGCAGCCGTGCACAGGGAAGTTTTGTGGTGTTTTATTTTCTTCTTATATAAGTTGGAAGCCGCCCAGAGTAGAGGGGCGGGGTATAAATAATAAAATTATTAGTATGGAATAGGATGTCCCTATTTTCATCAGAGAAATGTTGGAGGTAAATGTTGAAGTAAAATAGTAAGAGCTGTGCATACAGTGGTCGAAACCACTGAGCCTCCTGGGCTTGCCGATCGGAAGGTCAGTGGTTCAAATCCCTGCGACGGGGTAAGCTCCTGTTGCTCTGCCCCAGCTCCTGCCAACCAAGCAGTTCGAAAGCACGCCAGTGCAAGTAGATAAATAGGTACCGCTGTGGCGGGAATGTAAACGATGTTTCCATGCGCTATGTGCTCCATCACGGTGTTCTGTTGTGCCAAAAGCGGTTCAGTCATGCTGGCCACATGATCTGGAAATCTGTCTGTGGACAAACGCCGGCTCCCTCGGCCTGAAAAGCGAGATGAGCGCTGCAACCCCATAGTCTCCCTTGACTGGACTTAACTGTCCAGGGGTCCTTTACATTTTTTACCTGTCGTTGGACTGCCTTCTTCCTCTACCCACTGCCCATCTCTGAGGTGCTTTGAACATCTTGCAATTCCAGAAGTCAAGGAAACTTACTCCTTGGCTTGTGAAAACCATGCCCGAGTGTTGACGATGACTGCCTTTGTGCACATGTCGTAGTAACGTTATAACTAGCAATCTCGAGGGGGGGGTGGTTTCGCCTGTCTCCTGCTCAGATTGCCTGAGCTCTCGCCCTTCCTCCTCTGCAGAACAGTCTTCTCCCAAAGAGAACCAGGCCAGGCCGGATGCCCGGTCAGGTTTCTGCCCCGCTTGATGGTAAGGTGACAGCAATTCTGCGCCTTCTGGCCTTGAACCAGGGAAGGGTGGGCCATTCCTTGTCAGGAGGTGTTCTCTGTGTGTGAATGAGGGGCTGGGGGGGTGAGCACAGCTCTAATGCCCTGCTGTGTTTTCCTGCTGTGAAAATAGGGGTATGCTGTGACAGGCCCCAGGCCGGGCCTTTTCTCTTTCAAAGAGAGGGGGGCTGAAGAAACAGGTGCGCTCTGCGGTTGCTCTATATCTGCTGCCTTTGTGGCGGGGCTGCATCTGGTCAGCTGAAGGCGCTTTTTTATTATTTAAACTTTCCACGTGTGATTAGGGAAATGCTTGATTGCATGGGCTTGCTCCCTTATTATTTGGGCTCTGTCAGTTCTGATTGTGTGGCTATTCCTGTATCTTTGTTCCAGCGCACTCCAGGCAATGCATTGGAGTGGTGAACATTTAATCCCTTAGATTTTGGCTTTGTTTTGTTTTGTTTTGTTCCGAGCAACTCCGCAGGAAACAGAAATCCGAGTCATAAACATCCACACATGGTGCTGCTGAACTACACAGATCCCATCAACCCATCCCGCTGGCCATTCTGGATGGGGATGATGGGAATTGTCTTGGGGCAGCGGGGGGGGGGGCTAATAGGTCCCCTAGCCCTGGCTTGTTCAGCACCTCTGTATCATCTTGCTGCTGCATGGAATAACACATGTATCAGACCTTTGGATTTAGTAAGTAAAGCAATTTAAACTTTTTTTAAAAAAAATGCCTTCCACGCATACCTGCTACTAAGTGGGCTTCTCAATGACTGCCAATCTGTGTAGGTTGAAGCAGCAATGGTCAATCTGTGGTCCTCCAGATATGCTCCAGCATGTCCATCGGTCTGAGATAATGGGAGTTCTCATCCAACAACATCTGCAGAGCTGCAGGTTGCCCACGCCAGGGTTAAAATGGCCAGTTTGCCCTGGGAATCAACCTTGTGAAGGTTCCCCCAGGGGGTGATGTTCTTGACAGGGCTTGGATTAGCCTGACTGGTCTTTTGTAGGAATTCAACCGCACTGCAAACTTAATGAGATCAGGGCTCCTTCCATCACCTCTTCCAAGAAACAATATTCCGCGGTGGCTTCTCAGTTTTTGCCCGTCTTGTTAAATCTACCATCCGATTCAGCCTGGCGTCCCTGCGCACATGTAAGGGCTTCTATTTCTCTCTTGTTGAAACTCAGGCGAGTCTCTTTGAACAGCTGCTTCATCACCAGTTAACCTAGCAGGGGTCGCGATCAAATGTGATCATTCCATACGATTGCACCCAGTGATTTGATGCAATTTACTTTTTATGACTCTGTGTGGAGTTTCGGGGCTGCTTCCAAGTAGGAAAAGCATCACAGGTGAGATAATCTTCTTGACCCATGTACTCAGTTGCGAAATACCTGCAATGTGCTTCACAAGGTACAATATGCACATTTCTTCCCACCCACTTGTGTACAGGTGGCCCAAGTATTTATTTGGCTACAGTGGATAAGAGAGGGCAGTGATAGATTCACATGCTTTGTGTACACAAGGTCCCTGGTTCAAGTCCCAGAAGTGTTAGAAACTCAGATATATAATCTAATCACCAAATGGCACCTTAAACCTGGGCTGTGGTCACCACAATGCAGTGTCTAGGCTCTGTTTCCCTCCCACCTATGGGATGTTAAATTATTATTATTATTATTCATTCATTCATTCCACTTTTATACCGCTTTATATTTTAAAGAACAAATCTCAAAGTGGTTTGCAACACATTAAAACATACAAATAAAACAATCTGGAATAGAACTAATTCAAGCTTCATGGAAAATATTTCAAATCCTTCCCTAAGTGACATCACCTCCTGGCAAATAGAAGGGGAAGAAATGGAGGCAGTGAGAGATCTTACTTTCCTGGGCTCCATGATCACTGCAGATGGTGACAGCAGTCACGAAATTAAAAGACGCCTGCTTCTTGGGAGAAAAGCAATGATAAACCTAGACAGCATCTTAAAAAGCAGAGACATCATCTTGCCAACAAAGGTCCCTACAGTTAAAGCTATGGTTTTCCCAGTAGTGATGTATGGAAGTGAGAGCTGTAGTGATGTATGAAAGAAGGCTGATCGCCAAAGAATTGATGCTTTTGAATTCTGGTGCTGGAGGAGACTCTTGAGAGTCCCATGGACTGCAAGAAGATCAAACCTCTCCATTCTGAAGGAAATCAGCCCTGAGTGCTCACTGGAAGGACAGATTGTGAAGCTGAGGCTCCAATATTTTGGCCACCTCATGAGAAGAGAAGACTCCCTGGAAAAGACCCTGATGTTGGGAAAGATGGAGGGCACAAGGAGAAGGGGATGACAGAGGACGAGATGGTTGGACAGTGTTCTCGAACCTACTAACATGCGTTTGACCAAACTGCGGGAGGCAGTGGAAGACAGGAGTGCCTGGTCCATGGGGTCACGAAGAGTCAGACACGACTAAACGACTAAACAACAACAACAACAAAGTGACATTTTGCTTTCCCCAGTCGCCAGCCTGGCATCCAGAGATATCCACGTGGTCGCCATTGGGCCTGTGCTAGTCACAAAACGTGACTAGCACCTGGCTAATTTTGAACACTTGAGTCCCAACATCTCCAGTATGAAGGTGGATTGTTGGCCACTGTGGGGATAGGATAATGAACTAGATAGGCATTTGCCCTGATCCACCAGGCCTTTTCTTCTGTTCTTCAGGAGCAGCTAGGAGGCGATCTGAAAGACATGGATAGCTCGGTTGGCTAGAGCATGGTGCTGATAGCGACAAGGTTGCAGGTTCGATCCCCGTACGGGGCAGCTGCATATTCCTGCATTGCAGGGGGTTGGACTAGATAATCCTCAGGGTGAGATGCTGCTTGTCAGAGTAAACATTACCAGGTTAGGTGGAGACACAGTCTTAGCTCTGCACCTTCCCCGTGTTCGTTTATTATTACATTTATGGTCCACCTTTTCTCCAGAAAGTTCACGATGGTATACACACTTCTTCCCCTCTCCGTTGTCTTGTCACAGCAACCTAGTGAGGAAATTTAGGGCCGAGAGACCTTGTCTGGCCCAAAGTCACCCAATGGGCTTCATGACTGAGAGGGGATGTGAACCCGGATCTCCCAGGTCTAAGTCCGGCACACTAACCACTGCTTCACTCTGGATGCCACTACGCAGATAACAGCATGGGCATGTTTTTGTGCTCAGCTGTGAAATTGCATAACCTGAGATTGGTGTCTTGAGCTCTTGGGAGGACGGGCAGGGTACAAATAAAATGCTTGACGAGTTGGATCCAGGGTGGAAGGCACCAAGGTCCAGGCAAGGTCTCCTGCTGAAGGAAGGGGACCAATGAGGAGGCAGCTCTCAGTGTTTTCCTCTGCATCACCCGCCACACTACCATAATCCTCCACAGCAGATGCTTTTAGGGGACATGGGCTGCAGGGAGAAGACAGAATCTGCTTGAACCGCTTCTTCCACATTCTCCACTGGGAGTGGGGCTGGGCGATACCTGGTTTTCAGCACCGTGATATATCACCAGCTAAACACCATGATGGGATGTGGGTGGCGCTGTGTGTTAAACCGCAGAGCCTAGGACTTGCCGAACAGAAGGTCGGCGGTTCGAATCCCCGCGATGGGGTGAGCTCCTGTTGCTCAGTCCTTGTTCCTTCCCACCTAGCAGTTCAAAAGCACGTCAAAGTGCAAGTAGATAAATAGGTACCGCTCCGGCAGGAAGGTAAACGGCGTTTCCGTGCGCTGCTCTGGTTCGCCAGAAGCGGCTTAGTCATGCTGGCCACATGACCTGGAAGCTGTAAGCCAGCTCCCTCGGCCAGTAAAGCGAGATGAGCGCTGCAACCCCAGAGTCGGTCACGACGACCTAATGGTCAGGGGTCCCTTTACCTTTACCTAAACACCATGATATACCGATTTATGACAGTATCCGAAAGGAGGATGGAGCTGTGTAGAGGTATTGGCTAGCTTCACGTTTTCCCCTGCAGAGTTAACGGGCTGCAGGACTCGAGAGAAGCATTGGCTGGCTTTACCAGTTTTCCCATGTTGAGATTTTTGCATAGTATACACACACAAGCACATCATATCATGGTAAAGGTAAAGGACCCCTGAACAGTTAAGTCCAGTCAAAGGTGACGATGGACGCTCATCTTGCTTCCCATGCCAATAGAGCAAGTGTTTGCCCCCAGACAGCTTTCCGGGTCATGTGGCCATCATGACTAAACTGTCTCCGGAGCAATGGAACACTGTGACAGAAACCAGAGCGCATGGAAATGCCATTTATCTTCCCGCTGCAGTGGTACCTATTTATCTACTTGCACTAGTGTGCTTTTGACTGCTAGGTTGACAGGAGCTGGGACAGAGCAACGGGAGCTCACCCCGTTGCGGGGATTCGAACCGCCGACCTTCTGATCAGCAAGCCCAAGAAGCTCTGTGGTTTAGACCACAGCGCCACCCGCACCCACTGGGAGTAGGGCTGGGCTGTGACTTTTGCCGGTGCCTGCTCTTGTGATTCACTCCCGCCTGCAGGAAGCAAGGGAGAGCTAAACCAGCAGGGTTAACAGGGTCTGCAGGACTCGAGAGAACCAGTGTGGTGTAGTGGTTAAGAGCGGTAGACTTGTAATCTGGGGAACTGGGTTCGCGTCTCCGCTCTTCCACTTGCAGCTGCTGGGTGACCTTGGGCCAGTCACTTCTCTGAAGTCTCTCAGCCCCACTCACCTCACAGAGTGTTTGTTGTGGGGGAGGAAGGGAAAGGAGAATGTTAGTCGCTTTGAGACTCCTTCGGGTAATGATAAAGCGGGATATCAAATCCAAACTCCTCCTCTTCTTCTTCTTTGAGAGAAGCACTGACTGGCTTCATGAGTTTTCCCATATTGAGATTTTTCCATAGCATACACACACAATCACATCATGATTCATGATATGTTGCCAAGTCCATAATTGTGAAACCAATATCATGATATGGACTTCAAACAGGTTTGGGACGATATATCGCCAAGCCCTAACTGGGAGCATCCCATAAGCAGAGTTTTGCTCACTTGAACTCTGGATCCAACCCATTGAAAATATTACTGTCAGACAGACTGGTTCTATGTGTAGACACTTGTGTGGCTGTGAAAAAGAGGGCCCCATATTCTTGATGAACTGGCTTGGGTGCAATAGGTTCTCCATGCTTGACTTAGAGCTTGGGTGGCCAAGATGTTCTTGGACTACAGCTCCCATCATTGGCCATGCTGGCTAGGGCTTATGGGAGTTGTAGTCCATCAACCGCTGCTGAGATGAAGGCGGCAGCAACCAAAGGCTGAAATGGCCCGGTTGAACCAGCATTTAATTCCCCCCCTATATAATTCTCCTTTGCTTCCTAGTCTGTTTAGTTCCCCTCCTCACACTTGGCAGAAGAGACTCACCTTTTCACAGCAGTACTTCTTCATTTACAAATTACAATTTTCCCAACAATTTGCTGTGTATAAAAATTGGCCTTATGTGCAACCGGCCACTTAGTTGGAGAATGGAGCCTGCAGCCTTGACGCACTCTGTGAACAATTGGTAATAACTCTGAACCGACCCCATTTACTGCAGTGGGAGTTCTTGACTACAGTCTGAATTCTTACCAGATAAACTCTGCCACCCACTTTTGCTCTGTGCTAAGTTTGCTACCGATGCAAATGTCCTCTGAAAACCTAATGGACTTCCATGTGTGTATGCGCCAAAACAATTTGTCTCGCTGACCTGAGAGGAAATTTGGTCTCTTCCGTGTGACCGCAAATGCCTCTTTTTCTAATTCTTAATATTGGCTGCCCAGTTATTCTTTTCAGTGATGTGGATACAATACTTAGCAAGCAGTAGGTGAGGGTGGTTTTTCAAAAATCTTCTGGTTTAGTTTTCAATACTTTCCCTCCCTTTTAGCTCTCTGAATGATTAATGGGAATAGGAAAATAGTGTTGACCCATTTAAATCGTGTTGGACAACCTTCATTGCTCATCTGCATAATGAAATACACACTGAGCATTACGTCTTAAGTGTAGGAGCCACTGAACTACAAATATTTCTCTAATTCAAATTATGAAGTAAATTATAGAACGTTCAGTACTAATAATAGTATTAAATATTAAGCCACCGTGTAAATTGTAATTGTCAGGGAGAACCATAAATTGAAAATACTATTATCAATTTAGCTATAACAGATAATTTCGGTAACCTGCCTCCCTCCCTCCCTCCTTACAACACTGCATTTTGGGGGGGGGAGTCTCTGTGTTGAAATCCACTTGTAATAAAACGCTAAAATCAGAGTGATTTATACGTGTATCATTTTGTGTTCCATTTTAAGTTAGCAATATTAATTTGCAAGGCTAAAATATATTGATTTTTTTATAACACTGTTATCTTTTTGCTTGAATGCAATTTTTAAAAAGCAAATTATCGGTAATTGAGATGGAAAAATCATTCTGGGCAATGGTTAGGAAACAAAGAAAACCATTGGGCTCTAAAATAATAATAAAAAAACCCCACGAATTTTATGAAACGGGGACATAATTTGCAGCGTTTTAAAATAAATGCAAACTTTAAAATGGTGAACTTGGTCTGCGGGGTTTCTATGGTTACCCACCTTCAGACAGCTTTATAAGATGCGTAAATAGGTCTATGAGTGATTTATAATTATTTGTGTGGGGTTTTTTGTTTGATATGTTGGTAACCTCGTGTTCCGTTTGCATGTAATACATTTTGCATGCTTTGGTTTATGTATATTTTAGCACCTTTGATTGACAATGATTGAGCGTTCCTTTCTTGATTTTTTTTGTCATAGATGATGGATGTTGATAGTGTTGAAAATGTAAACAATTTTACTTGCATCACTATTTTGATAAACAAGGACTCTCTTATGCTAAATGGGGGGGGGGGGGGAAGGACCTGTATATCTTGAGCAGGAAAGCTCCTTTCCTTTATGTTGAACTGCTCCAAGCAGGTTCCGTAATCCTGCCTGTTAAATATATTCATCAAATCAAACGCCAGACTCTCGTGTGAATAAATATGCTAGGTATGCAAGAATGCCACACTTTAGCAGCTGCCTGACATGAAAACAAACAATGTTCACGAAGCTACCAAATTTCAGATGAAATTGGACTTTTGTCTGGAACGTCTTCATTACACAGTATGTGGTATGAAATACAAAAAAATATATTTTCGGATTCCATCTACATCTTATAAATGCCAGGCCGCATTTTGTCTGTCTGCGCATTTGTCAGAATATCTCTTCCAAAAATAGCGGGGTGACCCCCCATCCTTACTTAGTCTAGCGTCTAGAGTAAAGTTTGGGGGACATCGCTGTTTTAGTTGGAAATTAGCTGCTCACTCCACGTACAGTGGTACCTCAGGTTACAGACGCTTCAGGTTACAGATGCTTCAGGTTACAGACTCCGCTAACCCAGAAATAGTACCTCGGGTTAAGAACTTTGCTTCAGGATGAAAACAGAAATCTTGCAGTGGCAGCAACCTGAGGCCCCATTAGCTAAAGTGGTACCTCAGGTTAAGAACAGTTTCAGGTTAAGAAGGGACCTCCGGAATGAATTAAGTTCATAACCCGAGGTACCACTGTACACCCGGTGTGTTTATTCTTGAGACCCTCCTGTCCATGCAACAGGCAAATGGGACAGGGGAATGAGGAAGAGAGAGGGGAGAAGCTTGCTTTGCAGCTCTTTTGGGCCATTCTTGGAGAAGAGTTGATCCATAAAGACTGGGGAGGCTTGTGCCCTGATTTCCGCATCAGGAGGAGGTAGTGTGCGGATGTGCTGATCTCCAGGGGAAACCTGCAACAGAGCACAGAAAGAGGTGGGCACAGCCCCCCAAATGGTGGCTTGCGGTGCCAATCATTGCAACACAAGAGGCGGTCAACAATGTTAGAAAGACAGATACAGTGGTACCTCGGGTTACATATGCTTCAGGTTACATAAGCTTCAGGTTACAGACTCCGCTAACCCAGAAATAGCGCTTCAGGTTAAGAACTTTGCTTCAGGATGAGAACAGAAATCACGCAGCAGCAGCAGGAGGCCCCATTAGCTAAAGTGGTGCTTCAGGTTAATAACAGTTTCAGGTTAAGTACGGACCTCCGGAATGAATTAAGTACTTAACCCGAGGTACCACTGTATACTAACCAAGAGCCAAATGGTTCCTTAAACCATGGTTACAGTCGCCAAAATGGAATGTCTAGTTGCCATTTGGGGGTACGACAGCTCTAAAGTCTCATTTTTCAAATGATGGACTGACTGTGATTGATTATCAGTTAAACATCTGGCTAGTTTAGATGACCTGAAGGAGCGTCTCCACCCCCATCGTTCTGCCCAGACACTGAGGTCCAGCTGCGAGGGCCTTCTGGCGGTTCCCTCACTGCGAGAAGCCAAATTACAGGGAACCAGGCAGAGGGCCTTCTCGGCAGTGGTGCCCGCCCTGTCGAACGGCCTCCCATCAGTTCTCAAGGAAATAAACAACTATCTGACTTTCAGAAGACATCTGAAGGCAGCCCTGTTTAGGGAAGTTTTTAATGTTTGATGTTTTATAATATTCTGCTGGGAGCCACCCAGAGTGGCTGGGGAAACCCAGCCAGATGGATGGGGCATAAATAATATGTTGTTGTTTATTGATTATTATTATTATTATTATTATTATTATTATTAAGAACCTTTAGCTAAGTTAGGAACTTTGATAACTTAAAGAATAAAAGTCACTTGATCCAGGCACAATCCACATACATATTGGCATATTCTGATCTCTTTTTCTTAATGGTGACACAGACCATTCCTAACATAGGAATATTCTTCACAACTGTGAGCAGGGCAAGGGGCGTGGTGGTATGTAAGTGAAGGCAAGCTACGACAATTACCTATAATTGCACAGAAAAAGCATTTTGATTCCTGAAATTCATTCTGATTCTGCAGTTAAAATATAACTGATAGAGTTCTACAGGATGTGGTGTTAGTGTGTGAAAGCAGTCAAGATCCAAGGACCCCCCCAGGCATGCTCCTCCAGGTGGTGGAGATGTCAGGTGCCATCCTGGCACCCTGGCATCTTCACTTGGTCGCAAGTGGCCGATTGTTGTAGTTGTTTAGTTGTGTCCGACTCTTCATGACCCCATGGACCAGAACACGCCAGGCACTCCTGTCTTCCCCTGCCTCCCGCAGTTTGGTCAAACTCATGCTGGTAGCTTCGAGAACACTATCCAACCATCTCGTCCTCTGTCGTCCCCTTCTCCTTGTGCCCTTCATCTTTCCCAACATCAGGATCTTTTCCAGGGAGTCTTCTCTTCTCATGAGGTGGCCAAAGTATTGGAGGCTCAGCTTCACGATCTGTCCTTCCAGTGAGCACTCAGGGCTGATTTCCTTCAGAATGGATAGGTTTGATCTTCTTGCAGTCCATGGGACTCTCAAGAGTCTCCTCCAGCACCAGAATTCAAAAGCATCAATTCTTTGGCGGTTAGCCTTCTTTATGGTCCAGCTCTCACTTCCATACATCACTACTGGGAAAACCATAGCTTTAACTATAGGGACCTTTGTTGGCAAGGTGATGTCTCTGCTTTTTAAGATGCTGTCTAGGTTTGTCATTGCTTTTCTCCCAAGAAGCAGGTGTCTTTTAATTTCGTGGCTGCTGTCACCATCTGCAGTGATCATGGAGCCCAAGAAAGTAAAATCTCTCACTACCTCCATTTCTTCCCCTTCTATTTGCCAGGAGGTGATGGGACCAGTGGCCATGATCTTAGTTTTTTTGATGTTGAGCCGATAGCCGATAGCCAGGTTCAAAATGCACCTAGCACCTGGCGAATTTCAAACACTGGCCATCACTATGGGCCAACAGAGGAGGATGGGCTGTGGGCCCAAAGAAGGGAGGAGCCTACAGGAGAAGGGGTGGAGTTGGCAGAGAGACCCTGAGGGCTCCCCAAAATGTCTCTAGCCCAAACTCCTGTAGTTTCTCCATTCTAAGGGAGTGGGGAATCAATGTCATTGTTCAAACTTTGGAAGGATTAATATTTAATTTTGTAGTAGCATGAAAGATACCTAAAATGTATCGTTTGAGCATAGGCATGCTGAGGCTTCTGTGGCTGTTACTTACATTTGTAAATTCTCTCTCAATGGGAGGCTAACCCCCATAATGTATAAAATTGTGTTTTCAGATTCCTGCAACTGCTGCTTATAAAACAAGATAATGCAGGTAATTAACCAAACCTGACACGGTGGAGGAAAATGCTCACTGCTAGATGCCATTTCCAAACAAGCAGTATTTTATTAAAAGATTTCTCTCAGAAAACAAATTCTGACATGATTTATACTTTTCTCCATTGTTGAGGTAAGGCTGGCTTTATGGCTCAAGAAACGGTTGTTGTAGTTTCTCAGGTACATGGCTGCAAAACTGAAATTAAAATATAATGACCTCCAACATTTCCCCAATGAAAATAGGGCCGTCCTATTCCATCATAATAATTTTAATACATATACTTTGCCCATATGCCAAGCCACTGTGGGCAGCTTCCAACATACAGTGGAACCTCAGTTTTCGAGAGTCTCGGAAGCCAAATGATTCAGAACCCAAACGTCAAAAAGCCGGAAGTAATTGCTTCCGTTTTCAAACGCACCTTGGAAGTCGAACGGCTTCCGAGGTGCGTTTCTCCATTTTTTCAATGGATTTTGCCGACCACCCATTGAGCCTCGGTTTTCGAACGATTTGGAAGTCGAACAGTCTTCCGGAACGGATTACGTTCAAAAACCGAGGTTCCACTATATATAAAAACATTTTAAAAAATTAAACATAAAAAAACTTCCCTATACAGGGCTGCCTTCAGATGACTTGTGGGTCAAATAACTCAATACCCTTCGACATTTCTCCAATGAAAATAGGGTTAACTTGAGGAAAAGTGGCGCATTTTGGAATTAAATCAGAAACCAGGACAGCTTTTGTAAATCTGGAACTGTCCCCAGGAAATAGCGACACTTGGAGGTATGAAATATATTGGTGAGTAACTGTGGGGTTGGTATCTATTTTATTTATACAGTATGTAAAGAATGATAAGAGTAGGTTGCATAGGAGAGTACAGAAAACTATTATGCTAGATTCTTCGTTTTCTTCATGGATTTTCTTTATGGATTTATGTTAAAAACCAGGAACACTGACAGGATTATTACTGTTTTTAAACCAGGTTATTTTCCTGTACACATATAGCGCAGGAAGCAATATGTACATATTAGTACATTGTACACAGAATACAATTGTGTGGCAGTTGTGAGTCCTTCTTTGCTTTAGCTTTGCAAAAAAAGTAAGTGAAGCATTGTATGCAACACGTAAGGACACAAACCAATAGGAATGTTGCCTATACAGGCACCATTGAAATTAGTGGGAGTTGTGTAAGCATGCATTAAATATTTCCCAGTGGGTTGCACTTGGGAGATGTGCCTGTTAACAATTATTTATCTTAATGCCTGCTCATTAGTAGGCTTTTGTCTGTGTTTAAAAATCTAAATACTAAATCTGTTGAATGCTTAGTTTCCTGTCAAAATTGAGATTTGGGGGTCAGGAGAGTTGCTATCACTTCAAATTGGATAATCCACAAAAGATATGAGCAAATCTGTACATTCTGGTTATAATTGTAGACATAAAGTTATGTGTTTTCCCCTTTATAACAGAAGTGCAAGCAAGTTAATAGGAATGTTTCTTTAACTGGTTTTTTTTTAAAGTTGAAATTTGCCAGATGTGCGAGTTTGAGGCCTGTATTCCCCTGGTGTTAACCATGTGTGAACCTTTTTTAAAAAATCGCTCTGTCCAGCGTTTGGCTCTGACTTGTTTCATTGAGCTCTCTTGTTGGCTCTTGACTTAGGCTTTCACGTTACGCCATGCTAGCAGTGGGAAATTTTATCAAAAAGAATATTGAGATGTGAATTCTAGATTTTCTGCTTTCTTCGTAACCCTTTTTACTGTACTGGCTGTAGAGACACGATTTCTTTTCATCAAAGAAATGCCTGTGGTGTTAAAGAAAAAGGGGGAAGGGTTAAGAATCCCATTTTTTAAAAATAGAAAACGCATTACATCTATCCACACTTTTATTAATAGACAATGAAACCCCTTTGGTCGAAGGATGAATGGAAGAGGCTTGCAATATTCTGCTGTGGCTGTTCTCCATACAGACACACCCCCAACAGCTTCAGCGTTTTGTTCAGCAAAGCACTAAATTAACTGATCTTACTGTCTTTTTGTTTTCTTGGTCCCCCCCCCCCATATCTCTTTTTTTAAATGTACAACCACTGGGGCAATCATCGGCCGAAGATTTGGGGATTTATTTTTAAGGGTGTAAAATGAGACGTCTTCCGACTTTCTTTAGGCTTGTTAAAGTTGCACGGTATCAATTGCTATTGATAAAAGGTGGCTCCAAGCCAGCTTCCTGGGAAAAAGAGCTCTGGGGAAGGGTCAGGGTTTGTCATGACCCAGGCGCTATTGCTTGAATGTTGTTATTATTGGGCCAGAGTACCCTTAGGCTGTCATCCTTCCTGTACTGATTCTGCAGAGTTTCCAACTTACCTTCCTCTATGCAGCATAAAAAAAGCAAAATAAAGCAACCTAGTCTCTTATGCTTGCAGCACAAGGACTGCATTATTCTCGGAGATATTGCGACCACAGCATGAATGTTGAAAATGGAGTCGGGGAAATGAAAAACAAGCCACGCCAGTGGTTACGAAAATGACGGCTGAGATTTAATATGCGGTAGTTTACACAGTTGCAAAATGTGCATGTTGCTGATCGATATTAGTTGAGCTAGGCATTATTTGAGTCAACTGCAAAACTTCACATTCACAAAGAATAGCGTCCAGGCAAATTCTCCTTAGTTTCACCCTGTTTAGGAATCCTGATAACAACCAATTTAAAACATGGCTTCATAGTCGCATCGACATGTGTGGTCATGGGAATATCCCTCCCAGGTGAGGACAGTGGCCAATTGAACACCATGGGTGGTCAACCTGCACCAGGAATATCAGAAATGGGACAAGAACAGGGGTTTGTGCCATTCCTGGACAAGGTAGGAATATAGTCAGGCCTGGTTTCCTCTCCAGCGCTCCTTGGCTCAGGCTGGAATCAAAACAGCTCCAAGGCGTGGGTTGGGGGATAGGACTTGCTTTTTACTTGGACCACACCTGCAAAAGTTGCCTTCCCTCTAAAACGTTAGACAATATGTACAGTATCTAGCACTGACCCAGCTATAGAAGCAAGCTATACAATTCCATGATGTCCCAAAATTCCAGGGCTGCCTCCTTCAGCCGGGTCAAAATCTTGGAGAGAAAGTCAGTTTGGGAAGGAAATACACAGGTTAGGGCAGTGGTTCTCAAACTTTTTCCCCCTCTGGGCCACACTTTCGGAATAAAGATCTGCTCAAGCATTTTATTTTATTTTAATTGAGAATAAATACATAGGAAAACAAAAAGAAACAATCCTAGCAGTTCAGTGGTACCTCGGGTTAAGTACTTAATACGTTCCGGAGGTCCGTTCTTAACCTGAAACTGTTCTTAACCTGAAGCACCACTTTAGCTAATGGGGCCTCCCGCTGCTGCTGCGCCGCCGGAGCATGATTTCTAGTCTCATCCTGAAGCAAAATTCTTAACCCGAGGTACTATTTCTGGGTTAGCGGAGTCTGTAACCTGAAGCGTATGTAACCTGAAGCATATGTAACCCGAGGTACCACTGTACTTGATTTATAACATAGAACACAACTGCTTTATAATAGGATTGTGGGACATCCAGAAAGTATAACACAATGCAGCTACATAAGATGACCAATCATTCCCAAAATATAATTATAAACGCGCCTCTTACACATGTACCTTAAGTATGTTTAGAAGTTCAAGTGAGAGGCGTGAGCTTGCTGTGGCCAGGTAATCTCATTTATATTAAGTCTAATTTGAGATAAACAAACCCTCATTCCTTTGGATCTTCCCAGCATATTTTCCATCCTCTCCTGCCACACCGGTGTGGCGTACCACACAGCCTTTGAGAACTACTGGGTTAGGGGTTCATTGGCTTGGTGAGGGTCTCTGCATTCCAGAACAGCCTTTTCCAACCCAGCTATTGTTGGGCTTCTCATCGTCCCTGACCATTGGGCCATGCAGGCTGGACAGATGGAAGTTGTAGTCCAAAAACATATGGGGACCTAAGGTTGGGAAAGGTTGTTCTCGAAGACACACTGAGAAGCTCTTGGGTCTCTGTCACCTGTCTAGGGCAAGGGCAATCTTAGGAATATAACACTGAGTCACAGAATTGGTCCATCTCCCGGGTTTCAGGCAGGGGTCTCTCCCAGCCCTACCTGCGATTGAATTTGAGACCTTCTTTGTGCAAGACTGGTGCTCTACCTCTTCCCTATAGCCACAGGTGTAAAGAGGGGGAACTGCAAAACTGGTGAGCTTTAAAAACTAGAATAGTATCCCTATGTTATTAATAGGTTTTACAGTACTTATGACCTTGATTATTTAACAATCTCCCCCTCCATTTAGTTTTGGCTTTTTGATTAGATGGGCACTTTTATAACGCAGTGGTGAGATAATTCTGTTACACCAAACTGATGATATAGAAGTGTATTTCTGAGCAGCATCCCAGTCAAGTATTGTTCATGGGAAGTGTATTGTTATGCTGTTTGGCATGTAATACAGTAATACAAGTAGAAGGACGCGGGTGGCGCTGTGGTCTAAACCATCGAGCCTCTTGGGCTTGCTGATCAGAAGGTCGGCAGTTCGAATCCCTGCAATGGAGTGAGCGCCCGTTGCTCTGACCCAGTTCCTGCCAACCTAGCAATTCGAAAGCACGCCAGTGCAAGTAGATAAATAGGTACCATTGGCCATGCTGCCTGCAACTGGTGGGAGTTGTAGTCCAAAACATCTGGATGGCACCACATTGGGGAAAGCTATCCTAGGGCAACAAAAATTCACTTAGGGCAAGTTGTTTCAGACATTATATAAACAGAGTATATTCTTCTGATTAAAATTTTGGCACGCACTACACCTCAGGGTAACTAGCCTCGCTGAGATGCCAAATAGTTTATCAACTGAAAATGCTGAACTTGATCTTGTCTCAACACTATCTTGGATATCAGCAAAGTGTTTTATTGGATTTTAACACTGTATGATTATAGCCTGCTTTAGGTTACATGGGGAAGGGCAGGTAAGAAATCTTCTACATAAATAAATAAAGTCCCCCCCCCCCAAGTCTCTGGAAACTGCAGATTAAACAATTACTTAAAAGTATATCATACAATGCAATTCATTCAATGATCGACCTCAAGATTACTTTCCTAAGTACAGTCATACCTCATGTTACATTTGCTTAATGTTACGTTCTTTCAGGTTACGTCCCGTGGCGACCTGGAAGTACCGGAAAGGGTTACTTCCAGGTTTCACCGCTCGTGCATGTGCAGAAGCGCAAAATGACGTCATTTGCAGAAGCGGCAAATCGCAACCCGCGCATGCGCAGATGTGCCGCTGCGGGTTGTGCTCTTTTCATGTTGCAAACAGGCCTCCGGAACGGATCCCGTTCGCAACCAGAGGTAATGCTGTAATAAACTCAGTTCATTCATGGGCAAGGAGATGTTGTAGTTCAGGAATGGGGAACTTGTGGTCCTCCAGGTGCTGTGGCTCCAACTCCCATCAGCCCCAGCCAGGATGGCCATTGGCCAAGGATGATGAGAACATCAAGAGGGCCACAGGTTCCCCATCCCTACTACACTGGAACTGATTCACAGGTGTGGTATAAAGTAAAGGTAAAGGTACCCCTGCCCGTACGGGCCAGTCGTGTCCGACTCTAGGGTTGTGCGCCCATCTCACTTAATAGGCTGGGGGCCAGCGCTGTCCGGAATCACTTCCGGGTCACGTGGCCAGCGTGACGAAGCTGCTCTGGCAAGCCGGCACCAGCGCAGCACACGGAAACGCCGTTTACCTTCCCGCTATAAAGCGGTACCTATTTATCTACTTGCACTTAGGGGTGCTTTCGAACTGCTAGGTGGGCAGGAGCTGGGACCGAAGGACGGGAGCTCACCCCGCCGCGGGGATGCAAACCGCCGACCATGTGATCGGCAAGCCCTAGGCGCTGAGGTTTTACCCACAGCGCACAGGTGTGGTATAGATTGCTAATTTTGCTGCCAGGTCTGTGTTCCCTGTGCATTCCATTTCCGTTGTCAAATTCATCATGTGGGTGTGGATGAACATCATGGATGGGTGGATGAACATGTGTGTTTACATATTTTTCCAGCCATTTAGGTCACTATTTTTTTGGACTGATCCTGTATTTCTAGTAAGCATACATACTAGGAAGTAACCCCCATTTCCCAAAAAGTGTAGGTAGCCAGTGGTAGCCATCAACCACTGACTAGGCTAAGACTATACATTGACAGAGTCAATTGCAACAGTGGCACCCCGGTCAAAGTCCAGGGCTCTGTCCTTTGGGTAGCACAGGTTCTCTTGCCCACCACCTTCCTCCAAATCATGGAATCATATAATTGTAGAGTTGGAAGGGACCCTGAGCATCATCTAGTTCTAGGCCAACTCCCTGCAATGCAGAACTATGCGGCTATTCCATACAGGGGTGGAACCAGCAGCCTTGCCATTATCAGCACCGCAAACGAACAAGTTGGAACAAATGTAGCTCCGCGTTGAACCTCTGACAGGTGGACATTCTTTGTGGCCTGCACTATTGTTCTGTGTATGTGGTAAAGATTTGTTATACAGTGGTACCTTGGGTTACATACGCTTCAGATTACATACGCTTCAGGTTACAGACTCCGCTAACCCAGAAAGAATACCTCAGGTTAAGAACTTTGCTTCAGGATGAGAACAGAAATCGTGCTCTGGCCGCGCGGCTGCGGGAGGCCCCATTAGCTAAAGTGGTGCTTCAGGTTAAGAACAGTTTCAGGTTAAGAATGGACCTCCGGAACGAATTAAGTACTTAACCTGAGGTACCACTGTATGTCCAGAGCTGGTGTAAGGGGCTTCATATCCTTGCAGAAGGCTCCCTCAATCCCCAGGGGTCCTGCGGCCAGTAGTAGCAGCCCAAGGGGTCAGGCAGAGCCGCCTTTCTGATATTAGTAGCTCTGCAGCTTGCCTGAACAGCGCTAGAGCAGCGCGGCAGCGGAGTCTGGATAAATGCAGTGGCAGGAACACCAGATGAGCCTCTTTGTGTCCACACAGCCCTGAACTTGCCTAGCTCCCATGCCATCCAGGTAAGCCGCAGGGCTGCTTCTTCCTACCATGCTTGCTGCAAGTCCTCCTGGTTTTGTCGCTCTTCCTCTGCGTTGCCACTGCCCTCCCTGAGCATGCAGACAGTGGCAACAGTGAGGAGGTGAAGCAGCCTCTCAGTGGCGTAGCGTGGGTTGCCACTGCCCAGGGCTGCACGGAGGGGGTGGTGGGAGGGAGGAAAATGGATGGAACACACATGCTCATTCAGCTGCCTAATGGTGTATATGTCACCCAAGGGATTGCAGCTGCAGAGATAAGAAAAGAAGAGTCATTCCGTTGTCTGGAGAGGTCGCTTCCTGGTTCGCATAGAGAAGCTCTTTTCAACAGAGTCAGCGCACAGCACTGAGTGTTGAAATTTTGCGCCCCCTAACATTTTTGAACCCCTGTGCCCCTCCCACACTACACCACTGGAGCAGCCTCCTGTATCTCCCCCCTTGAACCTGCAGCCAGCATTTTACAAAAGCTTTCCGAAGAATGATCTGGATAGACTTGCTTGCAGTCTGAAAAAGTAAGAAGACTGTGGGGGCATGAAAGTTTCAGAGGATTCCCAGGGATTGTTTTGTTTAGGGTCGCCATGGTGCAGGAAGGATGGATTCACAAGAGGGGAACAGACTGTGATGGGTGGGAGTTCCTGCCTCTAGGGAACTTGTAGGCTTAAGAGGCTAGGATTTGTGAAGTGTGGGGCGGGTGGTGAGGGTGGAGAGAGAGAGAGAGAGAGAAAGCGGAGAGAAACACATGAGAATTGTCTTCCTTGGGGCTAAACATTTCTTCTAAGGGGTCTGTCCTATAGCCATGATTTCCTGCCACGGAGGGAAAAGGGCTGCGAAGCATCTGGAGAGAAGGAGACTCTCTTTACCAGCTTGTTTCCTGTACGTTAAATTGGAATGCCTTGTCTGTGCAAATAGATTTCAAAATAGAGCCTGCCCTTTGACTGTCTCTGTAATTGCATGGCTCTTGCAGTGTTTTATTTGGCTGCCAGAGTAGTTAACCCCTGGAAGTAAAGGGTTGAGGATGGCGTGACCAGCACGGGTGTGTAGACATGGCCATGTGAATGCCGCCTTGTTTAAATAAGCCTGCTTACCCACGGCCCTTTTTCTGAAACATTTGTACTCTCTCTCTCTCACTCTGTGATATATATATATATATATAAGTACCACACATATATAGATATATATCACATGCAAAAAGTTGATTTAAAATATGCTAGCTCCTGGGTGTACAGATAATGAGGTGGTTTTAGCTACCCAAAAGGGGGGGGGTGGAGTTTTTTCACTGCTTTGATGTAACCCACATCTGTCAGGCCTGGCTGGGGGTGGGGGCTTGAATTTGTTTTTGTTTAATTTCAAGGGCTCTTGTCTTCCTTATTTGCCCAATCAGTTTAAGCTTCTGCCCCAGGCACTCCCTTGTGCTGTTCTTTTCTTCTGCCAGCGCACAGGTTATTGCGTGTGAAATGTGAGCTCCACTTCTCTTGCGCAGGTTACAGAGAGTTGCAAAGACCCTTTAATCTTTCGCGGTGTGGTTTTCAAGCACATGTACCCAGCCCAACCCCAACCCCCCGGAATACAACGCAGATACAGCTACATCAGTCTATCATTGAGCGCTTGGGGTCCTGCCTTCTAAGAATCTCTGTTGTGACTTATCTTTGCGTGAAACATTTGGTGTCTCTGTTTGGGAAATTTGAACCGCTTAACTAGACTTAAGAATAAAAGCCTCACACATTCCAGTTCAATTTGTTAGAGTCCGTAGTCCGTTTTCTCTCTCAACCTGTTGCAAAAGAGTTATCCAAATTTAAGATTTATTTGTTTTTTTAAAAAAAAACCTGGAGGCACAGACGAGCTTCGTTGCTTATTCCTTTGTGCAGTCTTCTAACGTACTAAATATCTTAAACATCTTGAAATACGGGTTTGCAAATTAGTAATTTCTTTTCAAATTGTCGAACAATTTTGAATTCACATCAGACATTAGTGGGAAATCGCTAATAATTTAATGCTTGATTCAGACAAATTTTCTTCACCCAGGAATCAGTTTCTTAAGAATGGTAGCCTAATGGGCCTTTGTACTTGATATTGTCCACTTTTTGAAATTATAAATGTTTTGGTTTGGGGTATTTAATTGGCATTTGCAAATTGTATTACAATTGGTTAGTATTTCACAATTTTCGAATTCTTTGTTGAGTGTGGGGTGTGTGTATGTGTGTGTATGATATTTTAATTAGCAGTTGCCTTTATTTACACTGTCATCTCTGCTGTGGCAAATTTTCAGCAGCTTAATTTTGAGGTTAACCAAACAGGTTTTAATAGTTTGATGAAACATGAGAGCACTTGCACTAATGTGTGTTGAAAATAACGTGGGCTTCTAGTTCCAGTTATTGATGGACTATGTTACTGCTCTCTGGAACATAAAGCAATTATTCCTGTAACTATTAAATAAGAAACACTTCAAAAGGAGTCATTGCCAACCTTTCTCTCCGGGGTGGGGGATCTTGTTGACCGGAAGAAAAGTCACATCTGAATTACTAAAATCAGCTTAATTAAGGGTCATTTTGGAAATACACATAAAAATCCTTACTACTCAATGGGTGAAATGGAAGCATTTCATTATATACTGTAGCATGCATGAACAGATAATAATTAAAACAGACCTGCAGTAAAGAGGCTAATAAATGTGGGGCATGTAGCTTGCTGTAAAATTAAAATACTCTTTCCACTCCAATCATCATCAGCTGAGTTCTTCATTCATCCCCTTTAACTGAGTCAGTTAAAAGAGAACCAAGAATTGTTTTAATAAAAAGATTACTACTTTTTCTGCAAGTTATTGAAGAGGAAGCACCCCAGCAGAACTATATTACTGAATGCTAGTTAGTATCCCTGAAAAGTATAAGAACAAAGGTGTAGCTTTTATGAAGGACACGAATCCGTTTTACAACAATATTCAAATCAAAGTAGAAAAATGACAACAGCCAAAGAACCCAACGGCTGATGGGATTTTTATTATGTACGCTGCTAATTCCTGTTATAGAAGTTTGTAAAGGTGTGATTTATTCATCACAATTTCCTCTATAGATTTGCAGCCTCTAGGGTACAGTGGTAGGTGGTCAATTTTGCACCGCTTTTAAGATTAGTAGTACAAAATGCTAATTTTGATGTGTGTGTTTTTCCTTGCGGTTCGTAGCCCATTCCCCCATAGAAATATTTTAAAACTAAAACTGCACCCGGTAAGCAAGCCTTTGGTGTTGTTGATAAATCAGTGGGCTTAAGTATATATAATACCACATTTGGTTTTTAAAGCAGCATTTCATCTTTCTTTGAGATGTACATCTAGGGCACCAAACAGTTTAATGCATGAGAGGCTGTCAGCTGTAGAATAAACAGGAGTAAACAGAATTTGACAATGGCTTAGATTTGCGTAAAGTGTTCTTGTCGGGTGGAGGCGAAGTCTGTAGGAACTAGATTGAGAAACACAGCCAGCAGTTCTTGTCTCCAGTGATGGATGATGTTAGTGTATCAAATGGGCTGTGAATGTTAGAAGTTTGGAAACTTGAGTGGATTTTGAGGTTTTAAAAAGTATATTATTTGTAAAGAAAACAAGGCGAGGCAGAGTAGGCTTTTCGTTGTTCTGAAGACCCTCTCCGCGTATTAGATTTCGCCCTCATCATGCTTGCTTGGACTGCCTTTTATGTTAAAACCCCGAGGAGGGGAATAATTCTGGTTTCGTTTTTTTATGCGTGTTTATCTTAACACATTTCTTTGCAAAGGCTCTTCTTTGTGTGCTGTTGCTGCCTGGTCCTACGCTGGGGCGTAACTCTCTCCCTGCTGCTGCAGCATCCTGCATGAAACAAATGAGCTGGTGTTGCAAGTTGCTGGAAAGCAAGGAGGGAAAGAAAATCCTTGCTGCAGCTTGCAGCAGTCACAAGAGGGAGCTGAGGGCTGGCTACATGGGCCTTAGGATGGAGCTGAAGCAGCCTGCCTCCCATCTATCCCTCCCGAAGCCCCTCTCTGTTCTATTTCTTCTCTGTGCTTGGCATAGCCCTGGTGAGATCTGCTGGTTTGGCAACAGGAGAGCCAGTTCTTCCTCTTGCCTGAAGCAAGGAAACGTCAAAAAACCCCAAAAACCCTTGCATCTGCCCTTGAAGCTGCGAACACAATCTTGTGCACAGCAGGCCACAGGATCCGGCCTTTATTGCGTCGTATCCCTTAATTCCAGCATATAACAAACAATTATTACAGACACTCCAAGTGTCCTTGTTTTCCAGGGACAGTCCCGGATTTACAGAAGCCGTCCCAGTTTCTCATTCAATCCCAGAATGTCCTGCTTTTCCTTAGGACGTCCTAATTTTCATCGGAGAAATGTTGGAGGGTATAGAGTTATGCGACCTCCGAGCCAAGGAGATAAGGAACTATACATCCTTTAGAAGACATAAAGGCAACCCTGTATAGGGAAGTTTTTAATAATAATAATAATGATAATAATAATTTATTTATACCCCGCCCATCTGGCTGAGTTTCCCCAGCCGCTCTGGGCAGCTCCCAATCAAGTGTTAAAAACAATACAGCATTAAATATTAAAAACTTCCCTAAACAGGTTTGTTTTTATGTATGCTGGAAGCTACCTATTGTGGGGCAACCCAGTCAGATGGACAGGGTATAAATAATAAAATCATTGCTATCATCATTGTTGTTAAATAGAATGTCCTTATTTTCACTGGAGAAATGTTGGAGGGTATGTTATTATTGGAAGGGTTCTTGACATTATCCTGTCATTTTATTACTCACTTTTAGAATATATTCCTCCCCCCCCCCCATTTTTCCCCCTTTTGGAAAAGTGGTGAAAGTTTAAGAGAACTTTGACTACTGAGTTTGCGGTCATTGTCAAGAGCCACATTGTGGAAAGGAAAAAGGCACCCATTGTTTCAGTTCTTTGGAATTAAGCACTTTATAAACTCTTTGTGAGCTGCTTTACCACCCTTACTCATATTTACAGTATCTCAGCCAAAAAGTGCATGACTTGACAAAGGCAGGATCAATGTCTAAGCAAGGATTTAAACTTAAGTCTGGTTCTCTAATTTTTCGACTTTGCTGGCTGAGGGAGCCAGCTTGTCATTAATTGAAAGGTTACTTGATTTCTTTCTTTCTGCTTCTTCTTAAATGTCTATGCATGGTCTGGCTTGACAGCAAACTCCTTCTTAGATAGGGAAACACTGAAATGCACTTCTGTGATGAACGAATCAGCGCAGCCTGATTCATAACAGAGTCTAAAGTTATTCGCAGCACAATGCCATGTATTATTTTTTTTTACACACAAGTTAGTCACACTGTGTTCAGCAGAACTTACTCTGGCCCTCCAGATGTTTGGGACTATAATACCCATCATCCCTGACCACTGGTCCTGTTAGCTAGGGATGATGGGAATTGTAGTCCCAAACATCTGGAGGGCCAGAGTTTGCCTATGCCTGCTCTTGGGCTTCCCGATCAGAAGGTTGACGGTTCGAATCCCCGTGACAGAGATTTATTTATTTTTAGTTATGTGTCTCCTCCATGGCTCACATGGGCATCTTTCCATGAGCGATTATGTACCTACCTCTGGCTTCCTGGCAGACCTGTGAACTGTTGCACATGTTCAGGACAGGTGTTTTAATGAGTCTCTTGGGCTCCCTGCCTTTTACACAAGTCCCTACACGACGTAACAGCCCTTCCAAAATCTCTCCGAACCACACAAGAGGTAGCCCTCCCCCCCCTTAATTACCAGACAGAGCGCGCTCAGTATATTTCAGGCTCGTCTGCGAGAGCTGGATTTAAGTCATCCCTCTGTGTTCCTGCGCCATTAGTCCATATACTATACTTCTGGGATAATGGAGAGTAGAAAGTTGCTGGTAATGTGTTGGGCCTCTGTTGTCCCTTGAGGTGCTATACAAATCTAAGCAATTTTCGCTTACTTGCCACTTGTCAAAATCTGGAAAGAACATTATGAACCCTGCAGAAATTCTTAAAATGGCAGCTCCTATTCAGCCAGGGCTTTTGTTCTGTAATTTTTGGGCTCCTGAAAGGAGTGCCCCACTGTTCTAATTAAAATAAATGGGCAAAGGACAGGCTTCTGCATTTCACATGTTCTATGGAGTACTAAGGGTTGGGGGGGTGGGGAGTATAAAAGAAGCCAAATATTTTACAAATGTAGAGGGAAAATGTCTGTACCATAGTTACAAAGGCTGTATTTTGTAGGGGGCGGGGGGAACAGGTAGAACCAAAAAGCTGGTAGCCTTGAAGAAAACAAACAGAGACAAGTTTCCCCCCAACATTTTCTAAAACTATATCTATCTATCTATCTATCTATCTATCTATACACACACACACACACATATATACACACAGTGGTACCTCGGGTTACATACGCTTGAGGTTATATACGCTTCAGGTTACAGACTCCGCTAACCCAGAAATAGTACCTCGGGTTAAAAACTTTACCTCAGGATGAGAACCGAAATCACACGGCGGCAGCAGGAGGCCCCATTAGCTAAAGTGGTACCTCAGGTTAAGAACAGTTTCAGGTTAAGAACGGACCTCCAGAACGAATTAAGTGCTTAACCCGAGGTACCACTGTATAAACATTTTTAGCAAATCACATTTAAAGTGCATTTATAGCATGGCTTCCTCCAAAGAATCATGGGCGCTTCAGTTTCCAAAGAGCTTCAGTTCCTGGAACCCTTAACAAACTACAGTTCCCAGTGCTTTAAATGACCAAATCATTCTTACCTTACCATTCATTCAGGCCTTGCTACTTCTTCCCCAAACTCCGTCCTCTCCCTTTGTTGTTGTTTTTCACTGTGTAACTTAGATGGGGGGCAGGCGGTAGAATTCGATATAACAACCAATAATGTGTCCCTTTTCTATAAAATTGTATGACCATGTTATACAGATGTCCTGTATTGGGTCCAAAGGATGAATGAAAGCGAGACATATTTATGTTGACGATATGTAATACAACTGCTGGGATAGCTCAGTCAGCAGAACATGAGACTCTTAACCTCAGGGTCGCGGGTTTGAGCCCCACGTTGGGCAAAAGATTCCTGTATTGCAGGGGGTTGGACTAGATGACCCTCGTGGTCCATTCCAACAATGATTATATGAATAAATGAGTAAAAAGTCTCCAGTAAGAAGGAGATTGCTACTCATCAAAGAAAGGAAACTTCCAGATAAGGCTCCTTCGTTTAACCACGACCACAGGGGGGAAGGTATTTCCACACATTAGTTTTGATTGGCCTGGATAAATTAATACGGAGCAGGGAAACTGGTGCAACTAACTGGGTTCCATGTTAGAGGTAAGGAGAAAATATTTTGTTCCAAGAGCAGTTGTTTGGAAACTGGAGGACTTTTGCTGTTCTCCCTTTATGGGTGCACACTAATGTGTCTGATAGTAAGCTAGAATCCTCTTTGATATGGGACTGTCTGCTAATAAGGTTAGATAACCTTCTATTCTGGAGTTAGGCCCACTTTACCTGAAGGAGCATCTCCAACCCCAAGTTTCCAAGCACGATTCAAAGTGTTGGTGCTCACTTTTAAAGCCCTAAACATCCTTGGCCCTGTATACCCAAAGGAGCATCTCCAGCCCCATCGTTCAGCCTGGACACTGAGGTCCAGCTTCAAGGGCCTTCTGGCAGTTCCCTCACGATGAGAAGTGAAGTTGCAGGAAACCAGGCAGAGGGCCTTCTCGGTAGTGGTGCCTGCCCTCCCATCAGATGTCAAGGAGATAAAGAACCACGCAACTTTTAGAAGACACCTTAAGGCAGCCCTGTATTGGGATGTTTATAATGTTTGATGTTTTTTAATGTTTTTATATGTGTTGGAAGCCACCCAGAATGGCTGGGGCAACCTAGCCAGATGGGTGGGGTATAATTATTATTATTATTATTATTATTATTATTAATTATACTAGATAGAAGATGCTGACATCCCTCCCAGCAAATACTATTCTGTGAGTGTAAATAAGCTACGCTTAAAAAGATTTAGCAAAGCAGAACTTTCTACAGGGCATAGGGTTTTGTTGTGGGTTTCATTGGTAGTTTTAGTATGATTGTAACAGCAATGCCGTCGTAAAATGCTGTTTAATCATTCCTTTTATGTAGATATTATATATATCTATATCAATCCACAGGTTGCACGACTGGCCGTCAGCGACTTTTCTCTTCATCAGTTGATCATATCTACTTACACAAGCAGTCAAGCATTCAGCAAAGAAGATATCTCTTTTTCCAGAGACAAAGAAATACTCCCTATAGCATAGTCTGGCCAGCTTTGGTTTCTCCGGCTCATCCAGTTCCTAAGGTACTGTAATTTCTATTATCTGATCCTTTCTCCAGTCAATATAAAGGTTGACTGCACGAGTGATCAAGTACATTCATCCCTGACAGCTGGGAATTTGAATCATGGTTTTGTTACCAGGGCTGAGATTTGATATTGGAACGCTGGTGAGCCAAGTTCCCTGCTCCCTGCTATGCTAAAGACAGCGCCAAATCAATTTCTCAGCCAGTTTAAATCTGATGCTCCTTCAGCTGCCGCAAACCCAAATGCGCTTTTTGTTTTGTTAGTCTCGTTGTTTAAAAAAGAAAGATATTTTGCAATTGGTTAGAAGTCAAGTCAATGTGAATTGACTGCACTTGAGGGGGGGGATATCACTGTACGTTTTTAAAAATAGCAAACTTAAAAACATTTCTGTCCATTTCCAGCTTTGTTTATTTGCTTCCACCTAAAAACTGAAATGCTTATTAAAAGGTCAGTGAGCTGCCCTGCTATGTATCTTATCAAGTAAACCTTCCTGTTACTTGCTGAAACTAGCTTCTTGGAATACAGAGATGGCATATTTTAAAAGGCAACCTGGAAAGTATGGGTTGAGGTTGCTGTTTTTTAAATTTCAGTGTTCATTGAAAGTAGTAACTCAAGCTATTTCATAGTTTTGACATACGCATTGTCCAGTCCTATGCGGTATTTACTCAGAATGAGTCCCATTGGTTTCCATAGGGCTTACTCTCATTGAACTATGCTTAGGACCTGATCTCATGATGATTTGCTCAAAATTAGTTCAGTGTAAGTCTTAAAGTAAGAAGAGCTTTCAGGACAACTCCCATTACAATGTCCCAGCTCCTTCAAAGACCTTCCTGCATTCTGTGTGGAGGTCTGTGCTCAATGTGAAGGGAGATTCAAAGCACATTTGGGTAACAACAACAACAACAAAAACAACAATTTTGTTATTTATACCCTGCCCATCTGGGCAGCTTCCAACATATATAAAAACATAATAAAACATCAAACATTAAAAACTTCCAGTTTACAGGGCTACCTTCATATGTCTTCTAAAAGTTGTTTAGTTATTTGATGGGAGGGCATTCCACAAGGCGGGCCCCACTACCGAGAAGGCCCTCTGCCTGGTTCCCTGTAACCTCACTTCTCGCAGTGAGGGAAACGCCAAAAGGCCCTTGGAGCTGGACCTCAGTGTTCTGACTGAACGATGGGGGTGGAGACTCTCCTTCAGGTATACTGGGCTTAGGCCGTTTAGGGCTTTAAAGATCAGCACCAACACTTTGAATTGTGCTTGAAAATGTACTGGGAGCCTGTGTAGATCCTTTAGGATCGGTGTTATATGGTCCTGGCAGCCGCTCCCAGTCGCCAGTCTAGCTGCCGCATTCCAGACTAGTTGCAGTTTCCAAGTAAATGCATTTAGAAGCCTCCCCATGATTGACACAATCATGACACAATTAGAACCTCTCTTCAGACCTTCAAGCTCAACACCTGAAGGTCGGAAGTGGAGCTGGCACATGGGGAATGTTTGGGGTGGGGTTTGTATACCTAACTTGCCCCGCTTTTACCCATCTGCTAGGGCAGGGCGATACAACACGCAGCCCAGGGGCCACAATTGGCCCTCAGAGCCTTTTTGGGGGCAGCCCTGGGCAGCATTTGACACACATACCCCTGCAGCTCTTGCACTGCCGTCCCAAAACCAGGTAAGGAGGCACTGGGCTGTGGGAAGGAGACGTGAGGGCTCTGACAGGACCCTCCTATAATCCCGATATCCCAAGTCTAACATTGCTTCCTCTGGCTATTACTAGCTTCTGTTATGCAAGCTCTGAATTTTGGAAAGTAAACTAGTATCTACCGTATTTTTCGCTCTATAGGACGCACTTTTTCCCCTCCAAAAATGAAGGGGAAATGTCTGTGCGTCCTGTGGAGCGAATGAAGGCTTTCGCTGAAGCCTGGAGAGCGAAAGGGGTTCTCGCTCCCCGGGCTTCAGGCAGCTATCTGCAAGCCTTCTGAGCGCGGCGGGAGTTCCCGCCGAGCTCCGAAGGCTTGCGGATAGCAGCCTGAAGCCCGGGGAGCGCAGCGCCAACTCCCGCTGCACTTCCTGGGCTTCAGGCAGCTATCCGCAAGCCTTCGGGCTCCAAAGGCTTGCATATAGCAGCCTGTTCTGGGGGCTGGGGTTGGGGGAAGCCCGTCTACAGCCCCCGCAAGCTCTGGGAGTGGCGGTGAGGTTGCACGCAATCTTGCCGCCGCTCCTGGACCTGTTCTGGGGGCTGGGGTCGGGGGAAGCTTGGGCTTCCCTCGCCCCAGCCCTGTGGCTGGGGGGGGGATTTCCCCCCCTTCATTCCCCCCCCCCAAAAAAACCCTAGGTGCACCCTATGGTCCGGTGCGCCCTATGGAGCAAAAAATACGGTACATCTTAGATGTTTTCAGAAATCTCAGGGACGAGTAGTAGCACAGGTGCATGAATTTATCTATAAATGTGGTGCCAGATGAAATGCCGCAAACCGGTTTGCAGAGACTGTGGAACCCAGGAAGCTTGCCTGTTTTCTGAAATGCCTTCAGTGATGCAGATCAATGAAATAAGCTGTGTTCTGTTCTGATTTGCCTGCTCCCTTGCTATATTATTTACTATTACTACTGTAGCTATTGTTGTTATTATTTGTTTTTCTTACCCGCCCTTCACGACAAGGTCCCAGGATGGGTTACGCTGTGCAGCTAAAACAATAGGCAACAACAGCCCCAACTATAATCCGCCCCCACCTCCATCCAAAAAAAATCATTCCCTGCAACATGTTACAGGGAGGATACCAAAATCAATATTCAGATTTAAAAGGCTGGAACGGGTAGCTACATACACAAAGCACAATGCTAAGACCTGCATGCCTGAGCAACCAATCTGCCTTCTGATATTAATGTCAAAAGGAAGATAGCGAATAGTGAGAACAACCTCATTGAAAGTGTAATTAAAATATGTGTGTCTATTATTATGTGTGTCCTGTGTCTGCAAAGAGCAGCACTTTGGCAGTTGCCTTTTTTATATTTTGCGCTGCCTACATTTTGGGTTCCACAGTGCAAATCCTTATCAGAATAAGCCTCGTGGGCCAAATCTGATAGGTGGGCAGGGGCTTCCTACTACCTGTTAGTCACATGACATCACATTATTGGCTGGTGGGCAGGGCCCGCCCACCTGTTGCAATTGGGGTTCCCGCTTGGGAACCGCAGTCAGCCCTGTGTTTCATGCTTTGGGAAGCTCTGAGCATTGGGACAGCAAACTCCTTGTCCCCCCCCCCCGCCCTTCCTGCCATTTACAAAGGCAGGATAAGCAAGTCTGAAGATTGCAGATGACAGCTGCAAGCAGGCCTTTGCCTGCAAAACGTACCATTGTTTCTCAACTTCGTAGAGTCGACATATTCCAAAAAGCAAAAACCCGGACACCCCCCCCCAATCGTGACACCCCTTCCCACCATTGAACATCTCCGTCAGGTGGCTGGCACCGTGAGCCAGCCTCACACTGAAAGAGAGAGAGGGGGGGGGATAGAAGGGAAGGGAGAGAGAGGTGGAATCTACACACATAAAAACTGAATATGCTTTTTTTAAAAAGCGTTATTAAAAATACATTGAATTTTCCATAAGGCTCACCATTGCCATCTAGTGTCACATTGTATGTTGCACTTACTTAAAACACACTTAAAACGTTTTATTTGCAGCGATATAGCTGAATCCACAGGGACGCGGGTGGCGCTGTGGGTAAAACCTCAGTGCCTAGGACTTGCCGATCGTATGGTCGGCGGTTCGAATCCCCGCAGCGGGGTGAGCTCCCGTCTTTCGGTCCCAGCTCCTGCCCACCTAGCAGTTCGAAAGCACCCCTAAGTGCAAGTAGATAAATAGGTACCGCTTTATAGCGGGAAGGTAAACGGCGTTTAATCTAAATGCCTTCTAGATTATTGAAACTACAATTCCTTCCATCCCTCTTGATTAGACTTGCTGTCCAGGACTTACGGAAAGGCTGCACTATGGTTTATTTACCACATCGTGCAAACACGGCCCATAATATGTGTGTTTATATTTGTGCGTATAAAGATGTGTGCGGTTGCGTAGTAAAGTCCAGCGAAGCAATTAAGTAAAGAGTTGCCTGAATTTGGAGTCGCACCCCTGAATTTGGGAGTTATTGGGTTGTTGTTTTTATTTTGATTATATATTTTGTGGTTTTATATTTTGATTTTGTTCTGTGAACCACCCTGAGACCTCCAGGTATAGGGTGGTATATAAATTCAATAAATAACCACAACAACAACAACAAATAATTTATATTTTCCACAGAATTCCCACCTGTGCTGTTTTGTGGATGGGGGGTGGGTTGCAGCTTATATTTTAAAAAGCTGGGATTCCTCCCCCTCGATTTCCCCCATAGCCACGAAGAAACCGAACGATTTCGCTGGGTTTTGTCCGAAAACACAGCGCCGTTGTTTTTTTAAAAAAACGGGGCGGCGAAACAGGAGCCGGTTTGGCTACTTTGAGGAGCCTTCTGATAGTTTTAAGCCTCGGAGTGGGAAGCAGCTGCGGTATTTTGAATTTTCAGTGCTGTAAGGTTAACAGACTATCAAGAGTTGCTGGCAACGGACAACGTTAAGTTCAAAAGGGCAGTGGCAGAAACACTGAGGCAGCCTTGAGGGTTTGCCCTGATGGCTTAGGAAGGTCGCTAGGGCGAACGAAAGGCCAAGCTGCCATGAAGCAGGAGGCTCTATCTGAGAAAATGATCCCATTGTCATGCTTCCCTTTTTTTTCTGATCTTCCATTTTCAATCCTTTTTCCCCCCTCCCAAGCACATAAAGAAACCAGACTATGTGACGACAGGCGTTGTACCAAGCTGGGGAGACTACATAGAAATTAAGAACGAAGATCAGATTCAAGGACTTCGCCAGGCTTGTCAACTGGCCCGTCACGTCCTCCTTCGAGCTGGGAAGAGTTTAAAGGTAACAACCGCCACGTGGAGGCTTGGCCAGTCCTCACCTTTGTCGTCCGGCATGTTTTGAGTTACGCCGTTCTCGGTTTGTATTGAAATATCCTTTAAAAAAAAAAAAGTTTGCAGAAATAGTGAAAAGAGAGTTTCAGCATAACCGTGCTCTCAGCTCTAAATCTGCATTAAAAGAACCCTAAATTCAGAATGAATAGTTTCAGCTAAGCTTATATGCTGAGAACATTTGTTTAACAACCACAACTTATTATTCGTACCCTGCCCATCTGACTGGGTTGCCCCAGCCACTGTGGGTGGCTTCCAGCATATATAAAAACAGAAGAGAACATTAAACCTTTAAAAAGCTTCCCTATACAGGGCTGCCTTCAGATGTTTTGTATCTCAAAAGGGTATTTTTAAAAATATATATATATTATTCATGTTGCCTCATTCCAGAAAGGTGGGCTAAGATCCATGCCTGTAAGGAGAATATGGAAAACTAACTTTCTTGACAGCTGGAAAAATTGGGACTTGGAGCTTGTCTGTATGAACGAAGAAAAGGTCTTTGGATTCCGGTTTCCACCAGGAGTGTGTATAACGCATTAGATGCTATGTAAATAAAGCACTTGTAGCTCTACATGTAACCCTAATAGCATTTAATCAGGGTTTGACATACAATTTACTTGAATATATATATTCCAACATGCCATGTTGCATATGTTTGTCCTAAGGCACATGAGATTCAGCGTTGTTTAGTCACAAAGCAAAATCCCTTTGTTCATACTTGCTAATTTTCAGCTGTGCATTTATGTAAATTGGATTGGGCTGCTCACTCCCTTTTTAGCAATTTTACTGCTTCTGCCTCCCCTTTCTAAACAGGCATATTTTGAGCTTCAAACTCATTTATAAAGCAGGCCGTGGCATAATGTCAGAAGCACTTGCTATTCTTTCATGTCTCTTTAGGGTATTTTTATGTTGTTTGCTTCCCTTTTATTAAGAGAAGAGCGTTATGAAGAACTTCTTACAAGATCTTGGGAAATGGAGGGTATTTTGCTTTTTTTTTTTTAAAAAAAAAAAAAACTGCCCTAAAAATAGGAAATATAATTTTGGTTGCACGGAGACACTACTTGGAAGGAGTGGCAAAAGAAGATACAGACAGAGCCCAATGGGATTTGCTTCCAAGTAGAGGTGTATAGAATTGCACTGTTCAGATTTCACTATAGCCCACTGGGAAATTGTATAATTAGCTGAGCTATAACTTTGTCCTTCTGCGCATATTAATTCCAGGAGGTTAGATTCAAAGAACCACATTGGGTGTCCCATGTGTGCTTTTCCAGCAGCAGCATTTCCTTGCCCCCCCCCCCCCAAAAAAGCAACTTCTGAAGTTCAGGGAACTTCCAGCAGATCATGCAACATAGCCCCCTGGAAGCTGCAGCTGGGGTAGAAATGAATTTGGTGAGCTTCTCCGTGCATGAGCACAAGTGCCTTCCATGTTGCTTTGGGCACTATGGAAACGAGTGAGTAAGTTTAACTACCGTGTTTTTCCGTGTATAAGACGCCCCATGTATAAGACGACCCCTGCTTTTGGGAACCCCAAATTTAGAAAATGGGCATATGCACTATCTGTGTATAAGACGCCCCCCCCCCCAATTTTTAACCTTATTTTAAAGTAAAAAAACCTAGTCTTATACACGGAAAAGTACGGTATATTTCTGAGAACAAAAAATATACAGTCTCTCTCTGTGTGTATATATTTTATTTTAAAACATTTTAGTCCCCTCAAAGAGATTCCAGAGCAGGATGCAATTAAAAAATATTAATATTTCCCCTTTATAAATATTTTTTGTTATACTGCTTGGATTAACGCTGTGCAATGTCAGCATTACTTCGATACAGATTGTATTTTTGGAAATCAGTTTTGGTTCCTTAGTGGGTTTCAGTGAATTATGCAGCCAGACATTTGCACCCAACTTTAGTCACTGCTTGAGAATAACCCAGTTATGCTTCAGTCTTCTTCATATTCACTTGGGAATAAGTCGTGTACCACAACATACATTTAATGCACACTATATGTGTTTAAAGCACATGTTTTCCCCACCCATCCAACTAGTTTACACATCACAGAGCTACAGCTCCCAGGGCCATGATAAACTGCACCTTCCAGGGTTATTTTAGGGAGAGACGTGCTTTAAAGCTATGTTGTGTACACAGTGTAAATCCCATTGAACTTGTCAGGACTTCCTTTGAGCAGGCAGGGTTAATACCAGTAGTACGAAGGATACAATCTTGTGCATCCCTACTCAGGAGTAAGGCCTATGATTGTTATTTAGACTTGTTAGTCACTTGTTATCGGAAGGCCTCCAAGCGCTTTACAACAAATTAGAAACATAAATAGAAATGCATTATAGCGTTAAAAACAAAACAACCCCCGTAACAGTGTTGACGCTGGATTATGTGTAAACTGAGGGGCACAGCCAAACCAAGTCAAGTCGCATAAGTTATTTTGGCTGAGCTATTTTGGCACTTGGGCCAGAAATTCCCACAGGCACTTTCCCCCCTTCCTGGCAGTAGTTATACAATAATCAGAAATTAAATGACTTAACAGTTTGCTGCTCTTTCATGACACCCAAAATCTGTTGCCTGAGGCAGCTGCCTCGTTCAGCTTAATGGTAGGGCTGGCCCTGATGAGGACACCGTTCCCAGATTGCAGACTGGAGATTCTGTTACATCTGTGGCCGTAATGAATATATAAAAATTCAGGGACCAAAAGGCCATCTAGTCCAATCGCTGAAATTGCAGGCCTCCTTCTTAGTGCGGCAGACTTGTGACAGATAATCTTGCAGTTTGTGTTGCATTGGTATTCATGGGAAACGGACCGTGTGGTAGAAGATGCAACCGGTGGGCCTGATCTCTCCGTTGCAGAAGCTCTCTTGAAGATTATAGAAATAGAAACGCCTGTTCAGCTGACTGTGTTTGGGCAGACCCTGTGGAGTTACTGCCAACAGATTCAAGGGCACTCAATATGGTGCAACAAGAGATGGGGATCGGGACTGCCGTGAAGATATGGAGATGGCGTAGAGAGAAGAGAAGAGATAGCGAGAGCATAATGAGCTTTAAATATATGCCAAAGAAGTTTCTGGTGAAGATTACAGGGAAATGGGAGCCAGGGCAGAGAACAAGAACATGGCGTCCGTATGGATGAAGTGATAAGCCCTGAATGTAGGTCGAGCACCTGGTTTGGGGACCAAAGCAAAAGATATGAAGGAGAAATATGTTTTAATGATAAAAGAAAAGACATAGATCAGAGTTGGAAGGGACCCCAAGGGTCATCTAGTCCAAATAAGCAGCTGTCCCATACAGGGATCGAACCTGCAACCTTGGCGTTACCAGCACCATGCTCTAACCAACTGAGCTATCCAGGCTGATAGTGAAAGGCTGGTTTGGACACATTTTGCTGATCTTCCAAATATCAATGTTGAGTACAGGCTGAACATAGGAAGAAAAAAAAAAGTGTTTCCTACCAAGCCAACTTCAAACCCATGGGTTATGAAGCTGGCTTGCTAAACTAGCTTCAAACCAGGTTAGAACACAACACTAAGCTGGGATTCTTAAAATTTGAAACTATACTCTGAAGAAGTCCTCCTAGCCAGCAGGAGGAGAAGAGGGGAGTGCGCATGCAGACACTTTGCTACTGCCTATTCTGGCTCATCCACATGGCGCCAGGGGCGTAGCGTGGATTGCCAGGGCCCAGGGCTGCACGGAGTGGGTGGGAAGAGGTGGGAGGGAGGGAAACTGAGAGTATGCATGCACATTCAATGGCCTAATGACTTCTGCATCACCCAGGAGATCACAGTTGCAGAGATAAGAAAAGAAGAGTTGTTCTGTTGTCTGGAGAGGTCACTTCCTGGTCCACATGGAGAAGCCATTTCCAACAGATCCCAGCGACAGAAGCATGCAGCTGTATTGAGGCAGCACTGGGTGTTGAAATTTTGTGCCTCCTAACAATTTTGCGCCCGGGGCAACCGCCCCTGTGCCCCACACGCTATGCCACTGCATAGTGCCAAAGCATGGCTTAGAGTGATGTGTGAATGCGGCCATGTGTAATGCATTTCAGAAATTCAGTCTAGATGCAACTACATAGGTCAGACCTCCTCAGGAATGGGCGTAGCTGATGCACCAGTTTAAGCTGGACAAAGGTACTCGGGTCACCTCCTGAGAATCCAGGAGCAAGGGTAAATTGAGGAGTACCTCCAAACCAGTTCTTCAGGCGGAGTGCTACCCCGTCCCAAACAGTTTGAATGCCTATTCCAGAGCCTGTTCCCACACAACCAGGAAGAGCACCTCTGTCTTGTCTTGATTAAGCTCACTCCACCCATTACAACTACCAGAACATCAACAGTTTCCTTGATATCAGATGAAGATGAAAATGAGCCACACATCCTCAACATATTGATGATGACACACTCCAGGTCCCCAGACAATCTATCCCAGTGGTCTCATAGAGATGTTAAATTGAGTTGCCATATTTCAAAAAGTCAAAATCCAGACACAAAGCAAAATCACTTTTAAAAATTGCCTATTTTGAGCTATTTTCTAGGGAAATCAGCAAAAACAACACTGCCAACATGGCTTGCTATACGTCTGGAATTTCCCAGACATTTTGGCAACTTCTGCCTGGACACTGCTTCCAACTACAGTATTCTGGGCATGTCCGGGAAATTCCTGACGTATGGCAACCCTGAGTTCATGCACTCCAATGGGCAAGGCATCAAGCTAGAATCCCCTTTCCACTCCACCCAGGCCTGCTGATAACTCTCTCATTTTGATGGCATACTTGTTGGCATACAGAAACACCGAGTTTTCTCTTAGGAGGAGTGATATCTAGAATTAATTGGAAGAAATTGATAAGAAAGCCATAAAGCAAAGCTTTCCAAACTGTGTGTGGGCTGCAGTGTGTAGGCATGTCACGCGAACGCTCTCCACGCTCCTTCCGGGGCTGGAAATGGGTTAGTTTAACCTCTGGTTTGCTAGTAAAACTCAATTGCTGTGCCATGAAATGATGTGTGTCTAAAAAGTGTGTCACCAACCTGAAAAGTTTGGAAAGCTCTTCTGTAAAGGAAAAAGAAAAGGAAGGTGGACAAACCTTCCCCTACACTTCTCTTTTTTTGTTGAAAATTGCCCCTTCAGCCTCATAAAAACATACTGCCAAATAGCAACTGGGGAAAGTTTATAGGGGAAACAAAGCAAAGAGGAAACAGATAGAGATTGAAATAGGAGCTTGGCCTCCCCTCAGGAATCAATGCAGTTTGTTAAAGGTGCTGAGAGTTAGGAGACTCCCCCCCCCCCCCGACAGAGCCACAAATCCTAGAGTTCCCTGGAAATAGGGAATGGCCGTTAAACCACTCAGAAAATTGTGGTTTTCTGAGGTGAATTGGTGTCTCCCAGCACCTCTCAATACCCTTAACAAACTGCAGTTCCCAGGAGTCTTGAGGGGAAACCATGATGGGTTCAAGTGTCACGATACTGCTTTAAATGTATATTGCAGATGGAACCCTGGTTTCCTAGGTCCACATCTCAAACCCGGCTTGGATCTGTAGCAGTGTTGGGATAGAAACTGAACCTGCTGAACTGCCTGTTGTTAAAATCACAACAGCCCTCGTTGGGTCATGAGTTTTCAGTGCTGTACGTCAGTGAAGACAAAGTATGTCTGTCTCATTTATTTATAGCTTGCCTCTCTGCCCAAAGGCAGTGAGGTCATTGCCCATCTTCCGCGGTGGTGGAATTCTATCCAGAGTGAAAGAACAGAATTCCTTGAATGGCTTAAACCCATTGCAGCACCTGACGCGCTCCCACATACATCATTGTAACTCCCAAACCTCAACTGTTATGTCCATTTCACATGGAAGAAGGAATCCATGCACAGTTATGGCATGACCTGATTTCCTAAATCTTTTTGCTGTATTGAGAGCTGCTGCGTATGGCTAGAAACCAAAGTAAGGGACTGAAAGTTTATACCTATCATAGTGCCTCTGCTAAAGTGTCGTATTCATAGGCTTATAGCTCATTCAAATCACAACCAATTTTCACAGGAACACTCAAAGGCACTTCTTGACAATGAGGGAGGTTTTCCTACCAAATTTCAACTTTCAACCCTCGCCATTTCACAGCTGGTTCTGTTCTGGGGAAAAGAGTTGTAATGATAATATTTAAAGTGTATATTTTCCTCCACTTTACTCATATTCAAAAATGGTCCAGAGCTTTCTTCTTGTTCTTCTTCTTCCTCTCAAATTCTTACTGGAAATAATCAGCTCCAGTATAAAACAGAATCTGGAAAATCCAAGCCAGAAAAATGGAAGTTTCTGGAAATGATAGGTGTCTGAAACTGGGGTGTCAAAATGAAAATGCTAATACAGGTTTAAATTGTATTGTAGTCAGGGCTGCTTACATTGCTATACAAGCTGTTTCCAAGTATGAATAGAAATATTAAAGTGGCATGGCAATTCTGAATGTGGTGCTAGCATATACAGAGGAAAATAATTTTGATTGTAGAGAGAAGTTTGGAACAGGAAATTCTTTTGTCTAAAGCTGTTGAGGAGAAAATGGTTCTCCAGAAGAATGCAAATGCCATATTGCGGTTCATTATTTATATAGCACTATCAGTGTATACATGGCATTTTATAGAGCAACGTAACAAAAACGCAGGACCCTGCACCAAGGAATCTACTTCAGCAGATGCGTGGAAGTGGCCTGGAAAGGCAAAGGGTACATTTGTGGTAAGGATGAAATTTAGCCAGTGTTGGGGGGTGGCTCCCAAGATGGTGGCATTGTTGGGAATTAGCTGGGACCCCAAGACCAGCAAAGCACCCGTCAACCCCACAATGCTGCCATTCTCTTTTTTAATATATATATAATTTTTAATAATTTCAACATACCACTTATTATACATTCCACAGAACTTCACATCTTATACAATCTTTTTGGACTTCCGTCAGCACCTCTGATGATCCACCATTTTTATCATTTCTTCTGCATTTCTTAAATTCCTATTGCCTTTAATGATCTTAACTCACAATCCACCTCTTTAGCCATTTTTGCAATAATTCAAATAATTTACCTCACAAAACTTCTTGCAAACCTACAAACGTAATCTGGTCATCACAATTACTTTTCAAATAGTCCGTAAATTTACACCAGTCTTCTGTGAATCTCTGGTCCCGCAGGTTGCGAATTCTTTCGGTTAGTTTATCCAGTTCTGCATAGTCCATCAATTTCATCCTCCATTCTTCTTTTGTCGGTAATTCTTCTTGCTTCCATTTTTGTGCCAATAATATTCTTGCTGCCGTCAATGCTGCCATTCTCACTTTATAAGGACCTTCCAGGAAGAACAGAGGTCAAGTGAGAGAATCCTCAGTTTGCACAATTTCTTCCAGATTAAGGTCCGGTCTGCACATGTGGAAGATTAGGCTGTACCTCTTCAGATGGTATCACTTCACTTTATGGAAGTGAGTCGTGGGCAACTTACAACCATCAGGAGCCATGCCTCAACGCCTTCCACATGCACTGCGTCAGGAGAATTTTGGGTACCACACGGCAGGACAGAACTCCAAACAAAGATGTGCTCTCCCAAGCCCACGCTCCCAGCATGTTTGCACTCCTGTCTCAGTGAAATCCACGCTGGCTTGATCACGTCCACAGAATAGAAGATGGCAGGATGTGCTCCTGGGAGGAAGCTGGCTTCCTTCACCAGGCCAATTGGCAGACCAACTCTGCACTGCAAAGATGTCTGCAAAGTTGACCTGAAGGCAGGCAACATCAGCCCTGCCATGCGGGAGTTCCTTGCAGACGACCACAGTGCCTGGAGACAGGCAGTCAAGTTGTGTATCCGTAGCAGCGACCAGTGGAGAAATGAGAGAGAAGAAACGCCATGGTGCATCCGCAGCAGCACAACCGGATGCCTTCAGCTAAACTTGCCTCTACAGCCACAACAGGCGCTGCAACCTTCCAACAGCTTGACCTCATCCCCAAAGGTGCTCTCCTCCATTGTCTCCCGAGACAGACGGATGCCAACCAACACATATGGCAGAATAGCCTGTACTGTTTCAGATGGCTACTGGTGGGAGAATACCACTTTTGAAAGTTCCCTACATAAGCACCTCTTTTGTAAGTGAAACATAACTGTAATACATGTTCCAACCTAGCAAGCTACCTGAGGACTGATTTATTTAGAGTAGGATTCATAAATGAACTCCACTACCTGAAGTATAAATTACTCTCACCCATGTTACTACTTGGGCATTCTGCTACAAATGCAGACCAAGTCAAAGAGTGCTCCAGGACCATAATTCTGTGGTAAAGGTAAAGGGACCCCTGACCATTAGGTCCAGTCGTGGCCGACTCTGGGGTTGCAGCGCTCATCTCGCTTTACTGGCTGAGGGAGCCGGCGTACAGCTTCCGGGTCATGTGGCTAAGCCGCTTCTGGTGAACCAGAGCAGTGCACGGAAACGCCGTTTACCTTCCTGCTGGTGTGGTACCTATTTATCTACTTGCACTTTGACATGCTTTCAAACTGCTAGGTTGGCAGGAGCAGGGACCGAGGAACGGGAGCTCACCCCGTCGCAGGGATTCGAACCGCCAACCTTCCGATCGGCAAGTCCTAGGCTCTGTGGTTTAACCCACAGTGCCACCCGCGGACCATAATTCTGTGGTAGAGCAGTGTATATCTTTTATTATTACTATTATTAAATGTATATACTACCCTTCATCAAGAGATCTCAGAGTTGTTCACAGAGGGGAAAATACAAGATAAGACATAAGTAAATAGTTAAACCAAAACAATAACCACCCCCTCCTTCCCACAGATACATTTAAAAGGCTGTAGGATATTAATCAGCCAAGGGCATGGTTGAAGAGGAATGTTTTGCCTGGCACCTAAAAATATATAATAAGGGTGGCAGGCGAACCTCCCTGGGGAGAGCATTCCACAAACGGGGAGCCACCACAGAAAAGGCCCGTTCTCGTGTTGCTGCCCTCTGGGCCTTGTGGAGGTGCCACACAAAGAAGGGCCTAAGGTGATGAAAGCAGAGTCCGGGACAGTTTATATGGGGATCCTTGACATATAGCGGTCCTGAGCAGTTAAAGGCTTAATAGGTCACTTTTAATTGGGCCCAGAAGCTAATTGGCATACAAAAGGTCCCAGGTCCAGGTCCCGTTATCTCCTGGTAGGGCTGAAACCCTGGAGAGATACTAACAGTCTGTGTCAACGATGGTAAGGTACGTAGATAAATACTCAGTACAAAGCAACTTCCTTATGTTTCAATGTCCCTGTGGCCACTGGGCTAGCTGTTAGAGAGCAGTCTTTCCTGAGGGTCCAAAATCCCGAGCTACCTGTTTGCTTTTCTTCTGGAAGTGACCAAGTGCCTCCCATAACAGGTGCCTGGTATTGAACCGTTCTTCAAGGAAGCTAATTTTTGTCAGAGGCACAAGCTGTGTGGTAGCTCTAGTTTCTCGTTAAAAGCATTCCTTTTATCGTGTTCCATATGCAGGGCCCACTAGGCACTTAATTCATCGCAAATTTTAAATCGCAATCTTTTAGGTTGGCATGACTACAGAAGAAATAGATTGCTTGGTTCACCATGAAATAATCAGGCAAGATGCCTACCCATCACCTCTGGGCTATGGAAATTTTCCAAAATCCGTTTGTACCTCAGTCAACAACGTGGTGTGCCATGGGATTCCTGACAGGTACTCCGAGTTCTTGTTTCTTTTCCCTCCCATTGCAGAATTGAAATATTTTGCTAGTACATTGTGTATTTCTTTTTATATTTTATACAATATAAATGCATGATGCTTTAAATCCACCCAATTCAATGGGTCTGTATGGAAGCTTCTTCCTTAATAGAGATTTCGCAGCAGCCACGCTTGGTGAATTGCACCCAGTGCCCGCAGCAGTTTTATTGAATGCTACCAAAAAAAAAGTCTTAATACAGCTGGTTGTCATGCTGTAAGAAAATGATGTTGGCACATAAGGAAGGTGTGCAGTAATAAAAACAATGATTAGTGCTTTGCCATCTCTTCCCAGCAGGCTATGGGGCGTTATCATCCAAGAGAGAGAAAATCACTCAAAAGAAAAATTATATTACCTAAAGGTGGATTAAAAAAAAAAAAGATTATACACCAATATATAGCTAATTATTAATTAATATTGCCTCTTCACAAAGTAAAAGGTGCCAACCATCAGTCTTGTAATTGTGATAAGATAATGATGGTTATAATTTTCGTTTCTTGCCTTTTATATTATTTTATATTATGATATATTATCCCATTTATTTGTTTGGGATTCTTTTGAACCGGTGGGAGCTTAAAGACCAAAAGTGGCGATTCCATCTACCTCCTCCCTGTTCTGCTCAATGATGTTCGCTCCTCTTATGTTTGTTTAGGTGTATATGTGATTATGTGCATGTTCGTGTGTGCGTTCTTATATTTCCTTATTGAGAACTGCCTATCACCATTATGTGTTGTTGTTTTTTCTCCCCTCCTATGACGATGCTTAAGCCGCCCTCTCCAAGATGGTGATATTATCAACATTGATGTCACGGTGAGTAATCCGTGTTTTTGGGGTTGCTGTTTTTTTAATAGCCTTTGATCAACTTTCAGAATTTCTAGTAGCAACAGGAAGAATAGTAGATTGCAAATGTAGCGTACACGGGGTAAATGTGCCGTTTTACATCGAAGCCAAGCAGCTGGTTTCCTCTTTTGTTTCCCCCCCACACACACACCCTCTGTGTTTATTCCAACTAGACCCAGGCCTGACTTGAATTTAGGGCTGGAATCAGATGCACTGAGATCAATGTTGGCCTAAGTGAAATGTCAACCCAATCCTGCTATGTGTCATGTTTTTGAGAAGGTGTAATTGTTATTGATCCACTGTGTAGTTAATGCAGAGCACCACAGTACTGGGCAGCAGCTGAAGACAGATATGTATGAGATGAGCTAACATGAAGAAAGCCAGCATTTTTCCTTCACTCTGCCAAGATTGATCTCCCTCTTCCTGCTGATTTTGAGTGGGGCCTGTCATTATCTTACTCTGTCATTAGAGGCTACATTGGCCTGTGTATGTCAGTCTATTTGGACAGCAACTCTTTTGCTTGCCGTATTCCCTACATTTATTAAAATCCCTGAAGGTAGTATTGTGTTCCATTTGTGGCATAAGAGCCCTGAACCCCTTTGCTCACAAATACGCAACTTGATCTGCGGCTCAGTTAATCCAAAATGCTTGGATTTCCCTCGAGACTTAAGTTTATAGCCCAATTCTTTGGCTTTGCACAACCTGACTCGCAGCTCCCTTAACTCAAATTGCTTGGTTTTCCCTTAAGACTTAAGTTTAAAACCCAATCCTTTCACTTATCTGAGTTGTGGATCCCACTGTGTATATAGATATATAGATATCCAATATAGCCATTGATCTAAATACGGGCGTTCCATTTTTGTGGTATGAATCTTGGTTTGAAAATGAACCTTGTAAGAACCAGTTTATGCTCAAAGCATAAATAGGAATATACACAGTTATCAAAAGAGAAAATAATTGGGTTTTGTCAATATTTCATAACCTCCTTTCCTTTACAACTCATTAAATTGATTTTGGCTATTATATCTTTATTATGCATGTAAGTCCTAAATTTTAATCTTTTAAATAACATATATGTTTTTAAACTTCCTGGGTTTTTGGAAGCTTCAAGTTTAATTGTAAATTTTTGTACAATGGGTACTTCCTTGATGCTAATGGTGATTTCAGCTTTATTCCATCTGTTGGTGCCTCTGTCATGTTTGTAGTCCATTAGACTCCTTTGAGGATTTTTTGTTGTTGTTTTTTTGTCATTTTTGCCTTATGGACGCAGTGACCACCCATCAAGTTAGGCAGATTTTGCAATACTTAAGAAAAAATTGCATAACCATTCAGAGTTTCCAAATTTTGCAGTGATCATTACTAGGATGATATTGAACATTAGCCATACTCAGGGTAGACTCATATAATTAAGTCCATTAATTTTAATGGTTCTACTCAGACTTAGTTGGACACCATCCCTTGCTTCCTCCCCATAAAATTTATTTAATTTAACGTTGGCACAGGTTGTACACTTTAACCTCTGAAGTCAGTTCATGTTTGATAGTTTAGATAGATGTGGATTTAGATATTTTGATCTTTATACTGTAATAAGTATTAGTTTGTGGGGGTTTTAATAAAATATAACGTACTGCATTCTGCACAACCCTAAACTAAGCATTGTAATGTCACCCATTTAACTACAAGTGACTTTTGCTGTTCAAAATACATATAGGCCTAATCCTCAAGTCTTCCATGTTGACAATCACAGGCAAACTACACGTTAGATGCCAAAATATGAAATGATGCATCAACTGAGGAAACATGCATCTAGAATTATTGAATTAGGTGGGCATGGAACAGCTTAAAAGGTAAAGGTAAAGGACCCCTGACAGTTAAGTCCAATTGCGAACAAATCTGGGGTTGCAGTGCTCATCTCTCTTTACTGGCCGAGGGAGCCGACGTTTGTCCACAGACAGTTTTTCCGGGTCATGTGGCCAGCATGACTAAGCCACTTCTGGCGAAACCAGAGCAGCGCACAGAAACACCATTTACCTTCCCGCCGGAGCGGTACCTATTTATCTACTTGCACTCTGACGTGCTTTCAAACTGCTAGGTTGGCAGGAGCAGGGACCGAGCAATGGGAGCTCACCCCGTCATGGGGATTTGAACCGCCGACCTTCCGATCAGCAAGCCCTAGGCTCTGTGGTTTAGACCACAACACCACCCACGTCCCATGGAACAGCTTAGTGGGAAGATTTAGTATGGAAAAATAGGAGGTGAAGGAAAGCTTACGTATTCTCCCTTCCCCACAATATCTTTGCTCAAAATCTTACCTTCCTAAAGCCACCTTTCTAAACCAAAACTATCCATCAGGGCATTCCTGTATGCAGTTGTGGGAATTATGCTGTTTGTCCTAAGAGCGGCCAACAGTGCAGTCCTAGCCATGTCTACTCATAGGTTAGTCCTGTTGAATTCAATGGGACTTACTCCTAGGTAAGAGGGGTTACAGTTGTGAGGGGCATAGCCTGGGGAAAGTTCCAAGGGCCAGTCAGAGAGGTCTGGGAGCTACATTCAGCTCCTAGACCAGTGGCTCCCCACCCTGGTTCCAACTGAAGGGCAATTTCATAAGCAGCCTGTGAGATGGCATAAGGGGTCTTCTGTTCAAAGTCAGAGGAGTCAACATGCACAAAAAGAGCTGTCAGGACTATGGTTTCCAGTTTCTTTTGACGGACTCCTTATCTTCCGATTACTCGCTTTTGAACACTGTACCAACACAACAAAAGTTGCATAATGGACAAGCCACAAACAAACTTTGCATGAAGGAGAAGCGATATGAATATTTCCCCTTGCTAAACCCCCCAGCACCTACTGAAGACTTTGCTCCCTTATTTCAGCAGGCATTACAACAGAACTCCATTATTTTAGTGTTAACTGGGGGTTTTGTGTTTTTTTCTAACCTTTATTGCATTGGATTGAGTGACTTGTTCATTGCTTAGAGATGACTGCAATTAAGCAGTATATAAATTGTCCAAATAACTATTAAATGTGCCTTGATTTTCCCCCTGAGGCACTCCAGAGCACCAATTTTTGCAGCTGCTTTTTTTGTATGCTCTTCTGCAGTTGTGTTTGATTCCTTCCAATGTTTGAGAAGTCACACAACCTAAAATACCTTTTTGGATCCTTGCTGCTGTCTGGAGCCCACAGAACTACAGCTTGGACACGTCTCATGGGACTGTTTACCCACCCCCTTTTTTTAAAACAAACAAACAAACAAACCAGCAGAGCCATGTTACAAAAGTACTTTTGAAAGTCCTGAAAGTACTTTCAGGAAACACTTTGCTACATCCATTTATTTATCCACATTAAAGGTGCATATTCTGCTTTTTTTTTTGGTCCAGTTATCTCCACAAGGTGGCTTACAATGCAGCTGCAATAAAATAGAATACAGTAGAATAGAATACAAGCATTAAAAAAGCCTTTGAGAAAATAATGTTCTTGCCTGTCATGACTCCCAGAGTAACTCATTCCCCAAAGTGGAACGCCACTAGTGTTGCTCCTTAAGTAGTAGCAGTAAGCCTATGATAAAAAGCTCCTAGAAAGTGTACATCAAAGCAGTATTGGACACAGCACCAATCGCATGGTTCCTTGAATCCTGGCCTCTAACGATATTGCCTCCTGGAGCATACCCTTCAACATTTCTCCGATGAATTTCATTATTATTATTATTATTATTATTTATTTATTTATTTATTTATTTATTTATTTATTTATTCCCCACCCATCTGACTGGGTTGCTTCAGCCACTCTTGGCAGCTTCCAACATATATAAAAACATAATGACACATCAAACATTTTTTTTTAAATCCCTATACATTTCTGCCTTCAGATGTCTTCTAAAGGTTGTATAGTTACTTATCTCCTTGGCTTGGGAGTCCCATAAGTCCGTATCCTTCAACATTTCTCTGAAGAAAATAGGAACGTCCGACAATACCCGCCCCCCACATTTTTCAATGAAAACAGGGATGTCCTAAGGAAAAGAGGGATATTCTGGGATCAAATCAGAAACTGGGATGGCTTCTGTAAATCTGGGTCTGTCCCTCGAAAATAGGGACACTTGGAAGGGCTGCTAGAGCCCTAGTGCCTGATTTTATGCATATAATGGTGCAAATAAATGGCTCAGGACCGCAATAGCTCAAGGACCACCTCTTCCCATATGAACCTACCCAGACCCTGAGATCATCATCTTCTGAGCCCCTCCTTTGTGTGCCCCCTTCTCAAGAGGTTCAAAGGGTGGCAACATGAGAACGGGGCCTTCTCTGCAGTGGCTCCCCGTCTGCGGAATGCTCCCCCCAGGGAAGTTCGCCTGGTGCCTTCATTATACCAGGGGAAAATGTTCCTTTTTAACCAGGCCTTTGGTTGATCTGATTTACATCCTATGCCCTTTTAAAATGTGTTTTTTGTGGTGGGGGATTTTGGGTTGTTTTCGTTTTTATTATGTATTTCGTGGTTTTATATCTTGATTTTATTCTGTGACCGCCCTGAGACCTCCGAGTATAGGGCAGTGTATTATTATTATTATTATTATTATTATTAATAATAATAATAATAAATAGCTTGAGCCACTACTGCTTCTAAGGCAGCATCCTGTATCATTCAAGACCATGGGTAAGCAAACCAAGGCCCGGCGGCCAGTTCTAGCCCAGTCGCCTTCTAAATCCATGGACGGTCTGGGAATCAGCGTGTTTCTACATGGGTAGAATGTGTCCTTTTATTTAAAATGCATCTCTGGGTTATTTGTGGGGCACAAGAATTCGTTCATATTTTTTTTCTAAAATATAGTCCTGCCCCCCACAAGGTCTGAGGGACAGTGGACCGGCCCCCTGCTGAAAAAGTTTGCTGACCCCTGTTCAAGACGGTTGGCTCCGATTCTTACCCCCAGCTTTTAGATCTTCCTTCTTTTTAAATCAAGTATATATTAGTTGCCCTACAGCCCACATTTGCCATGGAAACAAAATATTCTCTCTGCATTACAGGGCCATTGGCAGTTTGTAAGCTCCTTCTCCTCGTGCCATTAGTTCCTTCTGCTAGTCTTTCCCCTTGTGACTGATGCTTTGTATTCTGGCACTGGAACATTTTACCCTAAGACCAGATGACATGTTTCTAAAGCTGTAGGCCTCAGCACATATGCCCTGAACATGAATTCTGTGGAGCTCAGTGGCACTTACTTCTGTAATTTTGATAATGTCGCATTTATTCCCACAAAGGTATGCTTCTTGTAGATTCAGATTTGCCTTTTCACTCAGATCTAAGCTAATTCCAGTGTTAACACCCCTACCTTTAAAGTACCATTAAAAAAAATAATTTTCTAAAGTTCACTCCAAATTTTCCCTTATAATCATAGAACCTTTCCTGGTACCATAATGTGAAAATCACAAGTAAAATGTCTACTTCCTGCAGTTATTGATCCTCCTCCTTTTGGTTAGTCTATAATAATTCATATCTAATATGTCTGAGGAAGACTTTCTTGACAGTGTTTATAATTAACCTTTCCTAATTGGCATAAGCTGGGCCATTTCATAGGTAGAAGCAATGATTATGGACCGAAGAAAAGGACAATTGCAGTACATGGCATTTTACAATAATTTGTTTATGGATGTGTACACAATCTATAAAATGATTAAATAATAATCTGTCTATCAAATGTAAATGCTCTTTTGGTGAGCGCAAATTGTCTAGGAATAACAAACTAAATGTATTTTACTCTTATTAGTTTGCGGAAAAATTAGAGACTACAGCGGAATGTGTTTTATTTACTGCAATCACATGGACTTCACATATTGTTTAAAGGATTGTAGAAACCAGTTCTTTGTACTTCACTGACTACCAACACACTACAGCTCTTAACCAATAATTATCATGTAGGGCTATCCCATCTCTTAATAGACAGTCATAATTTTAGGATTGACACTTTGAAAACTACTATATTCTACTTATTTGCTGTAACTATTGTTTATGCACCTTAAAAATATAAATAATGAAAGATGAATTGTATGCATTGTAGCAGTGGTTAATAAAGCATTACCAGCGTAATACATCTTTATAAAATACATCTTTATACTTTATATCTTTATACTGTCTTGCTTTTCCAAGGCTATGGAAAAGTGGCTGAAATTATAATATTTGATTTTTAAACTATGCTTTTTTACCCACCCGCAACGTAGTAGTGGCTTAAGGGATCATGTGCTTTTGTGTCTGAAAGACCGAGAGGTAAAGTAATAAGCAAAAGGATACTGAGAAATGCCCTAACTCCTGAAAGAAAATAGTATAGAGGTTTTACTGGGTAGTGAAAATGATAGCATCTGTTGGTTTCTATTCATTAAAAATAATGGAAGCAATTAACCAGATAAAATTGCTGTACCATCTCCATTTGTTAGGTTGGAGCAGCTGGCCTGGCGGCTTGCATCCAGTGGGTGCAATCCAGAAAGACAAAGGGTGTGATCCTGTACACACTTACTCAGGAGTACCTCCCATTGAATTGAATAGGACCTCTGTCTGGCTAGTCATGTATAGGATTGTTAGGCATGCAAGTCCCATGAAACTTTGGGGAGACTTTCAGTGATCTTATGCACCCTTCTTAGAAGGAAGTTGCTTTGAGTTCTGCAATACTTTCTTCTTAGTTGCGATGCTCAGTGTGGCAGTGAAGAGTCACATGCTTAATAGTGCAGTCCTATGAATGCGGGTGGCACTTTACTATGAATGCTTAGTCACAAGTACGTAGTATAGTGCTCAGTGTAGCTTACTCCCTAGTAAGTGTGCACACTTAACGGGGGGGGGGGGTAAGTAGTCTTGAATATAGTGGGATTTGCTTGTGGCTAAATATGAATAGGCTTGCTTATTCATATTTAGGAATAGGAATGTGTCTCTATTTTCCAAGGACAGTCCCAGATTTACAGAAGCCATCCCTGTTTCTGATTTGATGCCGGAATGTCCCACTTTTCCTTAGGACACTTTTCATTGGAGAAACGTTGGAGGGTATGGTAGGTAAAGGTAAAGGGACCCCTGACCATTAAGTCTAGTCATGGCCGACACTGGGGTTGCGGCGCTCATCTCGCTTTATTGGCCAAGGGAGCCGGCGTACAGCTTCCGGGTCATTTGGCCGGCATGACTAAGCCGCTTCTGGTGAACCAGAGCAGTGCACGGAAATGCCGTTTACCTTCCCGCCGGAGCGGTACCTATTTATCTACTTGCACTTTGACATGCTTTCGAACTGCTAGGTTGGTAGGAGCAGGGACCGAGCAACAGGAGCTCACCCCGTTGCGGGGATTTGAACCGCCAACCTTCTGATTGGCAAGTCCTAGGCTCTGTGGTTTAACCCACAGGCTGTCCCTATTTTCAGTGGAGAAATGTCAGTGGGTATGGAGTTATGTGACCCCCCAGCCAAGGTGATAACCTTTAGAAGACATCTGAAGGCACACCTGCATAGGGAAGGTTTTTTTAATGTTTAATGTTTTATTCAGCAGGTGCAGAATGCCGCGGTGAGACCCTTTACGGGGTCCTTGCCACGGGATCACATTCACCCGGTGCTATACCAGCTGCACTGGCTCCCGGTGGAGTACAGAATCAGGTTTAAGGTGCTGGTTTTAACCTTTAAAGCCCTATACGGCCTAGGACCCTCGTACCTACGGGACCGCCTCTCCTGGTATGTCCCATGGAGGACCTTACGATCTTCAAACAAAAACATCTTGGAGGTCCCGGGCCACAGGGAGGTTAGGCTGGCCTCAACCAGAGCCAGGGCTTTTTCGGCTGTGGCCCCGATCTGGTCACAAGAGACTAGAGCCCTGCGGGACTTGACATCTTTCCGCAGGGCCTTTGGCCAAGGCACAGTCTGACCCCCTCCTTTGGTAATCCTCATAGAACTCTAGCCCAGTGGTTGCCATTAATTTGATTTTGAATTGATTTTAGAATGAATTGATTTTAGAATGCTGTGTTACTTTTATTGTTGTTAGCTGCTCTGAGCCCGGCTTCGGCTGGGGAGGGCGGGATATAAATAAAATTTATTTATTTAGGGGAGCTGCCCAGAGTGGCTGGGGCAACCCAGTCAAATGGGTGAGGTATAAATAATAAAATTATTATTGTTATTATTATTGAATAGGGCGTCCCTATTTTCCTCAGAGAAATGTTGGAGGTTATGGGATTGGACAGCATGACTAAAAGCATAAGTGGAAACAACTATCATTTAATATGGTGCCAAAAACAATCTGGATTTCACCTAAAAAAAATTTGTAACAAGTCTATCAAACCATCATGCTCTCTTTAGTGAGTAAGCGCAGTTATGCCCTGATGTGTGTTTACTTGGAGGAAAGTTATTTTGTACAATGAGGCCTATTTCCATGAAGACAGACATTGACTCTTTCAGGCTTTGTGCAGGACTAGTCTCAGGTGTTTCCCTTTAAATTTAATAAGAAACATTTTGGTAAGCGCTAGCTTATTAAAATAATGCTTCTTACATAGATTTTATTTTTGTCTCTTGTGTACCTTATTGTGCATAGTTCTTAAACAGCAGATATTAAGACTCTGCCATTCTAAAATTGGAGATGTCAGCTGAGAAATCTATAAAGTACTCTAGTTTGAAACTATTTAATAAATGTTAGCTGCTGATAAAATCGGAACTGTGTAGTACCATACAGTGACAAAGCTAAGACTTTGGTTTCTCTGATGTACCTCCAGATAACCAGTTTAATCAGCATTTATCCTGATCTTCTACCACAAAGGTTACACAGTGGTTAGGCTATGTCTGGTCTTTATTGAGCAGTATTAGCCCTGTGCCCTGCATTGCTCAGAAATTCTAGGAAACAAACAAACAAACGAAAACCACCAGTGCAGTTTTAAAATTAGTGTAGTTCTGAAAGGGGCAGTCTGCCCATCTTGATTCAAAATGGCATCCAGTTGTACCCAAACATAAACGAAAACCTGCTCCTTGAACTTAGGAACCATCATACAAAATTGGATTACGATACCTTAAGAGGCAGAGCAAACCGACAAAAATAGCAACTTTCCAAAATATATAGTAGATCCATTCTGATTTGTTATTGGGACAGTTATATAGCAATGAGCGTTCATCCTGATTTGCTTGTGGGGTATTTACATGACTTTCTGTTGAAACATCCATTCATTCCCACACTTTTCAATGCCTTTCCCCATCACATTCCAAACTGCAAAAAAAGCCATTTTTTAAAAAGCGGGTTTGTTGCACTAGGGCAACAGCTCATAAGTCCACTTTAATTGTGCAAACCTGAAGTTCTAGAAAGCACATGAATCTCTCCTGAAAAATACAGAAAGTTTGAGGCACCCAGAGAGCATTTTATTTATACTGTGTACACGTCCACCATTGCCAGTCTTCTGCCTTATTTTCTTTTTGAAAACCCAATAAGATGCAAAAAATAAAATAAAAAAGCATTGTAACAGATGGTTATAAGAACTGTTTTCAAATGTGGCAACTAAAGATGTCCCAGCTGCTGAAGCTATAGATGTTTGTATAAATATAGGATTTATGTAAATCCTAAATTCCAGATATGGAGCTGTCTAATCTATAGATGTGACATACATTGTAAACCTCAAAAATCCTATGTTGGACTTACGTTCTCATCCTTCGTGCTGTTATCTCATCTCATGCCCTACATGATCGAATCTGTTGCAGGAATGAAGGGGAGAGGATGTTCGGTGCAAGATGAGATTTAATTTTATTTCCAATAAGTAGCCTCTCAGTAAGTGTGTCCACAGAAGGATGGTCTTTAGGCCTAAATCCCGATTCTGGCTTATCCAACGGATTGTGCTTTCTCAAGCCAACCTTTGCATTTCGTTCTCATGAGGAGGATAATTTGTGGTACATTGTTTTTAGTTTTTCCAGCCTTGGCTTCCATGTTCCTCGTTAGTTTACTCATCACTGTTAAAGCCGCTAAAATCCCGTTGACCAATGTGATTTGAATAGCCTAATTCTATGCAGGACCGTAGGCTTAAATTCACAGCCTTTAATTTCGTAGCTCGTGTTTGTGGAGAAAACCTGCGCCCGGGTTGATGTTTGACAGTGACGGCCTTCTCATTATCATGAATGATCACAGCTAACAGACGAGAACTAACTCCCTTCCACCACCCAATTTTCTGTTCCACTTGCTGCGTTTCAATTATTTTGTTTTATTTTATTTTTTATTTGCACCTTAAACGCATTGTGAAAGAAACCCAAGAATGTTCTGGCACCTGGCTGCAAAGCGCAAATGTCTCTTTTGCATTTCTGCATGTGCTTAGGTGTACTTCAATGGCTACCACGGTGACACTTCCGAAACAATTCTAGTGGGCAACGTGGATGAGTCTGGTCAAAAGTTAGTGGAGGTTGCCAGGAAATGTAGAGATGAAGCAATTGCAGCTTGCAGACCTGGGGCTCCTTTCTCTGTAATTGGAAACACAATCAGGTAAGCCTTATAGTGACAAGTAAAGGGAAGGCTGGCAAGTGGGACAAAGGTTATTGGTGGTTTGGTACAAAGCTGATGACATGTTTTATGATTCAGAACCATCATTTCAGTCTGATATCACTATGTGAACTGCCAGGCTGTAATGTTGTTCCCTGGGTAAGAAAGGATTTTTAAAAGTGAATTACACTAGACAGGGTCAGTGGATATAGCCCTGTAGGAAAAGCCAAAGACATTTCTAAGACTGGCTGACTCCTTACCTTTGCAGGTATGATTGGTAGCTGCTTTGACTACCTTAATAAAATCATATTGGAGATGGAGGGGGGAGCGTTGTGTCTGTTGCCTGATAAATAATGCCAGCAAGGACTTTTTATCCATGCCACGAAGAACTGCTAAAGGTTGTCAGAATTATTCAGTGCTACTAACCCCTTCCCCTTTTATAAAAAAATGCAGACAGATTTAAATGCAAGGGATCTCCCTTTAGGAGGTCCATCCCTTGTGAGAGGCTTTGATCCTGGAACAATATGATAAAACCAATGGTCCATCATGCTCTGGTCTATTAAAACGTATTATTTGATCCTTTTACTATTTGCACACATTTTTTTCTTTTTTAAAAATGTTGCGCCTTAATGCCCTTTAATTAATATGTTAATGCTATCGGGAAGAAATTGCATGAATCTCGACGCCTACAAAACCACGCATTGCTCAGAATCCTGAAAAGATGCTGTCTTCCCTTTCTCCCCCACCCCCCCTCTGTATGAATCTTCAAATACTTTAAGAGAAATAAGAAAAGAGAGCAGGAAAATATCAGTTTGATGTATTTATAGCTTTAAAAATATTGTAACAGAGTCTGAATCAAACTTTAGTAAAACCACTTTGGGTTATATCCGAGAAGCTTTTATTGAAGACTTTGTATAAAATTGTGTTTTTGACAGTTTTAAATTATAGGCTAACTAGCCTGGGGAAAAAGGATAGTGTCTATCTGTTCTTTCATAGGAAATGTTGAATCAGACCCCTACTGGGAAAAGAAATTTAATGCATATCTCACTATCTTACTGTCCATGAATGTAATAGAAGTGAATTCAAAATGTAGTTTTATTTTTGCAAATGGGATGAGTCGATGGATGCAGCTCCATATTTTTGAACACCTAGGGTTCAACAAATTTACTGGTGGTGCTCTTGCATTTTAACAAAATTTATTCTCGAGTCGAAGGGGGCACAGAAGACGAGATTCTTATTCAAGCATTCTCTCGAGCGCTGCATTCATGGCTGTGTCTAAAGGGCATGTCAGCCTTTGATTCTCTCTGAGAGGTAATTATCCTTTTCCTGTCACGGAACAACAAATGATAGCTAACTACAGAGGAACATTTGCAGTAGTCACATTCATCAACTGCAGGGGAAAAAAAATTCAATTTAATTGTGCAACACAGCTGCACATAGGCTTTTTGAGCATTGCTGTTGTTCTCCCTGTCTTGCTATTCCTCCCTACCAGATCTATTTTTTAAACTTTTTTTCCCCTCTCTGCTTATTTTTCCCCCTCTTCCACCTCCCCCCCACACCCCATTTTTTTATTTTTTTTGTCTCTTCTTCCATTTTTACTCTCTGTACTTTCTTGTTAAAGTAATTTTCCTTTGTGGCTCTCGTTCTTTTTTTCCCCCTCTCCCCCCCCCCCATTGAAGGCTATGAATGTAGAAAATTATCACAATTACTCATATAATTGAGCCTCTTTGTAGCAAGTGCAACTCCAGTACCCTTTCTCCATCATGAAAATGGTTTCATTATAGGGTTTTTCATATTCTCTGACACCATCTACACAGAGGAAAAGGCGTGCAGATGAGATGTACTAGGAATAGGGTAGATCAGGAAGGTCACAGTGGGAATAATTAGCTCTGCTATGGAAAGAGCATCTAGGCCTTTTACCGCTACATAAATGTACTGTCCGTGGCTTTTAGTCACAAAAAAACTTACTAACAAATGGAGCTCCCGCCTACTACTTTGAAAAAAAGATTTGTATCAACACTACAATTTTCCATCATTAAGACTAATAACACGGAGCCTAGTATACATCAAGGGGAATAAAAAGAAAAATCTCACATTCAAGTGGCGACTGGGTGCTGACCTTTGTTCCCCGTTTTTTTTGTGTACGACTTAACTCTTTACAAAAAGAGAGCCACACGCCACACCAACACGCAGGTGAACTCCAGCCAGTGCTAGCAAAAGTAGCAGCATTCACTTGGAAAAATCTGATAAATCTCCACGCAGGGTAATGCATTTCATTAGATTCACCGCATTAAGTCTAGCTGTATTTTTTTTTTTTAAAGGATAAAGAGAAGAGCAGAATTGAAAGTGACATTAGCCTCTCTCTCCCCCCCCCCCCGCTCTTTTTTGCCTTTCCCCTCCTCTCAATGTTGATGCAGAGGTCAGTATTTCACCGCATGTAAATGCGTATGCAAAGCTCAGTTGAAAAGCAAATTAATTTGGATTGGTCGCAGTCACAATCACATCCAGAATAACAGACCCCCGATCATCTGTGCTCCTACCTATTGTCTGTTTTAAATATGCTGGTTTTGCTGAACCAAGGCTTTTCCCGGCCTATTGCAATGTTGCATATGTAGGCTTTGTCACTGTATATTCATGTAAACAAGATGAGAGTTTGGTGGGGAAAATATATTGATTTCTTCCTTGCCGGCATTATAGGAGAGACCTATCAAGATTTGAATATGTGTCCTTCTTTCCACAAATGTGCTTGGTAAGCTTGCAGCGTGTATTTTGAGATTCCATAGAAAACACATTATGTTAATACATTGGATGCATTTGAATGGATTCTGTAATCCAGAATGTTCATCGATTCTGGAACCAGAACTCAAAGAACTGTAGCGTATCTTATAGGAAGTCTATTCCGAGAAATGGATATATTTACAAGAATTATTTAGCAGATTGGTTTCCTTTGACTAGGCAATTACTAACCTACTTTTATTCCGTCCATTTAAGTTGACCGCCAGAATTCAGATGAAGTGTAATGACGATTTGAATGATCTTTATGTACACCTTCTGCGAGTTTTCTGTTAAAAAACCTCTGCAAGTTAGTTTCTAAAGCAGTGGGGCATGTTCCCTGGAAGTCGTTACTTAGATCTAAACAAACGAATGCAAACATAGTTGTAGTTAAATCAAGCCAATTTCAAACTTGTAGTTAAAATTACCGAGATAAGAGTATCAATAAATGGTTTTAAAATGTTTTAACTTATAAATATATGTTTTGATATTAACTTAGAACAATACAAAGGCAGACTTTTAAAAAAGAAATCTGTTTCTATCAGATTATGCACATTTAAACAATAAGTGGCTCAGGCAAAATAAGTCATTTTAATGTCATCTGTGATAGATTTTCTTTGACAGCTACTGTAAATTACAATTACACTGCTTCTCCCTGCATTTGGAAGTAAGCATTGCAATAAATTATCTTTTATTTCAATCCATCATGTCTGCCTTTCAGAAACAGAGCACCTTAAATAAAAGTTCAGCTCTATTGTAAGAAAAATATAGTAATTTGTGATAGTTTGAAACTAAAAATGTACCTTTCTTTAAGGAGAAAGCCCTAAATTGTGGGCTTTCAAAAAATATTATTAATTATACTTCATCGTACATTGTCATTAGAGGGAATCCCTGAACTTGTGTATTCTCTTAAGTCTAGAACTGCTGCTTAAGGAAAATAGTTTAAATTCTCCCGGGAGCATTATGTAATCAACCGGGTAAACCATTGTGATACTGTTGGAAAAAATCCATAATCCAACATATAGGTTCCAAAGTCAGGTTGCATCTATGTTGGCAAAATTATGCCCTTTCCACCTCGATCAGTGCTGATAACAGGGCAAGCGGGTTGCATTTGGCGAGGCGGCCCCTTTCAATGCTTCTGAATCAGAAATAAAACTGACGTCTTTGTGCATTTGTTTGTTAGCAGTTGCTTCCTGTCTCTCAGGTTCTGTAGCCATGGTTTGGTTCCCTGACACACACTTGATTCCCACCCCCTCACCTTGTGTTACGTCTCTTCTGAGAATTACGCAATTTTGCATTTGACAGTTGTAAGCCTGGCCGTTTCTTAATAAGCACCTTTCCTCCCTGTTCCCTTTTTAAAAAACAAAACAAAAACATGTATTTTTTGCCTCTGTTATTCCCTCAACACGAGATTAGTAACACACATCTAGCAAACCTGCAGAGGTGCGCAATTACGCAAAACGTAAAAGAAGGTGGAATTCTGCAAACTTGGACCAGGTCGGAGGGCGAAAGGATAGGGCTCATCAGAGCTTAACAAGGGACTATAGACTTCTGTCCAGGAGAGACAGGTTTCTGTGCAGAACTCCTAGTACAGCCGTGTAAACTGTAGTCAGAACATTTGTTCTGCTTTTTCATCATAAAGCTAGTTTGAGCAGTCCTTTCACTTGGGTGCGAAGGTAGGCTCTTCTGTGCTTTCGTGGAGAAACATGCCATGTGAACTGGTGGTTCATGGCTGTCATCAGCTTAGTTACCGTAGCAGCAATCCACTCCACCGCCCAGCAAAAAAAAATTTTTAGCTGCAAATATAGGAACTTTTGCTAACTCCACTGTCATAGATATGGTTAACATGTGCTGTTTGAGCGTGTACCCAAGCAACCTTGAGACTCTTCACGTGGGCAGAAAACGTACTGGGTGGGCTGGCATAAACTTCATCAGCTGCTTGCAGCGCAGAGTATACAGGTTCCATGTGCTTCAGGTGTGCTTCAAGCTTGTTTCTCACTTGCAACGAAAACCTTGCGCCAACAATGCCTTGGCTCACATTGCAGCCATCTCCGTAGGCTAGGCTAGGCTTTAGGTCGAGACTAAGCGAAAATAGATTTAAAGGTAACATGCATTCTGCTGTAGTGCTCTGTAAGAGCTATTATTTTCGTAGGCGGAAGGGTATTTAAAATCTGCAAAGGGTGACATCATACTATACCATTTCCGAATCAAGCGTAGGGGGCAGGGGCTGTCACATATGTGACAGCTTCTCCTATGTGTAAAGCTGATGTTCTAGGATAGAGTTGGCTATACATCCAGATTTTCTTGGACATTACCAGGATTTCAAAGGCAGAAATAACGTCTGGGAGGTGTTTCCGAAATGTGACGCTTTGTCCTGGATCTTAGGCAAGTTAATTGAAAAGGCGCAGGTTTTTTGGCATTTTCGTAAAAAAAGAAAAAGCTCAACTACTTTCGGATTTGTCTTAAAAACCAACTTTCTGGGTGTCCTGGTTTTTACTTTCTGAAATATGGCAGCCCTATTCTAGGAAGAAGTCTTCTAGGTGAAGTTCCCCCCCTACAAGTGTAACATTCAGTTTAATCTTGCTAAAGGGGTGCTTGTATAGAAAGAGTGTGCTGAAAATCTAGAGGTGGTGTGGTTGAAGGAAACAGTTGTCCAAGTTTGCACACTTGAATTGCCCTTTTGCACTCCTTGCTTCGGAGAAAAGGTCTTGTGTATCCATGTGTTTCAAATCCATTTCCTAACTGTTGTCCTCTTCCATTCTCCCAAGTCTGCCCCACAATATTCAGGCTTTCTCAGTTGGAAAGAAACTGAGTCCATAACAGAATCAGAGCACCAGATCTTTCTGTGTTCTTCCAGGCCATAAACACCTTCTCTCCCAGCTTTATTGACTAATCTTCTCCTAGCTGCTACTTTTTATTTCAGCTGAGAAAAGAAGGCAAGGAGGTAATTGTGAATCTTTGTCGCTACCTACTTCAGTCGAGATTTCTTTCACCCGGTTCATTGTTGAGGGGTTACAAGTTCAGCATCTCTTCCCAAAGTTTTCCTTCAAAACACTTTTGTCACTTCGCACCTTGAACATCTAGACTCCGGTGGCTCGCTAGGGTCACACAAAATTTTGCAGGAAGAAAAAGCTTTCTGGGGCATAGCTTTTTGTCATTTGACTTTCAAGCCCCAAACCAATTTTCCTGATGCCATCCCAGGAGAAACATTTTGGAGAAAGCTCTCGTCCTTCTTCTTTCTGTGGCACGTCAATGACACTTGCTGTTACTTTCTTTTTACTGGATCCCAAGTGGAGAAAGGGGAGATGGTTGGCCTTTTATCTTTCAACATCTCCTCTCTAGTCGTCACTGCGGATAGGTGAATCTGCTAGTTTTGTTTTCTCTCTGTTTCTCGTTTCCCCCATCTTTTGGTATGGATTTGGTACGATTTTTGCAAAATTGTGAATTCAGAAAGAAAGAAAGAAAGGAAGAAAGAAAGTCCTCACACAAACATGTCAGCATTTCAATCCATATTCCTCCTAATACACACATTTTTCTTTGTTTGGAGAACCACATCCTAAAATTCATGTATTGTTCGTATATTTTTTCAGGAAGCGTAAATTAAACAGGATTGCACTAAAAGGCGAACAGAAGCAAACTGTCTCCCATCCCTAGTTGTCACTTAGGCCCCTAGAACACAGAGCAGTGTGTGATTTCAAAGTGTGCTGTGAGAGGCCTTTTTCCCACACTTGTAGCTCTACAGCTCTGCCTCTCCCCAATGCGTTATTATTATTATTATTATTATTATTATTATTATTATTATTATCTTTAAATGCTGGCTTTTGCGTGTCCACTAACTGACAAAAGGGCCTTGGGGCCTAATGTACATTAAAAATAGTTGGGTTTTGTCCTAGGAAATTTGGGTTCAGGTTTCCAGTTCATCCATGGTTTTACTGGTTGGCTTTGGGTAAAGAAATGGCTTTTAGCATCTATTCCAACATCTGCAAAATCGGAAAAAGCTAAGCACCTTGCAGAACTAGGCTTGCAAAGTGCCAGTGTATCTTTACGAAGCACCGTAATGCCAGAGCCATCGGCAGAACTCTGTGCAAAAAAAATTATTGAAGTGCAAAGTCATGAATGGAGGAAAATGCAGAAGAAACCTAGTTTGTGCTGTTGATTAGCTTAGACAGACACTGGCCTTTGAAATAAATGTTAAGTTCAGTTGAATTTCGCTGTGCTGATTTGCCTACTTTCTAAAAGGAGAGGTGCTGGATGATTTGTGTAGTCATCTCTGCCTACCACCTAAATTTATTTGTGTTTAAAAAATGATTGGTTGCCCTGATATAGAAGTATGCAAACACAACACAAAATAAAAGTGAAAGAAGGTTTAAAAAAATGGGAAGAGAAAGCCATCTAGAAATTTATTGCACCATCATTTTTTAAATTGGGTGGTAAAGTGGCTTGGCAGGCACCTCTATAAGAAAGATGCTCTATGACATGGAGTGCATTGGGCACACTGCAAGGTCTAATTTCTTTATAAGGTATGGAACATGGAATGTGGTCTTTCCTAAAAAGACCAAAGAGTCCAAAGAAGTCCTTAGGCAAGAAAGTGCTCTCACAGACTGGTCCATCAGCAGGTCTACATCCCGCCGAGTTAACCAAGTACAACTCCTTATCAGAAGTTACAATCTCATATCAAAGCATCTTAGCTCAAATAGCATCGTGCCCAGAACTCCAGTATGATATGAAGCAGGAAAAAACTCAAGGACTTTGCTCACACAGCTTTCCTGGGACAACTATTCAGCCTTGGCTTTAAGATATCTGTGGATGGAGATACCCCCACATCTTTAAGCCAACCTCTGCTGCTGCAACCACTACTCTTCTGGACATAAGGTTGTTTATTAATTGTCCGGTTTAAATCTTTTTACCTTCAATTTGGGCTCATCATTATGTGTCTTGTGTGGTTACAGTAGACAAAGAGCTGCTGACCCTGATTCTGCTTAATTAAGGCAACTTTTCTATCTGACCATAGTTATCAAAAGAGTCACAATAATGAATTTTCTGCCATGAAATTGAAAGCAGGCAATTTATTAACACAGTAGCCAGGAGTGGTTTGAAGGTTGATTATGGTGTGTTTATAAAGGTTGGGATTCAGCTACGTTGCTGTGTGTGCGGAACGAGGTCCACTTGTGCAAAGGAGCTTGCCCCTTCTCCTCTCCCCCAAGCCCCCCAAACCCCTAAATATATTCTGGGAGTTTGAGGAGGGGAACAAGCATAGTGGGTGGGTGGGGAGTCTTATTGCATGACCAGACCTTGTTCCCTATACTTATACCCCACTTAGCACTATGGTGAATTCCACCCATGGAATTGTACTAAGTTGTCTCCTTAGTACAATAACATCTGCCTATGGCCGGGATCTCTCTTCTCCTCTCTTCCCATATTCACCCACCTGCACACATCTGTTCTGTGTTACCACCACCACCACCACCCAATACTCCAAAGCAGATTTGGGCCACACACCACAAGGGCAGAGAGAAGAGGAAGTCCTGACTTCACACTAATAGGACAACTTGGTTGGATACCATAGATGGGGAAGGGTCCAGTGCCAACATGGACACGATGCCCGCAAGTGGACTCCCATAGGCTCAGTAGGCCTTGTTTTCTCCCCACACCACACATACACTTGCACACAGGCAACACACCGGGGCATTACAGTAAATGAGAGGGGCCTGCCCATGCCTCGGTCCAGTATATCTGAAGGAGCATCTCCACCCCCATCGTTCTGCCCGGACACTGAGGTCCAGCGCCGAGGGCCTTCTGGCGGTTCCCTCATTGTGAGAAGCCAAATTACAGGGAACCAGGCAGAGGGCCTTCTTGGTAGTGGCGCCCGCCCTGTGGAACGCCCTCCCATCAGATGTCAAAGAGAACAACAACTACCAAACTTTTAGAAGACATCTGAAGGCAGCCCTGTTTAGGGAAGCTTTTAATGTTTGATGTATCACTGTATTTTAATATTTGGTTGGAAGCTGCCCAGAGTGGCTGGGGAAGCCCAGCCAGAAGGGCAGGGTATAAATAAATTATTATTATTATTATTATTATTATTATTATTATTATTATGCCACCCAGGTCCTTGGGCATCTTTCCAGTCTGCAGGATGAAATTCATTCAGACTCCATGTCAGAGAATAAAGAAGGATCGTGGCTCTATAGAGGCTGATGGGAATTTTCTGTCTTTAGTACAGGCACAATAGGATTAGACTATGTCTGTAATATGCTCAAGGTCCAGGGTGACTAACAGCCTTTAATATATATAAGGTAAGATCAGTGGGTGACAGTTTTTTCTACAGACCTTTCTCCCACCTCACCCTTTGGTTTTGGTGGCATGCTCCCCCTTTTAAGGCAGCAGGGGAGCTGTCTTAATTGCACATTAAAAATAAGCTAACATAAACCAAGAATCTTTGGGCATACAGAGTATGGGGATGGTTTAACATCGCGCTTTCTGCGCAAAGGTTGTACACACACAGCAGATTTCTCTATTCGGATTACATTTCCCTTAAGCTTTCATTACTGCTGTTCCGTCCCTTAAATGACAGACTAGCAATGACCTATGTGTCTTGGTCTGCCTGAGCCCAGTGCAGTTAAAGTTCTTCAGATGAACCCACTCTTGTCCCAAAATAAAATAAAAAAGATGGGGAGGTTTTGTGTGAATGCAAGTAACACCCAAAGAATTGGTCTGGGATAAGCTTGTACAAACATTTGGAACCCAACTGCAAGCTACAATAGCAGAAAAAGATGAGTCAGATCTCATCTCTCCAACAGGGGAGAGCAGACAAAGATTGTTTTCTAAGGTAAGCCAAGGAGGGAAAATTTGTCCCTCTTCAGTCAGGTGTAATTTGCAGCACAGTTGCACAGCATGAGACCTCACTTAGGCAGATGCCCATCTCTCTATTGTCAGCATAGATGCTGCATGGGATCTGCACCTCAAAAGTGTACTACACTGGTGGTTTGACTATTTATACATTAACTTCTGCTCACTGCTGACTCACAACCGGCTTGTAAAGTAGTCAAGCTCTTAGCGGTGGTTCTGTGGTCCATCAGAACTGTGTGTTGTTACTCTTGGGCTTTAGAGAACCTGAATTCATCTCTCTGGGGAGCTGTGAATAGGAATATGAACAACCCACCCGTTGAGAGGATGATTTTTAGAACCATAAAGCACCCAAAAGTTTCAGTTGGTAGGTCTCACAATGAAAAAGAAACTATTGGTTTTAATGCATTCCACGACCCCTTTAAGATGGGTTAATGGAGGGGTCACCATCCCTTTTCGGCCCATGGCATATTTGCAAATCAGAGAAACTGCCATGGTAAAGGTAAATGACCCCTGGACAGCTAGGTCCAATCAAAGGCAACTGTGGGATGCGGCTTTCCTCTTGATTCAGGCTGAGGGAGCCGGTGTTTATCTACAGCCAGCTTTCCGAGTCATGTGGCTAGCATGACTAAACCGCTACTGGTGCACAGAGGACTGCGAGATGTGCCGGCGCGCACGGAAACGCCGTTTATCTTCCTGCTGCAGCTGTACCTATTTATCTACTTGCACTGGCGTGCTTTCGAACTGCTAGGTTGGCAGGAGCTGGGGCAGAGCAACGGGAGGTCACTCTGTCGCGGGGATTCGAACCGCCGACCTGATCGGCAAGCCCAAGAGGCTCAGTGGTTTAGACCACAGCGCCACCCGCACCCCTTAAACTGCCATGGATATCCTACACAGCCCACAACCATGCACACACTGCAACCTATTCTGTTGGTTGCAAAATTATTATTATTATTAGTAGTAGTAGTATACCGCCCTATACCTGTAGATCTAAGGGCGGTTCACAAGATAAAATTCCAATAAGAAAAACACAAAATACATAATAAGAATAAGAACAGAAACAAACCAGTAATCCCCCCTTCCACAACACATTTAAAAGGCCATCGGATGTCAATCAGCCCAAAGCTTGGTTAAAGAGGCAAATCAAAAGGGCCCTTGAATACTTTATTTCAAGTCTAATCTCAGCAAAGGATGGGAGGGAACACTGTGGGCACCAGGGAAGGCTTCCTTGGGGGCATATGCACCCGTGGGCACCACTTTGGCCAACTCTGGCTTAGAGCCATTTGGCACTGAGCTCAGGAATGCTGAATTCCCAGCTGTTTTGTGGCTCACTTCCTGTGTGCCCCGTGGCGAAAGACGCGCCAAAGAAATCTTCCTGCAGAAACCAACAGTGAAAGCTACTAGAATATTCGCCAAACGTCCGTGAAATCACAACAGGAAATTAAAAATGTGGTGGGTGTATGTTTGTTGTACCTACTCTTCTCCCATTGCCTATTCACATGCCCTAATCACAACCCCCCCCCCATTCTGCCATTTGTACACAGACACCCCACATTATTCTCGTACTCTTATGTCTAATAGCTTCTCACCAATACAATAGTTGTAGCTCCTTGTGTACAGGACACACAGGCACTGATGAGCTAATGGCAAATTCCATATAAATTTTACAACATGTTTTTTATAAAGCATTTTCATAGCGTTTTTAAAAATCTGTGTAGATCCAGCCTATATCTGTTTCCAGCCACAGAATACAGCCCCACCTGTAAGTTCTTCATGCTAGCAGCTTAGCTTGTTAGCAGTCAGTAAGAAGCATTATTGGCATGCGGTACAATTATGTCTGCTCATTGTTTTGTGTTATTGTGAGCCACTTTGAGCTCAGTGTTGCTCAGAAAGGCAGAATACAAATACTAAGTCAAAACATATAAGCATTCTGTTACATCACAGACCTTCAGGCAGTAACAAGGCATAGGGCATCTTTGCAATGAAATAAAACCAGACTTCTGTCTTGCAGCCAATGGGGATATTTGTGTGGTTTTACCTCCAGTGTATGTTGACTCTGGGTTTTTTTGGGGGGGGGCAGATTTGTTAGGCTATAATATGTAGTGATTGGAAAACCACCACTTGCAGAAATCTGGCTTCTACCTAACTCTTAAAGGATACAGGATAAAGGATGATTTGCAGCCTTCCACCCCCTCTCCTCTGTATTTGGTAGCTGTAAGGGAATCTGCGAAGAGGCAGAGGCGTTTGCATATTTGTGACATACTTGTCTGAACAGAGTGAGAGTAATGCTTCCTGTCGAGACAAATTGATTTTATTTATTAAAGATGCTGAAACAATTGTTGAGAGGGGCAGTGAAGAAAAGTAAACCCGAGCAGCAGCAACAAAATGTCTGAAGAACATGTGTCCTCCAGAGCTGCTTTTCTGCTCCGAAAATCCAACCCCCCCCAAAAAAATAAAATTAGTGCAGCCTTAGTCTACATTTTTCATCTAGAAACCCCATGCTTCATTTGCTCCCAGACATCTGCTTTCCACAGCTCCTTTTCCACTTGTCTTCTGCCCTTGCACACAGTATGAGGGTGTGGCTGATTTTGCTTTCTCTTTGACTTTCCTTTCTTTATATCTCCATTTCCCATTGTTTCTTTCACTCCACGCTTTCCTGACTACGGTGGTACCTCAGGTTAAGAACTTAATTCATTCTGGAGGTCCGTTCTTAACCTGAAACTGTTCTTAACCTGAGGTACCACTTTCGCTAATGGGGCCTCCCGCTGCTGCCACACCCCTGCCACGCGATATCTGTTCTCATCCTGAAGCAAAGTTCTTAACCTGAGGTACTATTTCTGGGTTAGCAGAGTCTGTACCCTGAAGCGTCTGTATCCCGAGGTACCACTGTATTTTGTGTCTCTTTCTCCAGTGCCCCTCTAACATTTCTGTCCCCCTCCCCTCTTCTCCCATTGGAAGCCTGCTCTGATCTTAAAATGTTGTGAGACTTTTTCAGAACTCCACCTCACAGTATCCTTTCCCCTCTGCCTTTCATGCTGTTGTCTCTGTCTCTTTCCTCAGCTTCTTGTTCATTGCCTACATTGCACATGCCTACTCAGCCAGCTCGCCTCCGAGCTCCCAGCTTCCCTACTTCCTGAGATTTCTTCCCGCTTCTCACCCTGGCACACAAAACGTCTCCTCTCCCTGAGGCCAGTGCGCGGTTTAATCCCAGCCAAATTAGCAACCATCCCTTCCCTCATAGAAGCAGAACTGCAAACATGGACAGCTTTGCTCTCCCAGCATGTAGTAGGTTTGTAAACAATATTCCATGCTATCACACCGGCTCAGCCAATCAGTATCAGAGGCTTCACTGGCAGAAACAATGCAGTATGGATGTGCAATATACTGTATTGTTGTCACCTTTCACAATATTACATCCAATAGTATCAAATTTCTACTGTTCTGAATGGGCATTTCAGACATGCATTAGAAACTCTGCCCAAATGAATGGATTACCCATTTACATCCTTAGATGATCATCCACTGACTAGCGATGATGATTAGAAGCCCATGCTTTAGCCAGCTGTTCTGCTTTGATTGATTTATATAGTGTATATTTGAGACTATATTTTGAATGAAAATACAGTTGGGGATTATTATTTTTAATTGCGTTTAAATTTTTATTCTAACAAAGTAATAAAAATGTGCACCCCACCCCTGAGACCATTCCATTATAACTATCCAACCTCCCAAAATTTTAACACCTCTTGTGATGGTTTGACCCCTTTCCGTTTTAGCGGTACAAATTCTACAAATACCTTCCATATCTCCTCAAAATAATTTCTCCTGCATATTCCCCGTCTTGCCTTAATAGCACATGTCAATTTATCATTAATAGCTATATCCCACACTTCTTTATCCAATTCTTCCATTTTATATTCATCTTGCCCCAGCCACTTCCTAGCTATCATAACTCGTGCAGCTGTCAATAAATTTGTCAGCAAGTCCTCCATAGTCTGCGAACCTTCCACCCCCGTTGTAGATCGATAACAATGCTACCTCTGTACTTTTGGTCAGCTTTGACCCAGTGATTTATGTTATCTCCTTAAACACCCTTTGCCAAAAAAAATTGTACATATTTACACCCCCCACCACATGTGAACATAAGTCCCCTCCGACATAGCACCGAATATTCCTTGTTTATTTGATTTAATCTTACTGGTGTTAAATACCATCTCCATACAGTAATTTTCTTTTATCCTTATAGACATTTTCTACGTTCATTTCTCTTACATTTTCCCCCAGCTTTGACTATTTACCTGCCTGTTGTCTCCTTTTCCCACACCTCTTTCTGCTTTCTACTAATATTTTATCAATTTCGCTGGTTTCCCCTTTTTAAACTATATTTTCTTCTTTAGCTCCCTTTTTTATAATCTCTCCCCCCCCCCCAAAATTTGTATATTCTTTGCATTTCTTGTTTTCCCTTCACCATTTCTTTGTTCATTGCTCCCGTTGTATACAGTTAAACAAAGTTATTTTACTTCCTGATAGAGTTCCTCTTATTTGTTCTTTGCTTCTCATTTTCTCCACCCATTCCTTTATTTTAAGTATTTTCTTCTCTTTCGCTTCCTTTTCAATTTCCTTTTTAAAATTTACTGGGAAGGGGTGGGGTGGGGGGAAACTTCTGTTGCTGCTTTAGAGTAAAGCATGAAAAAGACAGTCTCCATTAGTGTCTCAAGATAAGCAGGAAGAAAAAGTCAGGCAAACCCAAATAGAAAATTGATTAAATTATTTTGGCACCAGCAAGCACACACTTGGAGAAAAGCAGAGAGATATACAAAGGCTTAGTGCTTCATGGAGGGGGGAATAATGAATCGCTTGTTCTTATCTCTTTTTTCTGTTCATTTTTATGTGTTAAGTGAGAAAACTGTTAACTTCCTAGCTTCTCATTTCTACTGCTCTTTTCGGTGACTCTAGTGAAACAATTGCGTTTTTAAAAAAACACTTCTCAAATCCTAGTGAGATTTTTTTTTGGAAAAAAAAGAAAAGAAAAATCTTTTAACTTCCATGTTCCTTCTTCTTTGTGTCATTACTTAACTCCCTGTGAGTATTTAGGAGATCCATAAAGACATTTGAGCTATCATACATTTGAGATCTATACTCTGCTGTGCTCCAGAATCAAACAAAATACTGTAATAGCTAAAGATTTTTTTTGTTGGTGTGGTAGGCAAGCAGTAGCTAATCTATAGGGCCTGTTCAAAAAAAAAATCCATTCAAGGTGTTATCTGTGAGCAACATTAAAAGTTATTGACCTAGTTCTTCACTCTCCTACTTTCCAGCTCTGGGGTGCCATTCACTGTAATGGCAGCGCTATTGTAGTGGCAGCACATTCTTGAGCAATGGGGCAGATGTGTGGGCAGATGCAACAAAAGCTCCATCTAAATAGACCCAGAGGAAGGAATCAAGTCCTCACCTTCACGGGCAGATAGGGCGATTTATTTGAAATCAAACTGGCAAGTATAGTCAACTTTTTTCAAAATAAAATAAATGTAGCTTCTTTAAATGCCTCGACCCTTGGGCTTCTGCTAAGCTCATAAACTGTGTGGAAATCAAAGCCCCTGTGTGAGAGACAGGAAAGGGGAAATCTCAAAGGGTGAGAGGCTGGGATAAGAGATGGGCACCCCCAGGTGAGAGCAGGAAAGATACCCCCTTTTCTGGGTGGGGCAAAAGTTAAGATATGTTTGTGAGAGAGGATCCTGTATTTTTCTATCTCTTCTATCTTTTCTTTGTTCTTTTATTCTCTTTTTTTGTGTGTGTGTGTAACTAGCTTGTCTTATATTGTGCTGTGAAAAGTGTTAAGGAATATATACAATAGTACCTCGGTTTTCGAACGTCTCCATTGACGAACATTTCGGAACTCGGACGCCGAAAACCCGGAGCTAAGTGCCTCCTTTTTCGAAAGCGCCTCAGAAGTTGAACGGCTTCCGCTGAGTGTTTCTCAATTTTCTCAATTAAATTTGCAGACTGCCCTTTGCACCTTGGTTTTCGAACGTTTCAGAACTCAAACGGTCTTCCAGAACGAATTACGTTCGAAAACTGAGGTACCGTCTGTGTGTGTGTGTGTGTGTGTTAGTTATCACATGCCCACTGCAAATAACACAGGATGGTGGCTCTCTTAAGAGAGGTAATTGCAACATTTCCACATCAAAAGTATATACATGGCAGAGTTTATGAATGCAGTCTCTCATGCCTTCCATATACACACTGACATACTACTGTGCTTGTTTCAAGAGTAAAAGGTAAAGATAAAGGACCCCTGGATGGTTATGTCCAGTCAAAAGCGACTATGGGGTGTGGCACTCATCTCACTTTCAGGCTAAGGGAGCCGGTGTTTGTCAACAGACAGATTTCCAGGTCATGTTGCCAGCATGACTAAACCGCTGCTGGTGCAACGGAACACCGTGACAGAAACCAGAGCGCACGGAAACGCCGTTTACCTTCCTGCCACAGTGCTACCTATTTATCTACTTGCACTGGCGTGCTTTCGAACCGCTAGGTTGGCAGAAGCTGGGACAGAGCAACGGGAGCTCACGCCGTCGTGCAGATTTGAACTGCCGACCTTCTGCTCGGCAAGCCCAAGAGTCTCAGTGGTTTAGACCACAGCACCACCCACGTCCGTGTTGTAGGAAACTACAGCAGCCATTTGTTGTCTCTATGGTGATGCAATGCATCTCTTAAGTGAGGCTTTTGTGGAGCAGGAATTGGAGCAAGTGGGACCCTAGACTTTCATCCAATCCACTTTCATTCCATGAAATTCCCTTTTAAGTGGTGATGGTGGTGGTCTTAAATTCCAGTAAGAGTGCCTAAAGAGTCTTCTGATTGAAGACCTCTGTCTCTGTTCCGCAAAACATGTCAGCCATCTGCCATGTATAAAAATAAGGAAATGTGAAAATACATTTCACACTGATTAGGCAATGCAGCCCAGTGGCGGAGCTTCATGTTCCGGCACTGGGGGGCAGAGAGCAGGCGGGGGCGGGGCTGCCACCCAGAGGGGCGTGGTGTGCGTCCTGGGGGCGTGGCACGTCGCTTGCAGGGGCGTGGCACCCAGCGCAGGCAGGGTGGCAGCTGCGATGGCACCCTACTGGGATTGTGCTGCCGGGGGCGGTGCGCTCCCCCCGCACTCCTCTTCCTCCGCCAATGCTGCAGCCCAAACACTGAAATGAGGACAGCAGCGAACTCTGGAGAACCTTGAGTTTTGCAGAACTATTTAAAAATCCTTTTTTAAAAAAAATTAGCAAAATAGTCCTCTACCCCTTTCCTTAAAAACACAATATAATAGAGCAAGGAGTCAATTGGTTTGGCTTGAACTCTGAAATGAAGTACTCCTGTTACAAGGTGAGAATGTACTGCAACATTTCATCTATGTTCTATAGCCAGATTAAATACCCTTTGACGCAGTATGTTTCACTTCCAAGAGTCATGCTTAGTTCAGATGCTTCTCTTGAACTAACGGCATTTGCCATTAGTTACTCCTTTTACTCCCAGCCTGTTATAATGGACGATACAAGTTCACCCAAGTACCCGGTATAAAAGATCCCTCAAACCACCCTCACTGAACCGGGTTTTTTGGTGGGTTGTAAACCACAGAGCCTAGGGCTTGCTGATCAGAAGGTTGGCGGTTCGAATCCCCGCGACGGGGTGAGCGCCCGTTGCTCGGTCCCTGCTCCTGCCAACCTAGCAGTTCGAAAGCACATCAATGTGCAAGTAGATAAATAGGTACTGCTCCGGCGGGAAGGTAAACGGCGTTTCTGTGCGCTGCTCTGGTTCTCCAGAAGCAGCTTAGTCATGCTGGCCACATGACCTGGAAGCTGTACGCTGGCTCCCTCGGCCAATAAAGCGAGATGAGCACCGCAACCCCAGAGTCAGCCATGACTGGACCTAATGGTCAGGGGTCCCTTTACCTTACCTTGTATCTTAATGCTGTGGAAACTGTAGCTCGTTAGCAAATTGCCAGCCTGTGCAAATTTGTGTTCTACTCTGGGAAAATATTGACCTTTTCTATTAAAATATATATATTAATTTACCGGTGTCAACTCCACATGTAAACTTGGCCGTTTAAAAGTGCTTGGGAATGCAACCTAAAGGTTTTGTCCACTCAGCAATTGTGGTGGCTGCATTGTTCTGTCCAACTGCATTAAAATTGCACCTGAGGAGAGAGGTGCTCAACCATGCCTATTTGCTGTGATGACGGCCTTCGGGGAGAGTAACAATTTGGTTTTTATTAATATCAGATGTACTCTCGGAGTCGAAAGAGCTTGCTTGGGGAGGAGCAGTGGCTTCGTTTTAAGGCAGGCTCCTTTGTGTGCTGAAGGGCACACATTATAAGTCTCCAATTAAAAGGATCTCAGCAGACCCTGGAGAGCTGGCTGCTGGTTGGAACTGATGCTACTGAACTCGATGGAACCAATGAGCCGACTCGGTACAAGGGAGCTATCAAAATAGCATTTGTGCCCCCTTCCGATTTGTGCCTGGATTTGTAGAAGAAATGATTTGGGGTTTGTCTTTCAGCTTGGCACTAATGCTCACACCGATGCAATGATTGGTAGAACTTTAAAAAGCATTGCCTGCTTAGTTACTCTATGTCCAGTCCCATGATAAACATTACTTTGCTTTTAAAGGGTCGTCTGGTTTTTTAGTACCCTGTGAAAGAAGATTCCTCTCTTGTCTTCCGAAGCCCCAAAACTCACTGCTAAAGTTACCCACCTTATTATGTCTTCCTGGGACAGAGAGCTTTTTATGGGAGGCCACAATCTTTTTAAAGACAGTGTTTGCTATTCCGTAGGTAAGCACATGGGAAGCACATTGGAAATGTGACAGAATGGTTACATTGCTCAAAGAATGTCGTTTAACCCGCACTGAACTTGCAGCACTGAAATTTACTGAACCGGGGGAAGTCCCTAATGGGTTAATTGAAACAAGCGTGAATACGTATCTGAAGAGATTTAATGTTTGATTCATTCTTTGAATTCTGGAGTGTCTTTTTCTTTCCTGTTAAATGCTTTCACTTTTGCTCTCCTTTAAAGCCATATAGCCCGTCAGAATGATTTACGAGTGTGCCCCTACTTCGTTGGGCATGGGATAGGATCTTACTTCCACGGTCACCCGGAAGTTTGGCATCATGGTAAGAACTTCCCTCCATCATCTGTTCATGAGCCTTGCACTTAGTGTTCACATGCAGGAGATGTGCTCCTCCTTTCCAGCTTTAAAAAAGAAGAAGGGGGGGAAATGCAAGTGGGAAATAGTCTTAAAACAGCTAGTGTGGTGGCCTCCAAATGTTGCTGGACTACAACTCCCATCAGCCCAAATTAGCATGGCCAGTAGCCAGGAATGATGGATGTTGTAGTCCAACCACATTGGAAAAGCTGAAGTCTGCACTCGTCACGTCTGGCCCAATTGCCACAAGCCTGCATGTATTAAAAGACACTGGGGATTGCTTGCAGGAGTGTTCTTGAGGAGTAGTCTAAGACCCTTGAGCCCTGCCTCTTTTATGCTGGGCCCTATATCTCCTACCCTTCCCTGCCCTTATTTGTATTCATGTTTATTTTGCATAAAGGGACTCCCAGCCTTGCTGCAAAGCTCAGCGCTGGTGAGACCCCAGCCACCAGCCACCTAAATGTGCTCAGAGACACCTGATCTTGCATCGATACATATAAATAGCATGTGCCCATTTTCATATTGGGTCTGTACCCTGAATCTTTTTAAATATCTAGCAGCACCCCTGGCTGAGCGAGACTGTTAAAATTACAACAACAAAACACAAACCCCGGATGCATTACTGATCTCAACAGTTTCCGGAGTTGCATTTTGTTTGAGGTTCTCCCTGTTAGGGTATAGTTCCATTCCACCTTAAAAGGGTACAGGCATGACATTTGTGTATTACATGCCTGTTTACTACCAGCTCTCGCTGGGAACTTCCGTTGAATGCAGCATGTGCATGTGATACACAAACGTCATGCCTGTACCCTTTTAAGGTGGAATGGAACTATATCCTAACACTCCCCACCTCCAAACAGACTCCAGTTCCCGTCAGCCACAGCCAACATAATCAGTAGCCAGGGATTATGGGAGTTTTACTCCATAACATCTGATTTCTGAGTATGCCCCCTGCTTGGTTGGCCATGGGATCAGAGCCGTCTTTCCCATTGGTGTTAGTGGTTCGTTGCGCCAGGGCGCCAGCCTCTCAGGGGCGCCCTAGTGAGTGGGGGAGCTGCACAGCTTTGCCGGCAGCCTCCCCTTTCCCTGCATGCCCACCAGCTGTGCCCCTGACAACTATATAGCTGGCGGGCATGCAGCTTCCCTCCCCAGCCTCTGCATCTGCTAAAGATGGTCCTGGTCATTGTCCTCCTCCTGCTTTGCATCCCAACGCCAGAGAGCATGACCACCAGCATGTTTTCCTGCTTGATCGCTGCCACCATGCTGGGGATCGGGGCAGTGGGAGAGGCAGAGGACATTTTCCATCACCCCCTCCCTTGTTTTGGAGTTGCCGGGGGGGGCGCCAGATATGCTTAAGATGGCCCTGCATGGGATTGGATCTTACTTCCACGGCCACCTGGAAGTTTGACATCATGGTAAGAAGGCCCTTCCATTAGCTACCCCTGCTTTAGACTGAAGCGATATCTACTGTTGGGAGTTAGTTTGGTTGTGGGGGATGTTGCATGGTTCTTTTAAGATCTTGACGTGTTGCAAGACTATAGGGCAGCGTGGTCAACGTGCCTTCCAGATAATTGTTTGATAACAACTCTCATCAGCCCTAGCCAGCATGACCAATGATTAGGAATTGAAGTCCAATAACATTGGGACTACCCCAAGTCTCACTACCTTCTGGAAAACGTGGGCTGAAGGATTTTCTTACGTATAAAGTCATCACGATCTTTTACGGCACTGAAGCTGCTCGAGTCAGCATTACCATTCCCATCTATCGTTCTAAACAGGCTGATGTGGAGAGTTTGCAGAGACATGTTGAATTCCCAATGACCACAGCATCAAGGGAGGACTTTGGGATCACAGCTGAAACACACAGCTTTTGTGTTGCCCTTTGGAGGCTGCCCATTGTTTAACTGAAAGCTGTGGCAGGGTGACATTTCGAAGGCAGCGTATTTAGCCTCCATTTCTGCAGATAGGACTTGAGTGTTTTGGTTGCAAACAGGGAGCCTTTCCTGGAGTGCCAGGCTGAAGTGCTTTTGCTCTCCCTGATGCATCTTCTGAAATAAGCTGTTGCTTACAAAAGTTCGTGCCGCAACCAATCTATTGTTGGCATCTGTCTGTCTCGAGAGACAATGGAGTGCGCCTCCAGGGGTGAAGTCAGACCACTGTGTTAGCGGCACCAAAGTGACCTCCCCTGAGCGCAAGCCTGGGCAGTGTGTATAGAGGTCCTGAGCTACCCAGAGAACAAGACTCCCTTCTCAGCCTCGCTGATGTGGTCCAAAGGAAAGCAGAGCAATAGGTTTGGCACCAGCTTGGCTGCAGGAGTTGCCAGAAGAAGGCATGCAAACCACCATCCAACTATCTTAGGGACTCCACTCTCGATTTATGTAAGGTTTACTCCTTAGCCTTTTCTTCTCTGGAAGATATCTCACAAGGCAAGAGATATCAGAATGTTCCTTCTCCAAGGTGGGCTATCTTCCCAAGTGGATGAGCCCCACCTGCCCCTTATTTTCCTCTCCATCACGTGCAGAAACTGCCTTCTTGACCATTGGGCCCACTATGGGCTAAGTTCACCCTTAACACTGGGCTCTCTGAAATTAGAGTGGAGCTTTGAGAATAATCTGAATTGACCCCTGCCCAGTAATTCAGTATCATTTGACAAATAAGAGCCAGGATTTAGGGTCCAGGTGTGTTTGCTCTCCCCCCCCCCCAAGTAGACTCCGGTTCCTGTAGCTATTGCCCTTAGAATCACAGAGTTGGAAGAGGCCCCTTGACTTTTTTAGCTGAACTGAGAAAGGACGGCACAAGATTTTCCAAGGTACCGCTTGTGAGATTCTTACTGACGTTGGAGTAGTGGAAGAAGCAGATCAGAAGCTCCAACTTTTCTTTGATGCAGAGTGACACTCACTGCCTTTGTTGTGGTCTCCCCTCCAAATAGAATTGTGAATCAACTTTGTGCAGCAGCAAAACCATGCCCAGGGCTCAGTGTTGCTAATAAAAGTCAACTCCTGGCAATCGCCCCAACCTCACCCTTTTGGTTACATAGGCACTTGGAAAGCAAAGAGCTAGGACAGAAGTGGGCATGGGTGGGGGTTAGGAGGGGAACCCAGAATTCGACCCTCACAATCCAAATTGATATCACACAAAGAGAGACAAAGAAGGGAGGAGAAGACAATCTCATGTTCCAGCATTTTTGCACATTGCTCCAGAGCAGGTCCTATCGCTTTACATACTTCCAGCTGAAGGTGCTGAGGGAGAAACCAGGTGTTGGTACAATGAGAACCTACTGCAGGTGCATTCTGGATGTTGGACTTCAGATCCCATAATCCATGACTATTGGGGCTGTGCTGGTGAGAGCTACAATATCTGGAGGGCTCCACATTGGCTACCCCTGTTGTTAGGTAAAGGTACCCCTGCCCGTACGGGCCAGTCTTGCCAGACTCTAGGGTTGTGCGCTCATCTCACTCTATAGGCCGGGAGCCAGCGCTGTCCGCAGACACTTCCGGGTCACGTGGCCAGCGTGACAAGCTGCATCTGGCGAGCCAGCGCAGCACACGGAACGCCGTTTACCTTCCCGCTGGTAAGCGGTCCCTATTTATCTACTTGCACCCGGGGGTGCTTTCGAACTGCTAGGTTGGCAGGCGCTGGGACCGAACAATGGGAGCGCACCCCGCCACGGGGATTCGAACCGCCGACCATACGATCGGCAAGTCCTAGGCGCTGAGGTTTTACCCACATCGCCACCCGCGTCCCACCCCTGTTGTTAGTGCCTCCTTATAATTCAGAAATGCTTCTGTTTGCTTTTGCTTTAAGGGAAACAAAACTTAGCAGTTGGACAATGATTGCTTTTGATTTGATTTGATTTTTAAAAAAGAAAAAGTGTTTTTCCACCTTCAGTTTAAAAAAATAATAATTCTGAAACATGGTGAGGTGGGGTGGCTTTAAGTTAAAAACTCACAGAGTTGCAAAGCAGCCTGAATTTATTTTCTTCCTGATCTCCTCTCCCCCCCCCCCCCACCTCTTTCTGCATCACTGAAATCCACCAGCTAACGGGGGTTAACTCTGCCTTTGGTGACCAGGTTTGCAACAACTGAAGGCTCGAATTGGGCTGCAATGTCTCGAATTGGGAATAATTCGCTATGTGGGCAGGATGGAGAGCGATTTGGACCTTTTTGAGGAATGGGTGAGGTGTGCTTCGTTTTCAGGCCACCACTACCTCAAATACTAAAAAGAAACTCTGCTCCCCAAAAAGGATTGCAGATATACTCTACTGAGGGCGGGCGCGCAATTTCCCCCTTGTAATTGAAACGCTTCTTTTTTTCTCCACTCCACAGAGAACGAAAGCGATTTGTTAATGCAAGAGGGCATGGCGTTCACAATAGGTTAGTTGCGGTTTGTATCGAAAAGGGGAGCCACCTTCTATTCTATTCGGATTGACTCAAAATCGCCAGGTTTCTGTTTTTGTTTTGAAGGCATTCGGTGCGTTCCCCTGGCCCCGGTCTGCATAGCTTGCTTGTTTGTACTGGATATATGATTTTTTAAATTCCACCTCTCCCCACCCTCCAGTTTTCGCCCCGATCCAGCCAGAGTGAGTTGCAACCAGTCACAACTGCTGTCGCACCCTCGGAGCCTCTTACTGTTATCGATGTGCGCGCATTAATCCTCGGAAGTAAAACGAAGTTTACGCAGCGCGTTGCTCCCCTGCCCATATAGAACCGCAGAACTATAGAGTTAGAAAGGGGTCCCACAGGATCATCCACCCCAACCCCCCTGCGATGCAGGAATCTCAACTCCTTAAAGACCCTCCCAAGAAAGAGAGTTCACCACCACCTCCGGAGGAAGTCCCCCTTCCCTAGATGAGTGTTTACCCTCCCAACAGCCCTGCAGAGTTGGTCGTTTCGACGGAAGTGCGTGGAACAAATCAAGAGGGGGAGGGAGGAGGGGAAGAGATGGAAATTCCTCAGTCCATCAAAATGACAGATGTGACTTGCGCTTTGGCAAGCCACGCGGTTTGAGGAGCTGGGTTTTCCGCAAGAGCACAATCTAAAGTCTCTGTGCGTGTGTCCCCCACCCCCCAAAAATGCAATGTTAATCACCCTTCTTTCTTTCTCTCTGGGAACGATTATGCCCTTTATTGCATACCCAGGAGCTGCTGCTTCCTCGTTTTGAGCTCTGCTGAGTTCTGAGTAGCCAGGCAGCAGCCCTCGCCTTGGCGACTGAGCTTCATCCTAAATACCAATCATAGGGGGCGAAGGGGGGAAAAATGTGTTCCGCGCTCACGGTGCGCCTAAATGGCGCGGCAATTAGAGGAAAATAAGAAAATTGTTGTTTTGCTGATTTAATGAACATTTTAAAGCCTGCTCTTAAAGGGGGGAAAAAAACAACAACTAATATTTCTATCCTATCTGCTGTTTGGAGGAGAGTGGCTGGCGCTTTGGCTGTTATGATCCATGGGGATCTTAATTAAAGCTTGATTAAAATGCCCTTCTTCGCACTTTAAAAACAGAAGACACCCAAGTTCAAGCCTGAAGGTTGCCACTTTCTCCTCCTCAGTTCAGGGGCTGCTTTCTTTGGTTTTATTTTTAGGCAGTTTCCAATGAGGTGGGGGACGGGGAACGCACAGTAAAAATAAAATATCGGGCATTTTGTCTGGGTCCGGAATAGATTTGGCTTGCAGGCCAGTGGACAAACTTTTACCTCGTTTCTGTTTTATTTTTGCTACATGGCAGAACCAATCCTCATGGAAGGATCTTACGAATTTAAGATCCTAAAGGACAATTGGACCGCAGTATCCGTGGACAATAAAAGGTGCCTACTTTTCTTTTTTTTAAAAAAGTTGTAGTTTGTTGTTTAGTTTTAAATCGGTTTTATCTCTCTCTGGCTAGGGGAAAGAGCGGAAGCTGTCTCCTTGAGTGGTTTTCTTTCGAAATTATATATCTCTCCGCCAGTAAATAAAGCTCGGTTACTCTTTGGCCCTTTGGCCACTTACTGCGTCTACTTGTGTGTTTCAGATCGGCCCAGTTCGAGCACACCGTCGTTATTACTTCGAGAGGAGCAGAAATCCTGACCCAAGTAGCCGGGGAGAGTTAAGGCGCAGCTGGGCACGCGTGGCGAGGAAAACTCGCCGGGCAGAGCCAGGGAGGAGGAGGAGCGCGAGGAAAGCGCCCCAACTTGGAGGCGACTCCAGGGGACCCTCAAGAGGAGACGCTCCAACGCATCGGATTTATTTCTTGGATCAGGCCCAACGAGCTGGGTGGAATCTGGCGAGACCAGAGGGAAAGTTGCCTTGGGGAACGGTCCCCTAAAATACAAGAAAGGAGGCGGGGGAAGAAGATGATGATGATGATTCTCATTTCTCTTCCAGCAGAGAGATGGTGGACAAAGACGCGGAGCGCAGCGCCTCAATTTCCCAAATGCAATTGAGCATCGCTCTCGTTTGCTCAAAGAGCCGAACTCTGCAGCAAAATTTTCCCCACCACCCTCCATATTTTTCTCGTTCTTAAATTAATTTAACTTCTTGGCACTATAACGTCTCCTCCCACTCCTTCACTCCCTTAGATTTGGCGCTTGGCAGCTGTGACATCTAAACACGGGTGTGTGTGTGTGTGTGTCGCGTTTCTTCCAGGTTTAGAGTTATCTTCTGCGTGTTTCCAGAGTTTGACGTATGTAGGGAGTGTGCACAGGCACTCTCCGCGGGGAAAAGATGCAAAACCACTTTACGGAAAGAAGAACAACAAAAATACAACAACTTTAAAACAAAACAAGCGCTTTTGTTCTTGCAGACGCGTTCTGGGTACAACAATCGCGTTTTGGGATTCTTTCGTTGCTTTCAAAAAACTGCTGTGACTTTTTAGAAACGATTTATAAAACGTTCACTGATATTTTTCCCCCCCAAAATATTTGAAAGCAGCTCTCTGCTTGCCTTATTGCGGGGAGGTGGGTGAGGGCTAATAATCCTAGCTTTTAGGTGGGGAGCTGGTCTAGTAAGCATACCTTTTTTCCTCCTTTTCAGTTGTGCTTTTAGGAAGACATTGTGTTTTGCCTTCGTTTTGTGTGTGTGTGTGTATTTGCACAGGGCGGCCTTCTGCTCCCAGATGGGCAGCCTCACATGCTGGGAAGAGATTTGTTTATTTGTATTGGGTAGGTTGGCTGGAGAGGGGTGGGGAGGGGAGAATGGGGAGGGGGGGGAGAGACTGTCCTCTGATCTGCCCGCCTCAGAATCAAATCTCCAGCTGCCCCCAAACCCCAAGTTGAGAGCCCAAAGGAGGAAGGAAGGGTTTTGATGATCTGCAATTAGGTGCTTCCTAATCACGCCGCCTGAATGCAGAAAAGGAAGCGTTTTGAGATTCAAATCGGGTTCCAAAAAAAAAGCGCGAGGAGGGTGCTTTGACGGCTGACACACACCCGCTTCGAGGATCAAGCGCTCCCCTGGACTGTCCTGGCTGGCAGCCCTCGGGAGATGAAAAGGGCTCTTCAAGAGGGCTCTCCCCCGGCACGTATGCACACGCGCGCTGCCCGGCCAGACTAGGGCGCACAGCAGCCTTTGCTGCCTGCCGGAGAGGTGCGGGCGACAGCTCCGCTGCCCTTTCAAAGGCGGCGTGTGCGCGGTTGTGTGTGGTGGCCGCGGGGAGGCCGAGGACATTTCCGCTGTGGTTTTGTTTGGGTGTTTGCTGCTGCTGCCTGAGTCCTTGCAAAGTGACAGCTTTTATTTTTTTTCCTTTTGCAATGGGCTGGGGTTTTAGGGCAGCTTGCAACTCTTAGAGACAGAGATAGAGAGAGAATTGGGTGTGGAACCTTGGCGAGGCATTTTCTAACAAAAAAAAGAGGAAATAACAAACCAACAACAGTAGCCCGCCAATCTGTCTGGGTTGCCCCAGCCACTCTGGGCGGCTTCCAACATCTATAAAAACATAATAAAACAGTAAACATTAAAAGGCTTCCCTATACAGGCCTGTCTTTTCAAACACCACTTCTCACGACTCCTTAGAATGCAGCTTCAAGACCAAGTGGGACCTTCCTTGCTGTAAAAATATTAACTCGAGTTGATTTGCCGCCGCCAGATTAAACGAGCAAGCCTCCCCCTGCCCAACTCAGACGCGTGGTGAGCCTTTCGCCTCTCAGACACTGCCTCTCAGCCTAAACTACTTCGCGGGGTTGTTGTGAGGTTACCGTTGGGGGAGGGGGAGATCCGCCTAGGCCACCTCCAGCTCCCTGGGGGAAAGGTGGGGTAAGAAATGAGATAAGAAGTAAACAAATGTAACCGCCAGGCTACGGTGGGATTGGGTCCCATCTGCGCGCCTCGGAGCGCAATCCTGTACTGAACACGCTTACTCGAATAGAAACCCCTGGGAGTTCAATGGGGCTTCTTTGCCAGGGAAGTGGGTATAGGATTTCCCCCTAGCGCGCGCAAAGGGGGCATCAGCCCCAAGGGGACTTAATTGGGAGTTATGGGTCTGATTTGGGGGCTACTATGATCCTGTAAACAACTTTAAACAGACGGAAGTTTCGCTAAATCTAGTTGTGCCCAAAAGAAGTAAGCCCTCGTGAGTTCTCAATGGGATATTATCAGCTAAATGCGTATAGGATTGCATCGTTTATGAACTGAAAATGAAAGACCGATGTTTAAGGATAAGGATTGCTGTTTAATAGTTCTATACTGGGTGGGGAAAGGAGAGGAAACTCTTTTAAGTAACCCGACTCAAAAGCTCTGGAATCAATAATAGCTGAGTTTAAAGAGAGACCGGAGTCTCTGCTTCTGCCTTCAGTGGGTACAAGCCAGCCAGAGCTGCGCGCTTTGACACCCCATCCTGGTCCAAGGGTTAAGCACGTCTCCCATTCCACTGGAATCAGTGGGACATACAAGAACTTACTGTGCGGCCCTACGCGGGTGCCTAGGCAGAAGGAAGCCCCACTAAGGTCAACAGGATTTGCTCCCAGCCAAGAGCGCACCTCCAGTTGGCAGCCTGACGTGGCCTGGATCAGGCCTGGCCAATGCACTGAAAAGTGACAATCCTATGCACGCGTCTTGGGAAAGAAGCCCCACTGCAGCGCCGTGGAAACTCAGCCCGATGTCCTAGAATCATGGGATTGTAGAGGTAGAAGGGGGCTCCCGAGGGTCATCTAGTCCAACCCCCTGCAGTGCCCAAGGTGGCGCTCGAGCCCACAACCCTAGAGTCTTATGCTCTAGCGAAGCTACTTTAAAATCTCTCGTCATGATTGCTACTTCTTGTTGGCTCTTCACACCAGCCCTGGGAAGCCAGGCTGAGAATATTCCCATTTCACAGATTATAATTGAGGCTAAGAACCGGTGTCTTCTCCAAGGCGGTACAATGTTCATTGTGGTTTATTATCACTGCCACCCCAGAAGACCGCGCTATCCTGCATCCCCTGGTGGGCTCTACCCTGTTTCTGACTAGAATCCTGAAGTCCAGAAACCACATCCAAGCGCTAAATGGGTGAGCGATGGGGGGAACCACCAAGTGCAAATGGGGGCTCAGGGACAACGAGATCCAGTTACCTGCTGGAGCCCCCAGGAGACTTCGTGAACACTGAGACGTGTGAACGCTGCTGTTGTGTACACATACGGATCTATCGCAGGGTTTCTTGCTACAGGTTGGCGGAATCTGCCCTGTTGCCATTGTGGAGAGGTTACGAGTCAGAAACTCACCCAGCCATCTAGTGGCAGAATCAGATCCCTTAGAAACTGCCGGAAAGGATCCGGAGAGAGATCCCTTGAACACCAAAGAACACCCTTGGGGTTTTCAGAAGCAGTAACCACAGCAGCCAGTCGTCTCCATCAGAGGCTTCTGTCTGCTGCTGCGACATTATTATTTTTTTAAACCCTGAACCTACTGACTTGGGAGTCAAACCCATTGAGCTCAACGGGATTTTACTTCTGAGTAAGCCTCGAGGGGCTTGCGCTCTAATGCGTCGGATTGGGCCCGCCTCTCCCTCTCGGGTTAGAGAGCGTATGTTTTCCATGAGGTTCTCTCCGCAACAACCCAGGTTAATTTTATTAGGACTGCAGGATTTTACCAACTGCTGCGGTAACAAGCTGTTTGCGTAGCAATTAGAGCGAGGTGGTGGCATTTATGGTACACATTTATAATCCTAATTATAAAGGTGATTGCAGGAAGGTTTAAAGGGAGCGGGGGGGGGGGGGCTCTGCTGTGGTTTTTGCTCCTCTGCACGTGGGATACTGCAAGAGGCTGCCCCTCGGCCAGCCCCCCCCCCCAAGTTTGCCCGTCTCCTGGAGGGCCTTTCAATGCCCAAGTGGTATTTCTTTTCACGACCCCCGATTGAAAAGCAAACCTTGATGTATTTCTGGATGAGACAAACTCTTCGCCTTCGACAGGTTCCTTCCTGCTCAGGTGCTTCCCAAGACCACCGTGGAAGTTGGAGTATTTGCACACCTCCGTTCAAATCCATTTCTCCGCAATGCCCATTTAGCCCGATCCTAAGTAGCTCTACTAGTCCGGCTATGTTCAGTGGGACATACTCCGCACCTTCGCCCCTCTGGAAGGGCTGCTTAAAAACGCAGTCCCTTAACATGTCGACGCAGAAGTCCCACTGGATCGCATGGGATACGCTTCATAATACTTTAGGATCGCAGTTACACTTCAAGAGGACGGAAGCAATTCGAGCCCAGAACCCTATAACTTAACTAACCAGGAGTTCGTCGGGCAGGGGGTGGGGTCCATCAGGGCAATCTTGCCCCCCGCAAAAAATAAAAAAAATCCTGCTGTTTTTTGTGGTTGCTTTCAGGAAAGACACTTCTCACAAGCTAGCTGCAACTGATCGGTAAACTTTGCATTAAATCTACAGTTCTAAAAGTGCTGGTTTTAAAGTTAGTTCCAGTCAGGTCAATCTGACTTACAGGTGAAACTCGAAAAATTAGAATATTGTGGAAAAGATCATTTATTTCAGTAATTCAACTTAAAAGGTGAAACTAATATATGAGATAGACTCATGACATGCAAAGCGAGATATGTCAAACCTTTATTTGTTATAAATGTGATGATTATGGCATACAGCTGATGAAAACCACAAACAATCTCAGAAAATTAGAATATTAAATTAAATCAGCAAAA